TTTCAAAGTTCAAAGCTCAGGCTAATAATCAAATAGTTAAACCTACTCAAAGCTACTCTTTAAAGCATACATTTCTCTACAGTAAGGGGTATCATAATATTCGGGAACAGATTTCAATGTCTATCGATAAACATTTAATGATAAGTATCGGAGCGCAGATACTTCAAAACTCAACTTCATTGAAAGTTGATGATACTCAAAAACCAAAAACCTTAAATCAAATTTAAGTTCTAGTCGATAAATCGATACTAACCTTTAATCGATAATTAGTAAAGGCCCATTAGTCGAATATCGCTTCAGCTGCCATACAAGATGCAGATTTGTCATTCAAGGGATAGCTTCGAACTGTTCTGTTTGCGGTTCTAATGGCCCACTTACTTGAGGCAGCTCTCAACTGAAATATGTATACGCCCCCGGAGCAGCGGAAAAATCGAATCAATTTCTAATGTGCTTTTACTTTATTGTGACTGCTGCTGCACAACATTTGCCACTGGCCACTTGCCACGCCCCACAACTGTGAACTAAACGCCAGCAAAGTCCTACAGTAAGCCCTCCCTAATATGCCCCAAACACACCAATGCCTCTGCCCCTGCCCCTGCCCCTGGCAATGCCAATGCTTCAATACGTTTCTAGTGTCTGTCATGTTTGTTTGCTTGTGTCAAGTACATCATATGCTTGTTATATAAATAGAAACACATCACTGCCATATGTATATATGTATGTGTATATGTATATAAATTGGCAACATTTGCCTGTCTCAAGTGTCCTATGTCACTCTTCCCCTCTCTCTCTGTGTGTCTCTCTCTCTGTTGTCTCCACAAAAAAATGTGTAGCACGCTCTACCCTCGACCATAGGCAGCTGCTTATTAATTTCGTTTTTCATATTAAATATAGTTATGTTTAATTAGTTTTTATGTTTATTACATTTTATTGTGCAAATAGAAATATTTTTGGCATATGTTTCAGCATTGCTAATCAACAACACGTACACATTAAAGCGAAGCGAGAGAAACTAACTCAATTAACATGCTTCTCCAAGCACTCACACACACGCGCAGACTTTGCCTCTAAGTGCTTGTTCACATCTAAGAGAAGCACGACTGACTATGAGCTACCCTACACACATACGAAGAGACATGCATTGGTCACAGCTAATTTTATAGTTGAGTTAAGATCGATAAATGTTGAAGCACTCACAGACACATGAAATAAGAGATGTTTTTAGTTTCTGCCCGCTGTCCAGTAGCCGTAGCTAGTTGGACCTGACAACCGAATAATTGTTTACGCAGCAGCAGGCAGCAGCCAGCTCGCCCCCAGCAAACACAAAAATGAGGCAAAGGCCAAAGGACACGGCATGTTGCACGAATGAACGAGTGGACGGCAGGCAGGCAGGCAGGCCGGTATATTCAAGTGCTACAGAGCATAACAATGGTGCTTTGGAGTGGCAGCACCACTAGCAAACAAATTAATATAGCTAACAGGCTGCAGGAGGCGGGGCACAAAGAAAAAAAAAACAAAACTTTATTTATTTGGCCAACAATCAGAGGGCCCAATGAAGCTGTGCTTAGGCTGGCCGGACATGCTTACACTTATAAATATTTATGCGCTGCTCTGCAACATTCTAATCCAATCAGCATCAGGCATATGCAAACAACAACTAACAACAATCATCGAAGGGAGAAAAAAGCGTCGAAAAACATATTTGCCAAGTCAAAAATTGCAGTTATCCTTGCTGCCGCAGAGCTCCCCCTGTGTCTGCCCTGCAACTATTCACTCAACTGCAATGAATTCGATTTTATGTCTGAGTGCACTGCTCCTGCATGCCACGCCCCTCTCCCCGTCGACACCCCTAAGCAAAACTGAATATGTAAAGCGCTTGAAAGCATTTGCTTGATGCCAAAAATCGAGCGCGAAAATTGTTTAGTGACTTTTGACAACAAAAAAAAAAAGAAACTAGAAAAACTGAAAATAAAAAAATTAAGTTTGATTGAAATTGCTCAAAATGCGTGACTAGCAGCTACCCTGCACTAGGGGAAGTTGAGGTAGAACAAAGTGCTGACATCATTAAAGTTTAACAACAAAGCACAAAAGTTCGGCTATTTATAGCTTATACCTTCTATAAAGTTTATATCCATTTACTGTTAACAACTGTTGACCTACATTGTTGTACCCTTTTAGGCACTTAAATTTCATGTAGGGTATATAAAAAGCTGTCCCAAGGCACTTGTCGATGTTATGCCAAAAGCAATATGGCACAGTATCCGGTTTATGTGGACACCAGACAGACGGACAGACAGAGAGAGGGACAGACGAACGGATAGCACAACCAAAATAAAATGGCTATGGTCAGACATAATGCTGGCCGGCCAGACCAATGCATACCACTTGCCACATGCTGGACGTCTTTCAATAAACGAAATTGCTTGTAGGCCTTGCCACACACACATACACACACACCCTTGGTTGGCCATGACCTTAGGCACATTTTCACACGCGCTCAGCTTGACAAAAGGCCATGGACAACAGAAGACAGTAGAGGAAAGTGGCATAGCTGGCAGACTAGCAGATGCGCTGTAGACTAGTAAATATCCATTGTAAAGACCTTGCTCATTGCAGCCAGTCTAAGGGCAGGCCTATTTAAATCTGCCCCAGAAAGAAGCAACATTTTTGTTAGCCATTTCGCTGGGCCTTTGTGGACACAGTTAAAAAGCACTATAAGCAGGACCTGGCCCACACATAAACTACCATCAAATAGAGCACATAAACGAACACGTACATAACTTCATCAAGTTGGGCCCATAAAAGCGAGCCGTGGCAAGGACGCAGCGCTTAGGCCAGTGCCAAGAAAATTCACGCACACACACACATACACACACATGACAATGAAAGAAGAAAATCCATTATTACATTTTTCACGCCAATAAAAACAAATACAAAACGTCAGCTTGAAGAGCAACACGCAACGCTGAGCAACTCTTAAGTTGTTCTTGCTACTGCTGTTGCTGCCTGCCTTGGGTTACTTTTGGCAATTTCCTCTTGTTGCCTCTGGTCACTCACGAAAATTACTAAAATTGTATTTCCGTTTCCGGTTGAAGCGCCGCCAAAGCTGTCGCCAGGCATTTGCTTGCGCCTGTTATTTATTTCAGCATGTCAACGCGCCCCAGCCATGTGGCCTTGGGGCAGAATGACAAAAAAATAAAGGGACACTACTATTTGGTAGCATAATTTATGGCACGTCACGCATACGACACGTTGCACACATGCTACCCAAGGCGAAAACTAAAAGAGAAAAAAAGACGAATGATGACAGCGATAAGTTTTTGCTGCCACATGGCCTCGATGCCTTTACCTTTGCCTCTCCTTTCAGCCTGCGCCAATTTAAATTGCCTCAATTAACAAGACGCCAGCCAAAGGCCAAGAGAATCAGTTAAGAGCCAATCAACTTTGATGGCGCTTACGGCCGGCCCATCCGGATTAATAATTATGGCCAAAAACTGACAGGCGGCTGTCCCAAATGGCAAAAGTTTGCCAAGAGTTGCAAGCTGCCACAGGTAAACATGGAGCTTGTCAGAATCATGAATATCGTGATTTTTATGTACATTATGAATATTTAAGTTTTCGGCGTCGACTGACGAGCTTTAACGAGCGCGAGCGGCTAAACTTATAATTTGACTAATTAAAAGTTTTTGCTCGTTTCAAGCGCTTGGCAGCGGCAAGTGCAAGAGCTGCCACGTGCTACTTGCCACTTGCCAGCTGCCACATACCGCACGCCACTTGCCACTAAGTGATATAAGGCAACGAAACAATTGCCGCAGGGTGGCAATAAAACTAATCGAGCTGCAATGCATCAGTTGTTGTTTGCACCACATGTGGCAAATAGCTGTCTGCCACACACACACACAGACACATATTGTGCAGCACTTCACAACTTTGCTTGCGGTCAGCAAAATTGACTTTAGCTCTGAGTCAAAATGTAAACTTGAGATATATTATTTATTGCAAAACTTTGCGTACAACGAGCAAACAAAGAGCAAAAGGGACGACAGCAGCAACTGAGCCACCAATATCCATTTAACGCTTTGCATAATTAAACTAAATACCAAATTGTACGAAATATACAAACACTTAGCAATCGATATCGCTATTTACGTTCGCTGATCGAAAACAAACTTTTGCCTTACTGTGCGTATGCTTAATATTTTGTTATATTATATTATATTACATAGAAACTATGCTGTTTCAAATAAGAATCATATAGAGAATTCCAAAAATATCTCATCTATTTTATATTATCTCTAAAAACAGGATATGAAAGCAGATGTAGAAATGCATTTAGTTAATCGTCGTTGCCCAGTTTACTGAGATAGGTCAGCAGATAGATAGATCTGGACTGTTATCGCCTTACATTCAAAATTCATAATTTTATAGCTCAGCCTAACTCTGTTTCAGAATTAGTTTCTAATCGCATTCGTGCACCGAAAGCATAACGAGCCTGTGCGAAGGGCCTAAGTAGCCATCTCGCTCTCCCTCAGAAACATCGGAGACTACGTTTAGCAGCAGCTATCTTTGTCTCTCAAGCCACAAAGGTAGCAGTCATCGAATTTTTACAACTCTAAACAAGCTCTCATATATATATATATATATATATATATATTTATTTACTTTCAGCAAACTCGCAGATTCGCGGATTTTGAAAGTGAAGCTATTGAACCAAAACGAAATGTGAAATGAAACGTAAATGTGAATATTATATATATTATCTGAGCTGCCGATAAGCAGGCAGACAAATTTGTATACATATATACATATACCCCATATATCAAATCAAATGCTCCCAAATAAAGTTGAACATTTGTTAAGTGTTTTTTAATAGCGCTCGCTTGTGACTAACGAAAACAAAATAATTCTGTTGATTAGTTCAGCATTAGCTCTCAGTCTGTCCACAATATGCGTGATATAAACTTTTTGCTATTTTTTATTTATGTGACCGTACGGTGCAGTCACTTCAAGCTGAACAATGTGGAGTGCCGCTGTTACGACACCGCCTACTGTGAGTTCCAGCAGTGTGAGCTGACGATGCGGCGCCGGGGCGTGGCTGCCTTTAGCATGCACGCGGTGCTGCATCAGAGGCCTGTGGACAATATTTTCATCAACCTGGAGCTGTTCAAGAAATCGAATGGCTATCGCTCCTTTCTGCTAAATCAGAGTCTCGACTTCTGCTACTACATGCGCAATCCCAAGGCCTACATATTCTTTCACTCGTTCCACAAGACCTTCGCGTCTGTCTCCAACTTCAATCACACGTGTCCCTATGATGTGAGTACGTTTACCTTAACTAATTATTATGTTAATCATTGTTATGCTCGACAGCACGATATCATAATTAAACGATTTATTTATGAGCGGGGCTCCTTGATTGACCTACCCTTACCAAATGGAGACTATATGATATACATAAAACTCTCGGTTTCCAAAGCTTGGCGAGCGGAACTTAAAATTTTCGTCACACGATCTGATTAACATTAAACTAAGCTTATCTAACAGTCAATTAAGATTATTAAAACTATATTTGTGTAGAATTATGTGATTAAAAGCAACCCCATTTGGCTGCAAATATAGAATGGTTTGTTGCACTTATTTGATTGATGGCTGTCAACTCATGACAACAGCAAATATTAATTATATATCTCTCTCTTTTCCTCTCTCTCTCACATTTTCTCTCCATTCATTTTTCAAGTCTCTCTCTCTCTCTCTCTCTCTCTATTTTACTCCCTTTATTTTGCAACTATTTTTGATACTCCCTTTTATGTCTGTCACTCTCTGTCTGTCTCTCTCTCTCTTTCTCTCACACTCTTCTTGTATCTTTCTTCTTAGTCGGTCTCTCTGTCGCTCTCTTTCACACTCTGTCTGGCTCAGCCGATCCAACCTACCCCACTTGGTTCCACCTCTATTCTTCATTATCTCTCTGTATACCCGATTCTCTCTCTTTCTAACTGTATTGCCTCGTTCTTAATTTAACCCGCTTTCTTTCTCCTGCTCTCATTTCTGCCGCAATTCAAATATAAATTTAAATATATATGTGTACTGAACAAATGTAAAAATAGGATTTAAGTGCATAGGTCGATTAGAGTGCAATTAGTTAACGATTCAGCAGTTTCAAAATTTTATTTCTGTATACAGTCGTCATTTATCATTAGGACGTAAAACATGTTTCGGTTAATTTTGTTATTGGTTATCCATTGCTCGACGCTGGGATGCCTGGCAAGAATCTTTATTTTTACCAAGGCCGAGTGCAGAACTTTGGACCCAGAGTTTTGTAACTTCGAAAGCTGCGAAATATTCAGTACAAATAATAAAACAAACTTAGATATTTATGTGAAAATGCATTACAAAAATCCAATCAATCAGGTTTCTGTAAGTAACTTGGGTGTTTCGCACATAATTAAATTATATTTCAGTATGTGATGTTCTTTTTTAAAGGTTGCTTTGGCTGCTTATAAAACTACGAGAAATAACCGCGTATCAATTTTTAATGAGACGATAGATTTCTGTTTGTTTATGCGTCAATCGTTCGCATCGAAGTTCTCAGCTATAGCCACGGGACCCATTCTAAAAATCTCGAATATAAATCACACATGTCCCTACCAGGTTTGTCGTGAGCTAAATTTTTTTAATCGACTAATATTTAACTTATTTTTGAACAGCATGATATAATCATCAAAGGAATTATAAATAATTTCAATTTCTTTTCCGGAATGCCCGCGCCAAAGGGGAATTACGTGTTGTATATGCGTGTGAGCGCATTTAAGAAATGGAAAGCTGAAGTACAATTTTATGCGCGTTCAGCTGTATAAAATTAATTTTTTATTTTATTTTTCTGCATAACACAATTTGATATTTAAAGCAAAATAAAAACGATTTACAAACTTACAACATTTTGAATTTTTCAACTCTTTTATGAACCGATAACAATAATAGTCATTTGCCATTCACACAAAAAAGTGCTACCAGACTGTTTCATTTAGTGGCAATAATTTCACTCCACACGTAACAGACTTTAACATTAATGCTAACATTAACAGCAGTCTCTCGTTGGTCAGCGGCTGTTAAGCAAATCTCCTCTCTAATTTCGGGTCGTTCTTTCTTTCAGCGTGAAACATCAAACCGGACGTACGTATAAATTGTGGTCCCCTGAATAATTGTGAAAATATTGAAAAATAAACTAGAGTATATTGAAATATTTGACTAATATGCCGGTTTAATAACCAAACAAGAGTTATTTCTTATAAACTATTGCAAATATGCAGGGATGCACGTTATATATAGTGATTAAAATCTAACCTCTAATTTTACAGTGTCGGTTGAATTGTTGGAATCATGGTTAACGGCCGCATACCCTCGGTCTTCTCTAAGACCTATGTGACTCCCCGTCGCCCCTATGAAAAGGCGCGTCTGGATCAGGAGTTGAAGATCATTGGCGAATATGGTCTGCGCAACAAGCGTGAAGTGTGGCGCGTCAAGTACGCCCTGGCCAAGATCCGTAAGGCTGCCCGTGAGCTGCTGACTTTGGATGAGAAAGACGAGAAGCGTCTTTTCCAAGGTAAGTTGTCAAACAATGTTTTGCCCAACTACTAACCTTGTCATGATGAACTGTATTAAAAAATATAATTCTGACACTTCTTGTCTGAACATACGTTGACGTTAACCAATACACACTGATTATAACTAAATAACAGTTACGATTCAGTTGAATAGAATTATTAACATAACAATTTGCATTATTTAGGTAATGCTCTGCTGCGTCGTTTGGTGCGCATTGGTGTCCTGGATGAGTCTCGCATGAAGCTCGATTACGTGCTCGGCTTGAAGATTGAGGACTTCTTGGAGCGTCGTCTGCAAACCCAGGTGTTCAAGCTTGGATTGGCCAAGTCTATCCATCATGCACGCGTGTTGATTCGTCAGCGTCACATTCGGTAAATTAACGCCAGGCAACAAATCTAATTGCTAAGAAATTAATGTTCAGTAAGACCACTTGGGAGTCGAACAAGCTCGAGAGTTTGCACCGGCTCTCAACGTCTTTTGGTCATGTTTGTTGATCACCCAGTTGTTCACACAGACCATAATGCAAAGCTGCATAGCGTAAGTTGCACTGAACAGTTTGCTCTAACTTTATAGTCACTGAGCTGAGTAAACCAACTTGAATGTACTAACATACTTTCTTGTTTAAATCGTTGCAGTGTGCGCAAGCAGGTGGTCAACATTCCATCATTCGTTGTGCGTCTGGATTCGCAGAAGCACATTGACTTCTCCCTGAAGTCGCCCTTCGGTGGCGGCCGTCCTGGACGTGTTAAGAGGAAGAACATGAAGAAGAACCAGGGTGGTGGTGCTGCTGCAGCCGAAGAAGAGGAGGACTAAACTGCCAGTCAGTTAATTTTTAATCAGAAAAAAATGGAAATATTTACAAAATAAATGTAAAGTCCTTAAGAAAAACAAGTTGGCTTTAATCTTCGATAGTGGTGGTGGTTTTTTGGCGTTGCCAGACTGTCGTACCGCTGAGCTAAATACACCATGTGTTTAGCTGTTGCATTTAGAAATGGAGCACTCAGAATTATTTTTGCTTTACAACTGAGGGAGTCATGTACAAAAGCTGTTTGAGCTTACATCGTGCACATTTGTGACGTCACTTTAATTGAACCGTGCAGCTCACGTAAAGCATTACCATCGCGTGCTTCATACCATGCGCCGGCAGTCTCTGAGCGGCTTTTGGCGAGTGCAGCTGTGTTTTGATTTTCATTTGGAGTAGTTGGCGTTCAAAATTGTGTCATAGTTGTGAGGAATTTAATATACAAAGTAAATAGCACACAGCTAGCAAATATGCCAAAAGTCGTCGACAAGGTAAAAGTGATGGTAAAGGAACGCGTCGAAGATGAAAACTGTGATCTAAGCCTTTCCGAGCTGACGGAAATACCAGTGCGTGAAATTGTAAGTAAACTATATGCTGCAGGACCACGATAAATTACAATAATATCGACGTATATGGCTAATTATCTTCTGCACTGAGCTGAATCTGGCCCTTCTGATGCGATTGCCACCGAACAAGTGCAAACAAAGCGCTGCCTACCATAAGTCTAGCCAGTTATTGCTTGTCTCGCTCGCACAGGCAGTTGAATACTGTTATTGTTGTTGTTGTTGCCTGGCTGCCGGCTGGTTTGCAATTAACGCTGACGTTGACTGCATTGCATTTACACTTGAGAGCGCCGCACGAGGAAGATGTATGTGTATGTATGTGTGTGTGAGTTTGCGTGTGTGTGCAGCCAAAAATGCTTCAGGGGGTTGATTTTTGTGATTTGGCAGCGCAGCTACCACCCCTCGGACACTGAGTGGCACGGGAAAATTGCCAAATATTGTATTTTACAGTTGTTGTCGGGGGTTTCTTTTTGGTTGTAGAACTTCCGGTTTGAAATTCAACTCATATTTAGTTCATATTTTACTTTCACAGGCTTCGTTCAAGCGGGTTATCTTCCTAGATCTCTCCAGCAATCGGCTGGTCACACTCGGCGTACGTTTCAAACACAAAAACACACAAATAAATTATTTAATGAGCATATGTTTACTGACCCATAGCGCAATTTTACCACGCTCACTCGGCTAATCAAGCTAGATCTGAGCAAGAACCAAATTCGAATTCTGCCTGATGACTTTGGTCAACTGGAGCAGTTGCGTCATTTGGACTTGTACAACAATTGCTTGGAGCATTTACCTTTGAGTTTTGGTCGACTGCGTCGCCTGCGCTATTTGGACTTGAAGGGCAATCCGTTGACGCCCGCCTGGCAGAAAATTGTGGGCTGCTGTTCAACGTTGAAGGACTGCCAACAGGCGGCCAAGAATACTGTAAGAAAAGTGGCCCTTCAGTTAAGTGGTTTTTCATGTACAATTTACTCACATTTTACAGGTGAACGTTTGTGCAAACTACAAGTCCGAATTCATTGAACGTGAACGTTTGGCCGCCCAGATGCGTCAAGCCAGCTCTTCACAAATGGCAGGGTCAGGAGATGGCGATGCCAGCTCCACGTCCAACCAGAGCACAAAGGCCAATGGCAGCGAGACATCCAAAAAGTCCGGCAAAGCCAATAAGAAATCAAAGTCCAAGAAATCAGGAGCTGCAGCTGAGAACGAGCTCACAATCAAACCAGTCAATGCAGGCTCCATTAAATCCACAACCAATCAAAAGAACAATCAAAAGAAGAAGCCCACAAACAGCAGCAACCGAAGGAAGTGGCTTACAACCATATCAGGCGTTGCTTTGTCATCGTTGATGACATTTTTGTTGCTCTTCATGATCAATGTGCTCATAATTTACATGATTATGTTCAAGAATCCGGACATTGCCGATAAGCTTGTTGAGTATATACCGCATCAATATCGCGACTGGATACTGACCAAGACGGAAATCTTTCGATTGCGCGTCACCGACTGGATCTCGGAGTTTCGCACCCCACCGGAGGAGCACTGACGATTCATTTATTTGAAGCCTTAGAGCGCGGGGCTTCAAATGGGTTAACAAAATGGACAAAAATCTGATGCATAGCGCGTGTGTGGAAAAGATTGAAAATTTTGGTTAAGTGGAGAGACCAACGCAACAACAACAAATTTGAAAGACCCCAATGTACTGCCATATATATGTATATTTAAGTATTTACGTCCATTGGCAAGAAATTTTTACCTCACATACTGAAGCAGACACTGACACACACACACACAGCACAGCATCAGAACTATATAATATAAATGAAATGAAAACTACTCTCAATCAATCACTTCTAACATTTACAATAGATCAAACAGAAACTCAATAGTAACTGAAAGACAGTTCCAAACTGGCAAACACATATAGAAACTACAGACACAGTCAACGTGCTTCACACGGCTATAAAACACTTATCTAACATACATATACACATGTACCAGACTCATAATATCTATGCAAATGCATTACGTAAGAATTTCTTGTGCAATTCACAAATTTTTTGTTTAAATCCCAGCTCAAGTTAGGATTGCATTGTATGGAGTTTATGATTTTATGCTAACAGATTTGAAATCTAATGTATAATATGCATTTTTTTGTTCTTATTCATAATCCAGTCTTTCGTTTAGTGCTGTAAACGGATCGCAAAGTGGTTTCATATAATTTTTATGCATAAACATTTTAAATTATATATTGTACGTCAAATATAACAAATGTATACAAAAGGATTCGCTGATTTTTGGAATAAACTTTTACATTTTAATAGATCGTAATATACAATTTGTCAAGACTTTCTAACTAACTTGTTTAACAGCTTTTATTTGTCATTGATCATCATTCAAGTTTATCGAAATCGAATGTCTAGATAATGGGAGCGAGTTTAAATATTTAACACATGTTTATCTATTTATTATAACGTTTAGTGGTACTTTAATGTGCTGATATCTGAAATGCTAGTCTCAGACTTAGTCTCACTGAAAGTCAACGAATTTGCATAAAAGGAAACTTTTAAAATGAAATTATATAATTATATACAAATTATATAATGTTCATAAGCCTCCTTTGATGACTTCTTGAAAGGGAGCTAAATTCAATGCCAAGGCACACGGCCTTATCACGTGTTTTCACCGCTATAAAAGAATAACGATTTTGTCACATATCTCACTTGGCTAACAATAATGACCAGCACAAAAAATTTAACATATGCGAATTTCACCAGATATAAATGGTCGTTTTGTTTATCAATCGAATGGAAATCCCCAGAATGATGACGTATATCACATGAATTTGTATACGAATCGTCATGACATTGCATTTTAATAGACAGATAAGTGAATGCCTTTGAACTTTTCTGAAATTGATCTGCACCTCAATATTTTGTGATTATAACTAATAATAATAGTATTTTTTTAAAATTATTATTATAATTGTAGAGAGGTTTTCAGCCCACTTTTTTGCTGACGCAATTGAGTTTGGATCTTTATCAGCAACGAAATAGGATGCCAGACGCGCTTCTATTTTAAAGTTTCGTGTTTCCGTTGAGAGAGAAAACTTTCAAAGAGTTTGGTTATGAAACATTTAAAGAAATTTCATCAGAAAATTAAGGGATTGCCTTCTTCATATGACGCTCCTCTGATGACTCGACCCGCTAGCAAAGAGGGTAGGTAGTGTACCAGCTCAACCTATTCTCCTGCATATATTCTCCTATTGTTTATCCTTCGTCTCTTTCTGTGCTAACTGCACTGTCAAGTCAAATTTGATATTGCTACCTTGAGAGAGAGAGAGAGAGAGAGAGCGCGAATGAGAGAGGAACAATTACATTCACTCTTTGTACTCAGTTGCTTCTGCGCATTCAGCATGCCGGTCGCGTGTATTCAGCTTAACGGAAACATTTTGGCGCGCTCTTTCCTATAAAACCGAGTAGTGTCGGCTCGCGCTGAGGTAGTTGCTGTGTGACTTAGGTGCCGCGTGGTCAATGTTTTGCGAGCGGTGCGGCAATTGCTAAACATTTTCAAGAACGTGTGAATCGTTCAACCTAATATTAGTTATTGTTAAAAAACAACAACGTTACATGAATCTGTTTATAAATACGAAAAAGAGCACACTAATCACTGTGTAAATTAAAAATCAATTTGTGTCCTTAGTTCAAGTGCCAATCAAAGGAAGGCAAAATTTAACGCAACAGTCAGCAGAGTAAGTACATACACGCGCGCACACACACACATATGCATATATATAAACATGTATACGTGTGTATGTTACATACAAGACCTTTTTAGTCGTGCATGCGAAGAGCATAAGCAAAAAAAAGTTTCAAGCACATGGCACAAATTTGGAGTCTAGAATTAGAAGACGGAATGCATGGAAATAGTAAAGCATTAAGATTGGATGATCAAATGCAAGAGAGTCGTTAACATGGCCCAATTAAGTATGTACAGTCTTTCTAAACTAATGAGCAAATGTCAGAATTACACAAGCGTGCACAGATGAAAGATACCCACAGACAGGCAGACATACAAAATGTGACCCAAAAATAAACACAAAAAATCTGTATGTCCAATTTGTTGGTTAAATCATTATTATTCAACGTATTCACGGGGCCTGCTGAACAACAAAAGATTAACGTCAATTATATTTCGATATTGTGTGGGTACGAGAATCCGTTGCATATTGTTATACAGTATTTTTAAACCATTTAAAGACCAACCACGAGATATGTATTCATACAAAGTCTGACAGGTCAAAAGAAAATTTCCCTTAACGTGTTGACACGCGCCTGCAACGTAAGCAAAACTGAGCAAGCGCTCGCTGCGCAGCTGACGTCGACAGCGACAGCAACAGCTACAGCGAAGCTGAAGCTTGACTGCCAGCTTTTGCACCTGTTCGCCCTTTAGTTCTTTCCACTTGCGTATTACGTTGTGGCGGCATTTTTGGCGACCTTTGACACACACTTCCGATTTGCATAGCATTTTCGAATCATTTTCATTAATGAATGAAATTTATATCACCTAACGGTTAACGACAATACAAATTAAGCGCGCGCTTTCTAATTCACCATTCGGTTGTGCAGAAATTGGTTTTGTTTGTTGTTGTTCGATTACAGATGGTGTAGCTGTTGTTGCTGTTGCCGTTGTGTGCATGAGCTTCATTAAAATTGTTGATGTGCCGTGTTTTTTCAACAGCTAAGTACGTAGTGTAGCTATAATTGAGCATTTAAAGGGAGAAATCGAACTGTGTATAGTGTCTAGGTATAGTACAGGTAAAAAAGGGCCACAACAATGTAAGTCAGCGCCGCGCCTTTGCACACAAATGCGAGCTGATGTGGAGAGGAGCCCTAGGATATTGCATTATTGAAAAAGCTCCTCAAATTGAACAAACAAGAGAATTAGAATCGACCATAAAATGTCAAATAATGCCGAAGCGACCTTCAGTGCTCAGCAAACACCTCAGCTTTATCTATTGTCATTCCGCAACCAACAATTTTCAATGTCGCGTGGCGCTATTGATTTTAGTGTGCTGCGATAATTAACATTAAAAAAGGCAAATGGAACAAAAGACGCAGTAAAATTTGTGACGTCAGCGTGCGAAAATATAAGGGCAAGAACTTTGTGCAGGGTCAACGTCAGCAACTGTTGTTGCGTGGGAAGCAATTGGATTTTTTCTCTTGGAAATGCAAATCTCTAATGATAAGCAAAATTTAGCTTAAGCTTTTTTTCATAGGAATTTATGCCACTAGCTGTTTGATAAGTAAAATAACTTGAATTGGGAATTGCATTCATTGAAGTTGCTAAAGAAATACACTTAAATATTTATTGTGAATAGTGTATAGAAATAAATAGTAAAATAGTAAATAGAAATAAATAATCCAATTTATAGAACTATATATGCCTGAGAGTTGGTCTGGGTGATAGGTTAAGTCCACAATGAGGATCAAGTAACTTTAAAATATATTCTGAATAGAATAGAATAGAGTATATCAATTGGAAATCCAACTTAAAGTTAGTCTTTGATCGATAAGCTATATAAGTGTCAAGAATCTTATATCTAGTATTAGTTTTTGCCTAGTTTGACAGTTCGGAAGCATAACTATGATAATTATAATCCTACCTTCTAGACCATTTAGACATCGAACCCTTTGCTTACTGTTATTATGGTGCTAGTTTCTGTTATAGCGCGAATTGACGTTTGTTCTTTACGATATGGTTTCTTGTTTGCCTGTCAATTTGTGCAAATTGTTTGCACGCGCCCTTACACTTGACTCGCCCTGCCTTGCCTTGGATTCTTAGTGGTAGAGAGTAGAAGCAGCTCGGCCTCAAGACAAATTGATTTATTTTTAGATGCAGCCAATTACCGTAACGACCACACAGCTCAGGTGGCATTTGCAACGTTATCACTCGCTCGCTGGTAAAAGAACCATCCCAGAAGTCGAGCCCTGTTTCAATTTATGCATGGGAATATGCATTTATCAGCTATTGTAAGCTATCTAGTATATAATCCGACTGCATTGATAAAGTACACGAATCTTATCTGCTTATGCAACGAAGCACTTGGATGCACTCTAATTGTTTATAGCTATGTCAGCTCCTACTGCACTTATCTACAAAATGGTAATTACCTATGAATTGCCTAACATTGTTGACGGCCCCAGTCGCATATATATATATATATATATATATATATATATGTATATATATTACGAAAGCATGCAGTTGCACTTTCAGAGCGAATCACGTGCTCGCAATGATAATAATAATATGGTTTTTATAAGTCGGTAAATGCTACCTGAAAACGACGGCTTTATTTGAACAGCAGATATAAAATTCTATTACCGACGTCATATACATATTGTTGATCTGAGACTAAAAGAGCGTAAATAAAAAATCCGATTAGACTTGCCTTTATTACGGTTACTACTACCACTGCCTCATTATATATTATAACGCTGTATTATAACGCTTTCACTGTAAACATTTTGAAACGTAATACTGTTATTGAAAAAGCCCGCTGAGGCTGGTTCGAATTCATAAAAATAACATTTCTGCTTACACAAATGCAACATAAGTCAGAGCAAAGATTTTCAGCTGATGAAATTTCTGCGAAACATTGCGCGTTCCCACATAAACTTGAAGCTAAATATAAACATAATTATTTTAGAGATATATAACTATACACACATACATAGTTGTACCACAATTCGACTTATGGCCAATTAAATAAACCTTCGTGAACTCCATTTCGTTTCGTATCTTATCAGTTTTTTTTTTTAAGAATTCTCGTTAATGATATCAGAAAATAACTATTTAATAAATTTTTTATTAATTCTATGATATATATCTAGCTGTGCATGTGGCTAACCAAATTTTGTTTCTAAAATTGGAACACGTGTGTTCGTTTTGTTTAGGGGCCTGGCTGTTTGCATCAGAGTGTGAGCGGACTCTGACAGCAGGATGCTGCGCTGAATTGCTCAGAGAGCAATGAGCAATGAGATGACGTCACATAGGCGCAACAGCGCGCTCTCTCTCCCTCTCTCTCTCTCTCTCTTAAAACTCTTGGAAACTATGCTGCAGAATGCTCTAAATGCCTTAGCTAACAGTGCACAACAGATGTGATTCAGTTAGGTAGATCTTAATGCGTTTTTACTCTTTGCTACGTCTTATTTCATTTTCTGTTGTTTTCGTTTGAATATTTTTCAATACAGTATGCTAAATTGGTTCAGTCTTTGTCAAAATTTCATTTTCAAGGTTGTTTCGCCTGAGAATTTGCAAAACGAATTTATTTTAGTCTTGTGGGCAGAGCATCGATGACTCTTTCCGAATTTATCATTGGCTAGCCAGCTTCAGAAACATGCACAATGTAGAAAATGCGACTGCTCCTCTTAACAGATATTTTAATCTTTACTTCTGCGACTACACGACATTTCCTCAACACACAATCAGCTTCAATTAAAGCAGGAAATTCACACACAATGCCAAAGATACTAAATGAGACTGAAAGTTAATTGAGATGATGAAATCGTGTGTATTTTTGGCAATTTCTAAGAAATTCCAATGAAATGACAGCCAGAACATTAAGTGAACTTTTAAAGGGCATCAATTTACTACATCTATCAGTATTATATATAGTTTTCACTTTTGTATATGTCATGCCGCAGTTTATATCTGTGCACGCAACACAATGTTGTTTTATGGTGGTTTTAGTTTTTTTTTATTTTATTTTTTTTTGGCACTGATATAAATCGATCCGTTATCTAAAGGTTACACGAAACCAGTTCTGGTCGGTTTTGCACTGTAACAAAGATAATAAATGAGACATGGGGGGACGTGTGATTGGACCTAAATATAACCGAAATCTAACATGAACAAGAACTCGAACTAAATAAACTGTGCCAATTTTAATAGACTCGCACTGGGTGAAGGTTCTTTCGTGTGTGCTGTTTAATACATGATGACTATATAAATATATATGTACCTATACATTTATATTTTTTTATATGTTCCTTCGGGTAATAGACCCCACTCTATATTGCCGCAAACACAATGTATTTCATTCATGCCGGCAAGTTCCGGATTCGATATGTTTTGATAGTGCTGCAGCAGTATCTTATCTGGTCCGTGATTTATCAGTGTTAGCGAATCAGCGACGTAAGCAATTGGTTCTCGATCATAAATTTATAAAATCTTAAGTCTTATGAAGCTACTGTTTAAGCAGATTTAAACTGCGGCTGTAGAGATTTGTTATTAAATAACGTTGTTTAATAACGAATTTCAAGAAAATTCGACTCGTGTTCACCTCCAATTTGGTTTCTGTCAGCTTACGTCTAGAGGTTCGTTCAACCTTGCTAAAAAATGTGCAAAAGTAAGCGGGATTCAAAATGATAAACAAAAGGCAATAAAGAACCGAAACATGAATAATGAAATATGTCTACGCGGCCGATTGAATATTCATGTAATTTGCCGAGAAAGCACATTTAACTTGCCATTTGATATATTACACATACGTAGTTATACTCAATGTGAAATTTGACGTACAGAAAAGCTTAGTTATGGCTACAGCTGAGCTCAACGTGCCGTCTATTCTCACTTCGTTTGAGCTACTAAATTTTGTCCAAGGCCAACAGAGTGTTAATAGCCAGCAGCTAAATTAGAAAGCCAAATTGTGACACCAAGCCAAAGTACAAGGCTGTTGTTATTGACGCATGCGACAAGCAAATGTGCCGCCCCCCAAAAACTTGTGACAATTTCACCACTCGATGATGTGAAATGTAGCACATGTGCAATGGCAGAGAACAAAATTCAATTTTTGCCACAGATTTAACTATATATTAATAATAGATCCGCAACGCGTAAACAAGTCCGCGTTTCGACTCTCATCAGCTCAGTGACAGGGCCAAAAGAACATTTTCGACAAACAAAACAGCTTGGGCACAGCTCGAGAGTTCATTGATAGCGCCCGAGGCGGTTCTAAATATAGAACTCATTAGATGGAATTTAAGTGGAATATAAAGAAATGAAGTGAATATAAGTTGTCATTCGCCGAGCCAATTGTCCAAGCAGACAAACATTTAAGTGCAAATCTCAACAACAAGCAGAACGAGTTGCAGTCGAGCTCAACTGACTGCATAATGCTCGTTCACTTCTTGCATTCAGCATCTATATTTTTGGATTTGCTTACCTCTAAAACGGTTGAAGGGATTGTTTTTTTCTTTGCTTTACCATGCTGTTGTCCAACTGTTGCTGCTCGAACTGAGGAACACGACTAAGAGGTGCAAGGAAAAAGTATAATATTTTCAATTTCAAGTCGATGAATGGCCAGACCGATACAGACCGTAGACAAAATCAATAGACTCTCATTGGATTTGGCGAACGAGCATCTAAAAAGCGAAGGGAATAAATTTCAATAAATTAAATCAAATGCCTTTTTCTCGTAAATTAAATGTGCGGTGGCCCACGAATCAATTAAAAGGCAATTGAACGCATAACATGTGGACAAATTAAAGACATTGTCCAGTCGATTGAAATTTGATCAAACCAACGTCTGCTGATTCAATCAGGCAAATTCTATTAATTCCTACGCATTCCAGCTGTAACTAATAATTTCTAACAATTCTTCTACTTGCAGACTGTGCACTGAGCGAAAATAGCAGTGAAATAACACAGACAAAATGGTGAACGTAATAGTGAGTATCCAAAGACTTTGATTATCGATTTGATTGTTGAACTAACATAATTGATGTTTGATTGCAGGACGGCAGCGCGAAGCATGCGCCGCAGGAAATGGAACAGTTCCTGCCCGGCGACGGTACCAACAAGTGAGTCTCTCTTTTAACAGATCTAATATGCTAACTAAATCAGCCGACAATTGCCTCTGCGTGCCAGGCAATTAAATGTAAGCTTAGCTAGACAAATTGCTGTACAATAATGCCGCCAAATGTCACACGGCTCACCAATTTGTCAGACGCCACAAAAATTAATTCAGTCATGGCGCGATATTTTGTGTGTACATATATATAGCTGATGATCGCAGTTATTAACTAAGCAGCAGCTGACCTATAATTGCAAACAATTGTCGGGCTTTAGTATATAGCGTCGACTCTGGACCTAGATCTAGTTATATACTTGTTTTAGACTAATCATATAGGTGCAATACTCAGCTGAAAGTCTACAAGGGAAAATACATAATTATATATATATATATATATATATATATATATACGTATATTGCTCTTTAGTCCAGGTTCAAACTTTGCAAGTATATTTTTCAAAACTCTTGACGTTGTCGTTATTATTTTAGTATTTGCGTGTTATTTACTATATTTTTCGAATGCAAATATTATTTTTCCCTCTCTCAATGCAAATATTTGAATGATAATTGAAAAACGTAATAAAAATATTGATGAACACGGGTAGAAACTGAGTTATCAGCTAACTGATAACAAATATATATTACACATATACATAAAATGTTGTAACGTACAAATTAAAATAAATTATTTTTCGGAAATACGAAAAGCATAAATCGGACATAATCAGGCAGACGACCTTTTAATATTATTTTTGTGAGCCAACCTTGCACTTCAAATGATAATACACAATTTAATGAGCTTATAATCAAACTGCTTTAACGAAAGCAATAATAAGAAGTAATATATATTTAAATATATATACAAATATGTATTCATATATATGTATATAGATTAATGCGTAGCCAAAGTAAAGACATCTTTTTATGTGTGGTTTGTTATTTGCTTATCAGACTATGCCACAGAAAGTTTGTGCAGGAAATGATTTTGAGGTTTTCAAGTAAATGACTAGATATATATTCAAGTGTATTTTAATTACATGTTCAAGCAGACAATCATGACAAAGCAGAAAATCCATAGAGATAACAATATTTCAAAGATCTTTAATATAATCAGCGACAAATTAAATTTATTTATATATATAATATATGTATATGTATATTTGCTTATTTTGCTTTAAAACTGACTTTCTTTCGTAATATATACTTAAAATATTTTAAATATTAAAAAAAATTGAAAATTGCATTAATTTTCATACACAGCCTAAAAGTAGGTAATGTTATTTTTTCTTATTTATATTTATGCTATTGCACAGTTGCAATACTTTATCAATCAAGCTGCCCGTGCATCAAATATATCATATTGAAAATAATTGAAACTATAAATTTAATTGATCAGCCTAAAAGTAGGCAATAATATTTTGTATTGTTTGCTGATTGCGGCTGATGCAATGCACGGGCAGCTTGCAATCAGGCTGAGCTCAACTGCAACCAACCGGCCAATCACAATTGGATCGCATTTATTGTCCAAATTCGGCTGCCAGTTGTTGTTTCTCTAGCGTTGCACACTTGAAAACTTTGAGTGAGACGCGTTGACGATAATTGCAGATGCAGCAATTCCAAAGCCGAAGAATTTCACTTACGACTGACGTATACAACATATATAAAGAAAATGGTGCACTCACTTGTAGCTTTTAGTTGTGACCAGTGTACAGATCGGTTAAGATACTAGCATGACAACGAGCGACTTAGAACCCACTCATGTGGAGCTGAGGTGGCATTGATACGAGCAAAGGCCAACTACCTTGGAACTTAACTAATTTTATTCTTATCGTTCTTCTTTTACAGATACAAGATTCAGCCACGCAAATCAGATGCCGAGCAGGCCTTGGCTAACAATGATTTCGATCCGTTCACAATGCGCGAAAATGAGCATCCCACTACGTAAGTCCCCAGCAGCCACATAAGGACCATCTCAACTCTCTCTCTTTGACACTCACTCTCTCTGTCTTATTTCACTTTAGTGATAATGAAACTTTGACGCATTTGCTGAAGGCCTCATTGGGTACTGGCATTTTGGGCATGCCATTTGCGTTTATGTACTCGGGCTTGGTTATGGGCATCATTGCCACCATCTTCACTGCCTTTATCTGCACGCACTGCAGTTACGTGCTGGTTAGTATCTATAGAGTCCAAAAACATCTGAGTAGAGCTTGGTTATTAATGACTTTATCTGCAGGTCAAATGCGGTCACAAGCTGTACTATAAGACTCGTCGCACCAAGATGACATTCGCTGAAATCGCAGAGGCTGCATTCCAGAAGGGTCCAAAGAGCCTGCGTGGCTTTGCGCCCGTGGCAAAGTTTTCCATATTGTTTGGCTTGTTTCTGACCTATTTTGGCACCTGTTCCGTCTATACGGTCATTGTAGCCAAGAACTTTGAGCAAGTGCTGGTGCATTGGCTGGGACGCGATATTGAGCCACGTGTGATCATCTGCATAATGCTCGTGCCATTGATCTTGATTGCCTGGGTGCCCAATCTCAAGTACCTCGCGCCCGTTTCGATGGTTGCCAATGTATTCATGGGTCTCGGCTTGGGCATCACATTCTACTATCTGGTCCAGGATCTGCCACCAATTGAGGAACGTTCCCTGTTTACTCTGTCTACCTTGCCCGCCTTCTTCTCCATAACTATTTTTGCCATGGAAGCAATTGGTGTGGTCATGCCGCTGGAAAACAATATGAAGACACCAAAGAACTTCCTTGGCATTTGCGGTGTTCTCAGCCAGGGCATGTCAGGTGTTACACTGATCTACATGCTCCTCGGCTTCCTTGGCTATCTGCGCTATGGCAACGAAACCGGCGAGAGCATCACATTGAATCTCCCCATCGAGGAATGGCCTGCCCAGGCCGTGAAGGTATTGATTGCCCTGGCTGTCTATTGCACATTTGGACTGCAGTTCTTCGTGTGCCTGGAGATTGTCTGGGATGCCATCAAGGAGCGCTGCACCAAGCGTCCAATATTCGTCAACTATGTGCTGCGGTAAGCTAAGATAACATATTCCACAAGTTCCCTGGCCTTATAGTCTCTGATATATACTTGTAGCACCGTTTTGGTAACTGCTGCTGTAGTGCTGGCCATTTCAGTGCCAACCATAGCGCCATTTATGGGTCTTATTGGCGCCTTCTGCTTCTCCATACTCGGCTTGATCTTTCCGGTAAGTGCTACCTCAACAGTTTGAGCTATGAACAACCGAAACTAAACAAATGAATCGTTATCTCATCTTAGGTTATCATTGAGCTTGTTGTGCACTGGGATTCCGGGTTTGGTCCTGGCAATTGGATACTGTGGAAGAATATCATCATCATGTTGTGCGGCGTTGGCGCCCTTATCTTTGGTTCACTCTCAGCCATTCAGGACATCATGAAGGTTTACAGCGGATCCACGGAAGCCCAATAAATTGGGCAAATGAGAATATATGGAAATAATCTACTGTGCATAACACAAAAAAAAAAATAACAACAAAAGAATCGTAATGCAAACAGTGCTATACCTAGGGATGTATATTTATATATATATATATATTTATATCTATATATATATTTACTATATACACTATTCGTATACCATTTGATGAGAAATATACTTTTTAGTGTAGTTTGTAGCAGGAGCCGGCCGGGATTAGCTCTGTTTATTTCCTAGAAATCTAACTATTGTTAGATGTAAAAAAAACAACAAAGTAATAAAACTGCGCCCACAGTTTGTACATTTTTCATGAAAGAAGAAGCGCATAGCTAAACTATTAGTACACCTAGTTTTAACTATATATTCGAGTGCCTAACTAGCACACACACAGCACCAAAACTGTCCGTTTTAGCACGTTTTAGTACACATGCGAATGCAATTATATAAAGAAAAATGAGAAAATAGCTTAAACTTAAATGTATATTAATTGTTGAGTACATTTTAGTACCAATTCTATAAAGTTAACTAGCTTAAAAGCTCAAGGATTGAGACATACACATGAAAGTTTTATTGATCTTAGTGTAAAATCGCAACGAGCTAAACAGATTTTGATAGCACTTTCTTCCTCTTCCTCTGTCCGTCTATTTCACTCGCTTTCTCTCTGTTCTAAAAGAGTATTACGAAAACATAAACAAAAAGAAAAACCAAAATTTGCAAACATTTACAATATTTTTTTAGCATGTTTAGTTTATAAGCAATACGATTTGGTTCTAGGTCTCCTTGAGGCCTTGCAAGCCATTCAAAAAAAAAAAAGACTTAGTTTTGTATATATATTTTGCAGAGGTTTTCAGGGAGTACATCCAAGCAAAAAATACATTGAGTTACTCAAATTATATATTTTTTTATACAAACTTATGTAGTTACAAAAACCAAAAAAAAAACCTGGAAAATGAGAGAAAAATATTCAATTTACGATATTCTTAATGCATACTTCATTTTTGTTGCTTAACAATTGTATTTTTAAACATATAGCTTTAAAAACAAGAATATTTAACTATTAAATATAAAAAGAAAAACAAATATTACATCAAAATCGAAACGAAGTAAAAAGCACTTTTTGCATTTAAACCATTTTTGTGCACTGAAAAAAAAACAAGCAACGAAATTGATTCAACTATGATGTGGAAAGTTAACTTATGTCTTAGTTCGCTAATTCTGTCAATTGCTTAGATGACTACGATATAGCAGATATTGTATATAGTAATATATGCCATGTATGAAAAGCTCTATGTAAAAACTTGTCCAAGAAATGAGCTAAATTTGATATAATTGTTTAATTTTTTGAAAAGTGTTTTAGATTCAAGCAACAACAACAACAATAGCAAAATAAAAACGAGTTAATTATTATATAAATAATATTTGTTTAACGTTGGATGGAATATATAAGTAGGCGTTACCTTGACTAGGGTCATCTTGAAACTGTCCAATCAGGGTATATTAGTTTGGATTGGGCGTATGCTAGAGGCAATTGAACTGAATTGGCTAAGCCAAGCTCGCAACGTATAAGATCTAGGAACATTAAATTTTAAAGAAATTGCTTTTAAAAAAGTATTTTATACAAATATCTCGACCAATTTTATAACTTGAACTATCTATTTTTGTATATAGATTCTCTTTTAGTATAAATCAAATACGTACTAAAGAAATATCGGCTAACCTTTTCAAATCTCTACCAAAATCAGTAAAGCAATTGCCCACCACAATGGTAGGGGTATTTTCTAGTCGTGCACCTCCGTCTACCGCACTCTTTGTCGTTTTTGACAACCTTACTTAATTGATCAATGCTGCAGCACGTGGTGCAAAATATACAAAATTGAAGAAATTATTAAAAATTTTCAAATCATGCGTTAATTGGCATCAACTGCACACACACACACACACATACATACACACATAAAGACACAGATTTTTAGGTGCCAGAGCATGTCTGATTGCAAATTGAATTCGAGACGGTCAAAGCAGAAATTATCAATTGGCAATTGGCTTTAAAGGCAATTGAACCTGATTGTGGGCCAATTTGGGTAACCTTTGAGTCAATGCGCTGTGCGATGCGCTCTGGAGGCCATTGCCGAGCCACTCTAATACTTCGTAACGCTCTCAACAATTGAGTTGTGCCTGGAGAGCATTTCGTGTTATTGGCTTGTCACTTTTGTTATTTTGCGACAGTTTCGAAAGGTTTTGTTGTTTTTCTTCGGTGGACGTGGGAATGTTGTCTAGGAAATCCTTGAAATGGAAGCGGCTCCAATTTGTTATAGATTGCAGAAGGAAAAACGCTCCAGGAAACCCTCGGCTGCTAACCAATTAGCGCATGACTCGAGTGTTCAGTCACAAAGATGATTTGCTACCAATTGAGAGCTGCCCACAACGACACTCAGTCTGGGCTAGTTGGAGTCGAAGTTATTCCAAGGTCGACGGCGATTTAAAATCATTAATCTTTAATTGTCATCAGCGTCGCGTTTTGTATTGTCAATGGGATGCTGTGCACGTTGATTGTTGCATCTTGATTTCATTTGATGGCGTCAAGGTCAGCTGCAATAGAAGCCCCCTGCCAGAAGCTGCTCCGATTTGTGGTTTAGGTTTCCGCTCTTGTAATTGGTAATGTAAAACCATTTACAGCCATTGTGTAACTGCGATAATTATCTTGTAAAGTACATGAGCTGCTTTTGTGTCTGGCATTTCAAATGCGAAGTCATCAGTTTCGGCGTCTTTGTGAGCCATTCTTAGCTTTCACTTCAGCGGGCTCACGTGGTATGATTGTCTATGGGCTGTCATTCGCAGATCATATGCAATTGGAATTTTAAATGCAAGTTGCGTGGGAATATGGCAATAGCAATACCTAGTTATGAATACAGATCAAAAACGTGATTCGAACTTCTAAGATCACAATTCACATTTCACTTTCACAATAGCTTCAAGGTCCCCAAAGATGAGCCCTTCAGCAGCTGAGTGCCAGCTGCGAGCGCTAGACAAACTGTACAAATATTTATAATAACAACAAAAACAATCAATAAACTTAAAAACATTATAGAAAATTGTTCAACTGATGCGCAATCAACAACAAAGTCCAACTGCTCAATTCACAAAAACAATAACAAACATTCACTTTCAAAAGACGAGCGTTTGCCCTGTCCGAATAAAAGTGTAAGCGAAAATGGACAAAAATTTAGCAAAAAATAAAAATAAAATACTAAACCAATTATTATTATGCATAACAAAGATATCGACAGCCAAATATTGAAAGTTTCAAGTGAAGTAGCCCGTCCAATCGACCCTAACGATTCGGTTCATCATCAACGCCAACCTGCCCAGTAAACAACAAGATTAATTAATTACTTTGCTCAAAATGTATATTGTTTTATGTTTTTATGTTATTATTTATATTTTTCTGCCTTTGTTACCACTTTGGCTTGAACAAATGAAGCGCAAAATATTAAATGGCAACTAATTTTGTGTCTGGGCTTCAATGTAAAAGCCATAGGAAATGTCTGAAAATCGCTCACAAGCCAAATGCAGCAGCTGCAATACCCTGTAATTCAAAGTATGCTGTGTGAGGTTAATTATCTGAATTGAGTAAGTAGAAATATATTAAAATGGCCGACTGTGTTTTTGTCTCCCATTTCAGCTCTATTTGTCTCTCATCCTCTTTCTCCCTCTCTCTCACACTCACTCTCTCTCCCTCTATCTGTCTGTTTCTTCCCTCTTTATGTCTATCTGACTCTCTCTCTATGTTTCTGTCTTTCTCTTTCCCTCTTTCTACCTCTACCTCTCCCTCGGTCCCTCCCTGTCTCTCTTTCTCTCTTGGTCTCTCCCTCTGTCTTTCACGCTCTCTTTCTCTCTCACTCTAAGCTTCTCTCTCCCTCTCAGTCTTTCTCTCTCACTTACTCTTTCTCTCCCTGTCTTTGTCTCTCCCTCTTTTCATCTCTCACCCCGTCTCTCTTATCTATCTCTCTATCTATCTAGTATAGCCTATAGGATATCTTAACGTCTAGCACACTCGACTAGATCACTTTTACTATCGTGTATTTTGGGCAATCTTCAGATTATGCCAGCAACAGCATCATCTTGGCGATGATTGTCGTGCCAAGCCACCACGTGATGCCAGCAGCTAACCAACTGCTGTTATTGTTGTTGTTACTGTTGTTGTCGTCGGCAGAGGCAATAGCAGCAGAGGCAGCAACAGCGGCAGCAGAGGGCACCTGGTTGGCTGATGATGGTGGGCACCCGCCACAGATCAGCGCGCTTTGTGCATTTGCATTCATTATGTTTGGCACCGTCGACGCGGCCACAACACAGTTCCAACTCTCGCAATCTGAAAGATCTTCGCCATTCAAAATTGTCACTTCTTCTAAATTCTTAAGCCGACTTACGAGACAAGTGTGTGTGGGTGAATCTGTGTGTGTTGGAATTTGAAAAATGCTTGAAATGTGGATTTGTATAACAAGCTGCTGACACTTGTTTGACAAGAGCTAGAGTTCAGAGTTGACCTTTAGCTACAACATTTAACTTTAAATTGTATGCAATAAATAAAAAAAATATATAAATAAATAACACAATGTTATCGCCACGTTTTTGCCACATAATTGTGCTGGTGAGCCTGGGCGCAGCTGCCTTTGCCGAGGAGTCAATAAATGCGGAACGCAACCACAAGGTGGGTAGAGGCCACAGTAACTATGCAAATAGCTGCAGTCATAAATAATCCGAAAACCAATTAAAGAAACGTCAAATCTATCGAGAGCAAGTGCTGCCACATGCGGGTGGCAAGATACCCGACACCGCCTTCGAGACCGATCGCTTGTTTCTGAACCGTTTGCAAAAGGAGGGCATCTCGGTGCCAGATGGCATCGTGCCAGAGCAACGCAATCCACAGGTAATCAATCTAACTAATGGGATACATATATATGGGTATATCATTTCAGCACACTTTATAATTAATTATATATATATTTAATGAATAGGTTTATCAATACTATAACAAACCCATGCGCACCGTTTACCACATAGCGCTCAGCTCCGATGGCCGCTACACGCCACGAGAAGGTCGCTATCAGTATCGTCAGGTGCCCAGCGTAGAGACTACCTATCTGTATCCGCAGGCTGTGGGTCATCCGTATGTGTTCGTGCCGCCCAAGCATGCATTGCCCAGCTATCGTCAACTGCAGCTGCATAATCCGTTGCTCAATCAAGTGAAATTCCAGCCTAAGAAAGGTGAGCCAAGCAATTATTTTTCTCCATTTTTTATGTTTTCGTTACGCCTTGTTGCACTTAACATTTATGTGGCTTGTGCAGTGCCCAATTTTCTGGAACTGGCGCCCACCGTGGGCAAGAGCCATGCATCCAGCTCATCAGCGAAGGCACAGTCCTATCAAAATGTGAATCTGTTGCATGGCCAAGTGCTGCCTGCCTTCAAGAAAACCGCCGGTGGGAGTAAGACCTATGTGGATAGCTATGGCAAGACTCACGTAAGCGCAACCTTTATGACACCATTATGAATCATCAACTCCACCTCAAACTCTTTATTGCAGCTCTTTAGTGAATTTGATGATTTGCTTAACAAGCTCGACTTGAATCCAGCAGGACAAAAGTTGTATTAGTTTGCTATTTTTGTTTCCTAAGCGCATAAATTATAAGCCTAAGTTAAGCCAGAACAATAGAAAACTCGTGACAATATTTGAAGCTTCGTTTATAGAGTATTAAATGCTCATTATAACAATGCCAATTACGAACCGTTTACACGCAGTTTAATTATCTTAACCAAGTTGAATGTACTTTCTATTCATTGTTATTACACTCAATCATACCATATTTAATAACTATTTCTTGCATTTAAGTCAGCCGAAAATTTGTTAAGCGTAAAAAATTGTTTGCTTGCAAAATAAACCATATTGCATTATGCTTTCCTACACAAGCTATATAAATGCAATAACTACTTACATATGCATAAGATACTTATGCTTATCATCGTTATACCTAAAGTTTTACTGTACTATTTAGGCGGTGCGATCTGTTTGTTCAATTGCAAAGCAAAAATACAAAAAAAGCTTAGAAAAGCAGCTTCCAAAAATCGAAAGTTGAACAGCCGAGCAGCTAACGAAAGACCGAATCACGAAGCAAAAACACGAGCCACGCTTACCGTTAGAAATCGTTCATGGTACCCTTGAAAGCTTGCACGACGACAGCAGCGGCGGCTCAAGTGGACGCCGCTTGGAAAAACTGCACTTCAGCTTCAGTGCGATTTTCAAACTGAACGCAGACGGTTGAACCAATCCCAGAACTGCAAATAAACAAAACCTGATCCTCAAACCTTAAAAAAACAGACATGTTGAAGCAACAGACGATGCTGGCAGCGCTGCTGCTGCTTGTGGCTGGCCCAGCGATGGCCATTGAAGTGCAGGTTAGTCTGGGACGATAATTAGTTAGTCAACAGATATCGATAAAGCATAATGATGAGCTGCAATTAGTCTAAAAAATCAAACCAGGGAACAGCACAGTTCCCGCCTCGCATTGGTTTGGCACGCGTGGCTGTATCTTACCACGCGACGTTGTGCTCGACGTTCACTTTTGACCCAAAAATTGTAACATGCAATTGAGGCAAACAGCAGCACGAAACACACATATACACATATGCTCATAACAACAGCAACACACATGTTTAATTGTTTGCTAATAATGAGCGGCCTGCCACTTGGGGGGAGTTGGAGACTCAAAGACTCGGAGAGTGCGGAACCGGTTACCGCACAAGTCTTTGGGTTACGCAATTTGCAGCATTTGATATGTTTACTTATGTTGCTGCAGAAATTTGGACACCTGTTTAATCCACCACAACCAGAGCATCATGAGCGGCACGAAGATAAACAGGATCTGAATAAAATACCAGGAGTGGCAGGCGTTGATTATCCGATTTACCATGAAGTGCCGCACACGCAATTCAGCTGCCACAATGTGCCTGCCGTTCCGGGCATGTATGCAAATGTGGAGACCGGATGCCAGGCTTATCACGTATGTCACGACGGTCGGGAGGGACACCAGGGCGCCTCGTTCCTCTGCACAAACGGCACTATATTCAATCAGAAAGAATTTGCCTGCGACTGGTGGTACAATGTGAAATGCGAGGAGGCCATCAGCCTTTATCAGTAAGTCTGTTGGAAATATTATTAAATCTTATAATATTTGATTTATCACCATTGCTTAATTAATACTCAGCTTAAATGCGGATCCGGAGCATAATCCCTATGTGCCCAAAAAGAAGCCTGAGTTGGAACAAGAGGCACATGTGCCACATGATGCTCATGGATTTTTGATACACGCCTAAATACTAAAACGTATTATATAACTAATTATTTAATTGTTATATTTCATATTTACGACAATAAACTTCGATTCCAATTTAGAACATTTTCATAATTTTTAGAGCCTTTTGTAACGGTCATATCGCTTAAATTCTTATCGACTTACTGATGTATCGATAGTTTTTGATCGGCTCTATATTTATATCGATACCCGGTAATTACCATCACAACACAAATTGTTTTTACAGCTGCACTGCCAATTTAAATCAAAATACATTTGGACGTTATTAAAGTAGAATGGCTACTCATCGCGATCCAAGCTCAACGGGCTACAACATTGCCCGAGATCCCAATTTGGTAAAGAATCGAATCTTTATTGGAAATCTGCCCATTTGTACACGAGAGGAGCTGGAAAGCATCTGCCATCCATATGGAAAAGTGTTGGGATCGTTGGTGCAAAAAAACTTTGGTTTTGTGCAGTTCGAAAACGAAGAAATTGCCAATAAATGTGCGGCTGCTTTAAATAAATCTACATTCAAGTCAAAGGCGCTAACAGTGCGAAATGCGAGCATCAAACCGAAAGCGATCAATGCAAATGCAAAGAAGATGAATATAAACGCACAGATTCAAGGCGGTATTCCAATGGCCGTGCAGGGCGGGATTGTTATGTCCGCCGCTGCTGCTGCTACCGTTGTGCCCATTAATGACTGCGAAATAATTGTGGTGAATCGTGAGAATACGTGAGTATACATATTGCCCTGTTAAATCATCTGCTAACCGACTTACCTCTCAACTACAGAAAGTACGCAGAGTTCATTGAAGACCGCTTGAGAAAGGCTGGCATGCGAGTAGATGTGCTCTTTCCCAATGAGGATGTTATGCTGAGTCAAGTGCTCAGCAATATATCAGCACGCGGTTGTCTCTACGCCGTGCTGGTGACCCCACAGCATGAAGCTCTAAATAGCATTACAGTCAATATATTATATGGAGTGCCCGCCGAACATCGCAATATGCCATTGGATGATGCCATCGCACTCATTGCCACTGACTTCCGATCGAAGAAGCAACGAGACGCGTTAAACGCTTCCCAGCTGCACCCCAACCAGAGCAGACATCCAGATCCAATGCAGCAATTAATCGATATGCTCGCGGACAACCGACAGTTGACGGGTTTGCAATATGAATGCATAATCAAATATTTAGAGGAGCAGCGGGAGCAACAGTTAAAGTTGGAGTTGGGCGAAGCAAATGCCTTGGCCAAGCTGCAAGCGCCCGATCCAGAAATGGAGCTGCAAAAGAGGATTCTCAGTGTTATGAATAAGCCATCCGTGACAGAGATCAGCTGTGAAATTATGTATCCCACATTTGAAGTAGCTAGAGCAGATAACCGTCTGATGGAATTGCTGAAGGATTCGAGGGTTATGTCAGCGTTGGAAAGCCTTTACAATTCGGATCTGACGGAGACAGTGTCTCAATACTTATAGAACGTAACACTTTATTATTAATTATAATCAGCAAATAGAATTAACAAATTAAACTAAGGCCATGACCGCTTTGCCTCATGTCCCTCATATTTGTGTCGATACTTGAGTCCTGTAACCAAAGTGGAGCTCTTTGGAAAAGCAGTTTGTCCATTGAACTTTGTATCTGTGTCCGGGTGGAAACGCAAGTATTCATATTGTATGTGCAAATTCTCTGGCAAATCGATGCGTTTCAGCGCATCCAGCGGCACAGTAGTGTCTACCACCTTCTCGTAAAATGCGATAACATCGGCCACTGTGGACATCTCGTGTACCTGCGAATTGGGCACACCATGCTGAAGTTCCTGGAAGCATGCCGATAGAAACTTGAACTTTTCCTCTAAGTTAGATAATTGTCGCTGGTCTCCGCCATTGGCCATCTGCAATTTGGCAGCCAAGGCACGAACACGGCTCGCTGCATCAGTAGTAGGTGAGTATGGTTTATTTGGACGAAGGAAACTGCAATCAATTGAAATCTTTAACATTTAATCATTACTTAGGAATAATATTTACCCTTTCGCAGCAAGAGATTTACCAACAGCCGCTAATGTTTTGCCTTTTGTCTGCTTCGATGAAGCATAACTTCTCTGCAGGTTGGGCACAAGCTATGGGTGGGTTTTCGAATTACAATAAGTTCTTTTTAAGGCTTACAGGTCAAATTTACTCACATTTTGTGGCACAAGTAAAAAACCTTTACGTAAATTTACCGCTGCCATTATTTTAGTGCTGCAAAGCAGATATTTTAAAGCGTTGCGTCGATGCCGTTGTGCAGCCCTCAGTAGCTGTCATAAAATGTTTTACGTAATCGATAACATTTCAACGAGATTTTCTATGACATTTGTTTAAATACTTTTTAAGCTCTGTGAAGCCTACTGGAGTCGTTTAAATGCCTAATACTTAAACAAAAACTGCCTGAATGTTTTTTATTTGCAATAAATAAGATACATCGCCATCAAAACAATTGATTTTTTTGTAATATCGAGTAACTATATATATATTCGATATATCGATATTTTAGCCATCGCTAGCTGTCACTGCTCGTCTCTTTCTTTTTCCGGTCGCCGAAATGGTACGACGCAAGAAATTATAAGCTCAAAAAATAATTTGTAAACATCTTCAATGTTTATGAAAAATATTGATAGTTGTTAGAAAAACATGACACATCGTACGCTAATTGAACAGTTGGTAATAATATTTTAATATTCTTGCAGGGTATTGATATCAACCACAAGTACGATCGTAAGGTTCGCAGAACCGAACCCAAATCTCAGGATGTCTACCTGCGTTTGCTCGTCAAGGTAAATATTATAAAATGTAATTAAAGTTAAAAGTGTTGTTGACATAAGCCTCTTTCGTTTTACAGCTGTACCGTTTCCTGCAACGTCGTACAAACAAGAAGTTCAACCGCATCATCCTGAAGCGTTTGTTTATGAGCAAGACCAACAGGCCACCAATGTCGCTGCAGCGCATTGCTCGCTTCTTCAAGGCCGCTAATCAGCCGGAGTCGACTGTTGTGGTTGTTGGCACCGTTACTGATGATGCCCGTCTATTGGTGGTGCCTAAGTTGTCACTATGCGCCCTCCATGTTACCCAGACAGCTCGCGAGCGCATCCTGAAGGCTGGCGGTGAGATTCTGACCTTCGATCAGTTGGCTCTGCGTGCACCTACCGGCAAGAACACGCTTCTGCTCCAGGGCAAGCGTACCGCTCGCACTGCCTGCAAGCACTTCGGCAAGGCTCCTGGTGTGCCCCACTCGCACACTCGTCCCTATGTCCGATCCAAGGGACGCAAGTTCGAGCGTGCTCGTGGTCGTCGCTCAAGCTGCGGTTACAAGAAGTAAACAAGTGGCCAGTGGAAATGGTGGACGTCGCTTTTTGGTTAAGATATTGATTTGTCAATCGAGGAAATTATCGTTGCGCTCTGTGTGGCAATAAAGAACTTTTATTCCAAAAAGTGAAAAAACAATTTCTATACTCGTATGTACAATAAATCTAAAGCTAATCTAAGCCTAGTGCAAGTGTGTGCTCCAATAATTGAGAATTGGTTGATCCTGCGGCTGCACTCCGAGAACCTTCTTCAACTTGGCCTGCACGCTCCCGGATTTGGCATGATTCAGGCAAATGACCTTGCTGCAAGCATACGAAACATTTAATAATGCGAGTTCATTTGGGTATTGCTTTTACCCACTTCTTCCACTCCTCGATAAGCACCTTTGTCTGCTTGTTGAGCACCAACTCGGTGAAAGTCTTTTCCTCGACTGCTTGTACGGCTTTCAATAGCTTGACCATAAGGTCAGGATCTGCAAAACAAAGGAGGTGCTATTGATCGGAGAAATGAACAAAAATATTTTGGCTTACACTTGCGTGGCAGTTCGCCGGGCCACTTAACGGAGACGATATCGTTGCCATTGACATGCTTATCTAAGAAGTCAATGCGGAGCACGGAACTACTAGCAATTGGTACGGCAATCTCATTTGACACCGATATTATCTTGTACTCCGAACTGATTGAGTGCTGATGCTGTGCATCAATGCGCATTAAATTGTGCATTGGTTCAGGCAGCAGTTTCTTCAGGCACACCATGAATTGGAAGGTGCGGTCCGGTGCGCCACGAACAATGATCTTAACGCCCGTTAGGGCGCAGTAGCAAACGGTAGCAAAGTCCTCCTTGCGTACCACCATCTTAATATGTCGCAGCGAGAAGAATTCATCCTGTTCGGGATTATCGATGCTCTCCTCATACATTTGTATCATTGGCAGCGTAGAGCTGTTGTACGTCAGTCGCTGTGCCGGCGGTCGCCCGCTGCTCTGCGGTGGCAACCACGGCAGGTTGCCGAAGGTGACGTGCTCGGTAAGGAATCGCGATCCGGCTAGCAGTATCCAAGCAAAATGGGAGTGCAACTGAGCGAATACATGCTCCTCTCCAGTCAACTCGATCAGAGAGCGTGGTGTCGGCATCAGAAACTGTGCGCCTGACAAACGACGTTGTCTAACCGAATAATTCTGCTCTTCAGCTGCCTTGGTGCGCTGCGCTCCGGTTTGCAATTCCGTGGAAACTTTCTTCAAATGCTCTGCCAGAAAGGGTTTTGTGTTTAGCAGAAAATACTTATCCTTCATTAAAACAATAATCGAGAAGAGCTGATAGTAGCCACGAGACTGCAAATCGCTGACGCGAAATGTGTGGCTAAGTATATGTCCTCGAGACGAGTCACCAAAGAAAACGAAACCCCCATCGCCATCGCCATCTCTGTTGGTGTTTATCTCACAGCTGAGACTGCGCACGGCTGCCTGCTTGACCAGATTTGCCACTTCAGGCAGGACAGCCACTTTAGTGCTCACAAATGTGGCGCCACTCTCCGTATCCTTGCTGTAGATGGCATTGTTATTGCGCCCCAGTGTATAATTGCAAGCTGAACAAGTCTTTTGGCCCTGCTGCTGTTGCTGCTCTACATTCAGTAGGTCTTCGATTTTTGTGTCACGCAACGTTTGCGTACAAAAGATGGCGCAGGGACCATGTGCTTCGCAAAAATGACATAGCGCAATTACAGCGTTCATCTATGTATTCCGGGCAAAAATAGTTTTTGTTTACAAAAAATTCAGATCTTTTTGGGCACGCGCTTGTTATTTATTTTTACTTTAGTCAATGTGACCGCATGCGAGAAATATAACCAACTAAAAAGCGCCACATCAAAATAATTTGATTTAAAGAATATCTTCAAAAATCTATTAAAAATGTATATATATGAATATTATAATATTTTTTATATACAAGTTATATTCAAAAACTTAATGAGGAGCTAATTATGATTGAGATTTCATTTCTAATTAATGTTGACGGAATACCATTAATTACATTGCCATAATGCTATCGGCTTACAGGTATAAAAATGATCAAAATATCGACCCATCGATAAATTGTAAACAATTCTTGTACGCGGTTAGTAGAAGGCGAAACGGAATAAACAAATTCGTTTAAATGGAAGAACAATCCGTTTTATTATGTGAACTAGCTGATGAATATTTAGACAGCACTGAAAATATTGATTCGAACTTAGTGTTTCCTTATGGTAAAAGACAATGGCAAATAAAAACATTCCTAACTGAATATGCGAATGCTCTAATTCCGATCATAACAAACTGTAAGTACATTCAGCTTAATTCGATACTTAACTAATAGCTGTTTTAAAAATAAAGATGAAAAACTACGCACCAAAAAACTATGCTTCAGAGCACTACGAACTCAAAATGGCTGTTGGACACTTGTATTCCTTCAGAAGGAATCGGCCTCGTTATATTCGGCAAATAAACTCGACATGGAACTTGCTGCTGAGATTTTGCCAATTGTTTTCAGCAATTACACGCCCACCTTAGAATTTGAAGTGGCGAGAGAACATCACCAGCGCCAACGTGAACTGAAGAGCTATGTAACAACGCAGCTGTACAATGCTTTGCACTGCAAGCATCAGGAACAGCAAAATGCCGAGCCATTGCCCCTGTGCTTGCCGAGTTATTTCAAATCTAAGCTAAGAAAGTATCAGGAACGTACCGTCAGCTGGATGCTGACACGTGAACGACAGACAAATGCATTTCCTGCCAACTATATTGCACTGCAGACCGTGAACCACCCGCATCAAGTATTCAAGCACAAGTACTGCCTACAATTCTATGCGCACCAAGAGGCAATGCCCAGGATCTCCTTGCCACCGGGTGGCATTCTGGCCGATGAGATGGGTCTTGGCAAGACCGTTGAGCTGTTGGCCACACTGCTGCTGCACCCAAGAGAAAACGTCAATAACAGCTATTGGCGAAACTTGCTGGAAAATCTGGAGGACAATGTTCCACTCAAGCTCAGACGCACGAAGCACAAAACCCATTGCATTTGCCCGCACTCACAGCAAAGTAAAGAGAAAGTACAGTGCAGCCGTTGTCGGCTGTGGCAGCATCAAATGTGTGTACTGGATGCCAGCGATGTTTATATGTGTCCCAATTGCTGGACAGAATCCGCAACGAGCTGCTCGGAGCTGGTTGAATCGGGAGCTACAATCATTGTGTCACCGAATGCCATCAAGACGCAATGGTTCAATGAAATCAGCAAGCATATAAGCTCCACACTGAAAGTGCTCCTCTATCCGGGATTGCACTCTGGTCTCTGGATTAGCCCAATGCAATTGGCCCAGTATGACATCGTGTTGACAGACTATTCCATCTTGACGCATGAGATTCATCATACACCCCGCAATGCAACGGATCGTGAGATGCGTTTTGAGCAGCGGTATATGCGACCCAGTTCCCCGCTTTTGATGGTTAACTGGTGGCGCGTCTGCCTGGATGAGGCCCAAATGGTCGAGAGCAGCACTTCGCAGGTGGCTGAAATGGTGCGTGAGCTGCCTGCAGTCAATCGATGGGCAGTCACTGGCACTCCAATACAACGCTCCATCGATGATCTGGCACCGCTTCTAAAATTTATTGGCTTCAAGGAGGCGTGCCAGCCAGGGGATGCCTGGCAAACGGTCTCCAACTCCTTTCTGCTCAACCATAAGGCTGAACCGCTGCTAGAGCTGCTGCAGCAAAGCATGTGGCGCACTTGCAAATCAAAAGTGGAACACGAGCTCGGCATACCGCCACAAACAGAGCTCGTGCACCGACTAGAGTTGAGCAACGTCGAGTCATTGTATTACCGCGAGGAACATGCCAAATGCACTGAGCTCTTTCTGGCAGCTGTGGCCAAGCACACAAAACAGAATCCTAACAACAGCAGCTCCTGCTTGGCTTCCATATCACCAAAGCTGCTCAGGATTATACTGCATCCTTTTTTGCGCATCCGAAAAACCTGCACCGTTCCAGTTGTGCTTAACAAAAATGTGACCACGACCAACTATTTGAATCCACAGGATCTCTTGGTGCATCTGAAGTCGAATAATGAGATGCAATGCAAGCGCGAACTGCGCACATGGGCCTCATCCTACAATGGTATTGCAGCCATACATTTCATACGCAAACATTATGGCCAGGCGATCCATAATTACAAACTGGTGCTGAAGCTGGCTCAGGACTATAATGACGAGAACATATCGTAAATTGATTAGATTAGAGATTGAATAAAGTTGGTAATCCATCGTCTTATCTTTACAGCGTGGATAGTTTGCTCCAAATACATGCATTGCATAACCTGCTAGAGGCTTCGCAGCTAGCTCCGGAGACAGAGCGCTTGACGGAGCAAGAGCTTTCATCAAACCGCCTAAAGTTAAACGCATTGGAGTGCAAATATTTGGAAGAGAAGTCAACAGTGCTGCAGGCAGCACGAGCTGCCTATGAATCGAAGCTAGAGGAGCTGGATAAACTGGAGCAGCAATATGACACCAACATTTTAGAGCTATTCGCCACACTGATCAATACAAGTGGATCCCTGCACAATGCGCTGTGGAATAAGATGGCAGATGAGTTCTTTAGACAAAATTGTTCCAAAGATAAGTTGCAGGATGTGAACTCCATGACAGGCGTGCTCTATATAATACACAACTGGCACAGAAACTTGACGAAGCTGCACAAAAAACTTGCCGCCGAATTTGAATTTCTTAAGAATATTTTGGTGCAGGCGTGTGGAGCAGTGGAACAGGGAGTTGCCTTAAGTCAGGAAACGATTAAGTTTATTAGAGATGTCTCCGATTGCCACTTGGCTGACATCTTGGTGAGTGTCTTTCAAACGTAATATATAATGTATAATAATTTAACTTTTCGTTAACAGGACGACAAAGCCGCTGACAAACCTATTAGACCAGAAAAGCCAAAGAAACAACAACAATGTCGTTTATGTAAGATTCGGGATATGGTCAATCAATTTGAGTGCTTGCTGTTTGCCAAGGAACTGGGCAAGGAGGGCACTGTAACGGATGGTACGGAGAATCCTTGCATCGAAATAATTATTATTAAAGGTATCAATGGCTATAATTGACCAATTGGAAAATAGTCTAGCGTAAACATATACATTTGCAGTCGTCTTCGCCTTTTTGCGGTCTAGGAACGAGTTTAGCGAGTTTAAAACCGAATGTAAAAGTAAACTGGAGTTGCTGGATGCTCTCCAGAGTCTGGTGAAGTTGCAGATTAAATACTGGATTGAAATGGAGTATGTGATCAAAGCGTTCGATGAGCTGGACATGTGCAAAATGCGCATATTACTCACCAATGATCCGGAAGAACAGTCCAACTTCCGCATATTGCCCTACCAGTTGGACGAGCAGACGGAATTCAACTTAAACAATATTCAAGAATCGCAGCTGAATTTTACTCGCTTGTCCGGACGACTGAAGTACTTGAAACATTTAAAGGAAGATGCGGGCGATAAGCCCTGTCCCATTTGCCAAACTCAGGATGATAAGCGCGTAATACTTTATATTTCAACATATTCAAAACCGTATCTGATTCCCTTTTCTTTATAGTACGTTATGTTGTCCTGTGGTCATTTCCTGTGCCAACATTGTCTGGACAGCATGAAGAAGCAAATGGGTCGCGATAGCATTAAAAGATGTCCATTGTGCCGGCAAGATTCGCCACAGTGAGTGGTCGAACCACAAAAATAAATAGAATATATTTAATTCAAATTTCATTTTCAGGCTCTACTATTCCGTACGTAAGAGTGCCAACAGTTCCGAGGTTGTCGGCGATTTCTCAACGAAGATTGCGTACATTGTTGAGCTAGTCCTGAAGATCAAATCCGAATGCTCTGACAAAGATCAAGAAAAAATTCTGATCTTTTCACAGTGGTCAACAATATTGAATCATATTGCCAGCGCTTTAAGCCAAAATGCGGTCGAGTATCGCAGCAAATTCACAAATCGTGATATTGATGAGTTTAAGGTTTGTATTTTGTGGTTAACCTACCCAAATCTTCTATCTAATGAATCACTCTCTTCCTCGATAGGATGCTGACCGTAATGTGACTTGCTTGTTAATGCCCTTAGCTAGAGGCTCCAAGGGCCTCAATCTAATTGAGGCTACCCATGTTTTCCTCGTAGAACCAATACTGACGCCAGGTGAAGAGCTGCAGGCTATTGGACGTGTTCATCGTTTCGGTCAGACGAAGTATGTGCATGTAAGATACATTCCTTTCAGACAAATTTGTAACTATTCTCTATATCTCAACAGAGCGACCACAGTACATCGTTTCATTGTAAATGGCACAATCGAGGAAAATATCATGAAGCTCATTAAATCGGCCGACGACAAATCCACATTATCAACACACTGGGACCTTGATAACATGACATTGGAGAGCCTAAAAAATCTATTTATACTTAAGGAAAATGAGTAAAAATAGAATGATCTCAAACTGTACATAATCAACATATATATAAATATATATACATATATATATTTATTATATGTTTGCTAGGTAAACTTTTATAATATAAACCTGCTTAAGTCTAAAAGTATCTCTACTTATAAGGATTATAAAGTATTGCTTTTTGAAAACGATTCAGCTTAACTTATATATTTGCAGTTCTACATGTACTTCCTCTCAGCCCTTTTCTGTTTGATAACATTTTCAAAATCTTATCAAACACCTTATTTTCAAACGTGGTCTATCTTTAGATCGTCCAGGTTGGTGCCATCGGCGGATGCCTTTTGCGCATAGTAACCATCGTAGGAGCTTTGCGCCTTTTCGATTTCCTGTTGTTTCTGTAGCTTTTGCAGCTGCTCGTAGGCGGCTTCTTGTATTTTGAGACGCTCCATGTCCGCTCGTCGCTTCAGTTCGTTCTCCTCAAACTGTTGTGCCTGCAACTCAGCTGAAGCCGCTGCTCGCTCTGCGGCAGCCTCTTGGTACTCGTCATACGAGTGCAGATTCTTGTCGGTGGCCTCAATCTTGTGCAGCGACGAGAGTTGCTCCTTAGCGGCCTCAGCAATTTCTTTGCGTTTCGCTTCAGCCTTGCGCCTGGCTTCGCGCTTTGTGCGCTCCTGTTCTTCCAGCTCCTCGCGCGCGGCATAGAACTTGGATGATATGACTGGTGGGCGATTTTCGTGCGTCCTTTGATGTCGCTTCAACGCCGTCTCCTGCCGGAAATGTGTGCCGCATGTCTTGCACTCGAACGGTTTCTCGCCCGTGTGTATCCACTCGTGATGACGCAGCGTCTGCGCCTTCGCGAAGCGCTTGGGGCAGAAACGACAGGCGAAATCCTTGACCTTCTCGTGTATGATCTTGTAGTGTCGCTTCATATTGCCAATGTTGTTGAAGCCCTGCCCACAGCCGGGGCAAATGTGCTTGCCTTCCTTCTTAGTAAAATTGACTTGGGGCGACCAGGAGGGCACTGACACAGATGGTATTGGATTGACTGCCGTACCAGCAAGTTGAGCTATGTCCACGCGCTGCACTCGCCTCGGATCTCTGGGTATCGTGGCCACCGATTCGGCGCACACCTTAAGCAATTCATCGGCTGCATTTTGGGAAATTATCACATCAGCTGCTTCCGTAGCTGTGGGAGTTTCAACGGGTGTAACGGCAGCCGCAATATCCGTTGGCTCCCCGCTATTCGTGGGCACTTCACCCAGCTCCACCTGCCGTTGGCGATAAGTCTCGATAGCGCGTAGCACGCGCTTCTCGTGCGTCTTCAAATGCTTTGTGAGGCTCTTTGGATAAAGGAACTTCTTGCCGCAGACTTTGCACTCGCACCGTTTCTCGCCGGTGTGCGTCATCTCGTGAATTTTACAGGCGTGCGACTTGCCAAAGGTCTTGCCACAATACTGACAGGCATAGTTCTTAATCTTCTCGTGCACAATCTTAATGTGGTTGGCCAGACTTTGCTTGTTGTGCGAGGCATGCTCGCATATATGGCACTTGAACTTCTTCTCCTGGGTGTGCGTCAGAATGTGTGTGTTCCACTCTTGCCGTGTGGTCTTACCAACACCACAGTAGGGACACACGTAATTCTTGATGCCAGCGTGCCGCATCAGATGGTCTTTGAGTGCACTGTTGATCACAAAACGTTTGCCGCATATATTACAAGGGAAAGGCAGCTCCTTGCCGTCGTGCTTATACATATGTTTCTTCAAGGCCATGGGACAGCGGAACACCTTTTCACACTCCGTGCAGGGATAGTCTCTGGGTGGTGCTGCTGCCTTTGATATGTTGTGCACTTTCTTCATGTGGAAGGTAAGTAGACGAATGCGCGGAAACGTCTTGCCACATCCCTCGACGCTGCAGGCATGCACCTCGGACAGCTCTGTATGCGCATGATCGACGTGCAGCCGCAGTCCACCGGCCGTTGTGAAGCCCTTTCTGCAGGAGTCAACTTTGCACTGGAACGGCAGCAAGTCATTATGATGCTTCATATGCTCCTCGTAGCGGATTGCCTTCTTGAACTTCTGATGGCAGATATGACAGTCGATGATGCGATGCAAATGCCGTTCAGCTGCTGGTATTCGTTTGCGCTTTGTTCTTGATTTAGAGCCATTTTCATCCGATGCTGAACTGTAGTCATCTTCCAGCTCTACACTGTCGGAAGGTCTTTTTGCACTAGATTTGCCGAAGTTCCTTGGATTACCACGTAGTCGTTGAGCCAGGGGCATGTCGTCGTCGCCATCCGTGCTGTTTGGCTCAAAGTCTATATCATTATCATTGTCATTGTCGTCGTTGCTGCTTGCCATTGAGGACTCATCGCCAAACATTTGGAGGATCCCAGACTGATCTTCAACATCTTGTTTAACTTCTTTCTCAACCTCCTCTGCCTCCTTGTCCACGTGCTCCAGCATTTTGAAGACATCCTCTTCATTCTCTATAATCTCCATCTTGTGATTCAACAACGGATCATAGTTAATACGATCCTCTTCTTCGCCAACCAAATCTCCCTCCTGTGTCGCAACATTCAGAACGTCAAAGTTGTTGATTTGATTGATTTGAGCCACTGTTGAAGTGAAGACATTGTTGGCGACCATTTCTTGAAATCTTTGAACAGAGTCAACGCATAGCTTCTGAAAGTCGTGCAAGTCGTTAAGCCGGGTGTAGCAATTGGTGCACAGATTCATCGGAAAACCATCCTGCTGCTCCACTGACAGAGATGTGCACACACACAGTTTCTTGGCCAGACCTGGGACCAAAAACAAATCGTAGGCGGCATCGTTTCGCAAATGATTTAAGCAGATTCGGCATATTGTTTGTATGGAGTATCCACTCCTCTCATTCATCTTCGATGTAATGTAAATTTAAGACGGGAGAGAAAAAAAAACGCGTCAGAAAAAGATTTTTTGGATGTCGCTGCTGTTGTCTGTTAACTTAACATGTTGTTCAAATGTTATTAACAGCGGCGTATATTTTAGTCGTTTTTATGTTGTATTTTCAAAAAAATTGTGTAGATTCCTTGATGCCAATCATTTGAAATTGATATTAACTGCTTCATGCAGGAGTTTCTTTTAGATGTCTTGAATATTTACAAAAAGCGGCAAATAAGAAATAATCATTTAGTAAACATCTGTTAAATGGCCCAAAATCGTTGTCTCTAACATATTGATAACAGTGCAAAACAATGCGATATGCTAATAAAGGGTATTCCACATTCAAGAAAGTTGATATTCATATGTGACTAATTATACTTATATATCTAAAACATTCATAAGAAATATTAAAATTTTAAATTAATATTAAAAATAGGTATACCCTAAAAGCATTACAACCCAAAATATAATAATCGGTTACTCACAGAGACAAAAAGGTATATCGATACTTAATGCTTGTGTGCTCTGCTCTAGTTTACACACCTCTGTAAATACATACAAAAAATGATATACATATGCACATATATCATTGTGTAAATATATCCACAATTGCCCATCCAATATTGTTGTAATACCCGAAATAAAACATCTTAGTAATTATATACGCGTAAATGTATATTTCCTTAAACAATAATCATAATAATCATGTCATTTTCATGGTGCTTGAATAACTTGAAAGTTGTTAAAGTATTATTTGATTTTTTTCATATGCATTTTCTTCAATTTAATACAGCACAGTTAAGGATCGGGATGGTAGACTGTTTTTTCATTTGTCTTAATTCTTAGTAACGTACCCATTGCACTGTCTTCAGATTATATCTTAATGCTTCAAACCGGCTTTTGGGTGCGGCACGGTTTTATCCACAATTCCATTTTTTTTCAAGATCTTGATTAAATCGCATAAGATGTTTACTCCGTTAAGCTTCTAAATTTGAAAATATTTAGTGAGTTTAATGCTAAGCCATAATTTGTATCTATAAAGTAAGCGTGCAATATAACACGTACCTATTAATTCATTATTTAATACATAATTGAAATGATTAAGATAAGGATAAAGTTATTAATATATGTAACCATTCGAGGGATTCGCATAGTTCATAAAGGTTCTTAAGTGGACTGGGACTGGGACAGCTGTAAGATTTTATAACTAAATATAAAATATTGCTCACACTTACTCAAAAACTTATTTCTTACCGCTGCCATTTATACATGATCTAATTTAAGAGCATCCATGCTAGTCCCCTCAGCCTCTGCTTTCTGTCCATAGTAGCTATCGTAGGAGCCCTTCTCACTTTGCACCTGTTTTTGCAGTCTGTTGAGCTGCTCGCATGCGGCCTCTTGAATCTTACGTGTTTCTTCCTCTGCCTTTCGCTTGGCCTCATTCTCCTCCATCTGCTGAGCGAGCAGTGCAGCAGTTGCGGCAGCACGTTCTGCAGCGGGATCCTGGAACTCGTCGAAAATCTTTGGTTGTTTTTTGTTGAGCTCGACCTTCAATCCCTTTGCTTTGCTAACAGAAGGCTTTGGGGGTTTCTTGGCTTTTGGCGGCTTTGGTGGCTTGTCGTGCACCTTCAAATGCGTCTTCAACACCTGCTCCTGACGGAAATGTTTGCCACATATCTTGCATTCGAACGGCTTCTCGCCGGTGTGTATATATTCATGATTGCGCAGGTATTGCGCCTTGGCGAAGCGCTTGGGACAGTAGCGACAAGCGAAATCCTTTACCTTTTCGTGAATGATCTTGTAATGAAGTTTCATATTGCCAATGTGATTGAAGCCCCGTCCACATCCTGGACAAATGTGCTGGCCCTCCTTCTTGGTAAAGTTCACTTGTGGTGACCAAGATGGTACAGATACCGAAGATATGGGATTAACGGACGTTCCCGCCAGCTGAGATATATCCACGCGCTCAACTCTATGTGAATTCTTGGGCTTAGGCGGAACTATTGGCACAGGCTTAATGTCCACAGGCTCTGCCATTTCCTGGTTCATATTCGGCGTACTTTGGGTATCTCCTTCGACACTCGGATTGCCAGTAGCTGATGGCGGTGGTATTTCACGCTTCTCGTGGATCTGCAAATGCTTTGTCAATCTCTTCTCGAAAAGGAAGATCTTGCCACAGATCTTGCACTCGCAACAATTCTCGCCAGTGTGGAGTCTCTCGTGGATCTTGCAGGCGTGTGATTTACCAAAGGTCTTGCCACAATATTGGCAGGCAAAGTTCTTAATCTTCATGTGGACCACCTTAACGTGATTAGACAGAGCCTGTTTATTATGAGACGAATGATCGCACTGGCGACATTGGAACTGCTTTTCTCTAGTGTGTGTCAAGATGTGCTTGTTCCACTCCTGACGAGTTGTCTTACCCACGCCACAGTAAGGACAAACGTGATTCTTCACGCCAGCATGGCGCAAGAGATGATCTCTTAGCACACTGTGTATATGGAATCGTTTACCACAGATCTCACATGCATAAGGCAGCTCCTCGCCTGTGTGCTTGTACATATGCTTTTTAAGCGCTGTTGGACAACGGAAAACTTTTTCGCACTCTGTGCATGGATGATTGCGAGTGTCAGCCTTCGCCACTTTGTGCACCTTTTTCATATGAAACGTGAGCAATACAGATCGGGGGAATGTCTTATCGCATCCCTCAAATGTGCAGGCGTGTACCTCAGAGAATTCCGAATGGGCGTGATCCATATGAAGTCGTAGACCACCAGCTGTAGTGAAACCTTTTTTACATGTTTCCACAGTGCACTGGAATGGCAACAGATCGTTGTGATGCTTCATGTGTTCCTCATAACGAATTGCCTTCTTGAATTTCTGGTGACATATATGACAATCGATTAGACGGTGCAGGTGGCGCTCAGCGGCCGGAATGCGTTTGCGTTTTGGTTTTGTTTTGGGCTTATCGTCGTCGTCATCATCATCATCGTCATCATCATTATCAGAGTCAGAGCTGGAAGAATCATCTTCATCTTCATCAACTTTTTTCTTTGCCTTTGATTTGGTTGCTCTGGTACTGCTTCGTAAACGTGACAAGGGCATGGCGTCGTCAGATTCGCTACTATTTGCTTCAAAGTCAATATCATCATCGTCATTTTCGGCTTCGCTTTCGCTTGAAGATTCCTTTCCCTTCTCCACTTCCTCCACATCTTTGTCGACATCTTCTAGCATTTTAAAAACGTCCTCCTCGTTTTCAATTATTTCTATTTTGGTATTCAAGAGCGGATCGAAGTTGATGCGATCTTCGTCCATTTCTCCATCCGGGGGCGGTACTTGCAGTATATCGACATTGTCAATTTGATTTATATCAGCAATAACAGGTGTGAAATAATTGTTGGCGACCATTTCTTGAAACTTTTGCATAGAATCCACGCATTGCTTTTGAAATCCGTGCAAGTCGTTCAGCCGGGTGTAGCAAGTGGAGCAAAGGTTTTTCGGGAAGCCATCGTGCTGTTCCACTGAGAGTGAAGTGCACACACAAAGTTTCTTAGCCAGACCAGGGACAAGAAACAGGTCGTATGCCGGATCGTTTCGCAAATGATTTAAACAAATGCGGCATATCGAGTGTATGGAGTATTCACTCCCCTCATTCATTTTGCTTATTTCGTTTTTTCTTCAGAATAGTTTGTAAATTTGATAAAAATTTCAAGCACTGTCCGATGAGAAAAACTATGTATACGCGTCCATAAAAGGAACGAGCAAATCATATATCGGTTACTCGGATGAGTATTCAGTAATATTACTCGTAACTAATATGATTTAGAAATGGTTTCGATAGTTATAGGGTATTTTGATAAATACGTTAACATATTGTTTTTAAATGTGAATAGAATTTTCTTTTACCAAAATTAAACTATTTTTATTGCACTTAATATAATAAAATTAAGTTCTAATAGTTACAATTTAAGTTTATTTCGTATTAAAGGCAGAATATTGTTTATTCAATAAAATTAGAACACCGATCGTTAAATATATTCCAATATATGTTATTAATATAACAAATTCTTTAAGGAATATAAATTATATAAAATAGACAAGTTAAAACATATATATTATACTATATAAATAGAAAGATTGGAAAGAATATTCTTTTCATTTAGTCTCCTTTCAGATCATCCACACTGATGCCTGTTTCCGGCTTCTTTACTTGAAAGCTATCACTGGGTAGCTTGTTAATAAGCTGTTCCTTCTGCAGCATCTGAAGTTGTTCGCATGCAGCCTCTTGAATCTTACGCGCTTCCTCGTCCGCCCTTTGCTTGGCTTTATACTCCTCCTTCTGTTGAGCGAGCAGAGCAGCAGTAGCTGCAGCGCGTTCTGCAGCAGGATCTTGATATTCATCAAGAATCTTGGGCGGTTTCTCGTTGAGATTCATCTTCTGCCTTTTTTCCCTATTAGGATCTTTTGGAGGCTTGGGCTCTTTTGGAGGTTTAGCCTCTTTTTCAGGTTTCTTCGGATTCTCGTGTACCCTTTTGGCATGTACTTTCATCACTTTCTCCTGCCGGAAATGTCTACCACAATACTTGCATTGGAAAGGCTTTGCGCCGGTGTGCGTCCATTCATGATGCTGTAAGATTTGTGCCTTTGAAAATCGTTTGGGACAGAAGCGACAGGCGAAATCTTTCACCTTTAAGTGTACAATTTTAAAGTGAATTTTCATGTTGCCAATGTGGTTAAAGCCACGCCCACATCCCGGACATATGTGCTGGCCCTCCTTCTTAGTGAAGTTTACTTGAGGGGACCAGGATGCCACAGAGACTGTAGGAATGGGATTGACAGAGGTACCGGCCAACTCGGAAATATCTACACGCTCTAACCTATTTCCGTTTTTCGGCTTAGGTGGCTCCGTTGGTATGAGCTTCATCTCTGCAGGTTCAGTTGTCTCTTGGCTACTCTGGGCATCATCTTTAAGGCGCCCTTTTGTAGCTGTTGCGCGAAGCTCACGTTTCTCATGAGTTTTCAAATGTTTTGTCAAGCTCCTCTCAAAAAGCAATACTTTGCCACAAATATTGCACTGAGAGCAATTTTCGCGAGTGTGGATTCTTTCGTGAACTTTGCAGGCATACGACTTGCCAAAGGTCTTGCCACAATACTGACAGGCATAGTTCTTAATCTTCATATGCACCACTTTAATATGATTTGCCAGAGCCTGCTTGTTGTGAGATGAATGATCGCATTGATCGCACTGAAACTGTTTTTCCTTGGTGTGCGTCAATATATGTTTGTTCCATTCCTGTCGAGTTGTTTTACCAACACCACAGTAAGGACAAACGTGATTCTTCACACCGGCATGACGCAAGAGATGATCCTTGAGTTCGCTGTTTATGTGGAAGCGTTTGTTGCAGATATTGCAGGAAATCGGCTTCTCCTCTCCAGTATGTTTGTACATATGTTTCTTAAGGGCTGTTGAACAACGGAAAACTTTCTCACACACCGTACAAGGATGATCCTTGGCTCGAGAGGTAATAATTTTGTGAACTTTTTTCAAATGGTTCGTGAGTAAAACGGGTCGAGGAAATGTCATACTACATCCCTCAACATAACAGGCGTGAACTTCCGAGAGTTCCGAATGAGCGTGGTCCATGTGAAGGCGTAGACCACCAGATGTGGTGAAGCCCTTCTTACAAGTCTCCACAGTGCATTGGAACGGCAAAAGATCGTTGTGATGCTTCATATGTTCATCATAAAGTTTGGTGCTCTTGAATTTTTCATTGCAAATGTGGCAATCAAACGCATCATCCGGTTGAACTTTGGGTTTTGGTTTGCGTCTTCGTTTTGATTTGGTTTTGGGTATTTCTTTGTCATAGTCACTATCCATTTCCCATTCAAAGTCCGACGATTCTTTGTCTTTATCCTTGTCTTTGTCATCTACTACAGGTTTGCTTTTGGTCTTTGACGCTCTAGTAACAGTTTTCAAACGAGACAGGGGCATGGCGTCATTTGAGTCGCTGCTATTTACTTCAAATTCCGGATCGTCATCATGCTCGAATTCTACATCACTAGAGAGCTGCTTCTCAACCTCCTCAACTTCTTTATCCACATCATCTAGCATTTTAAAAACATCTTCAGTCTCCACGATTTCTATTTTAGTGTTGAGAAGGGGATCAAAGTTACTCCGATCCTCGTCCATGTCCCCATCTGGGACAGTATTATTCATCACATCAACTTTGTCAACATCAGCAATGACGGGTACAAAATAATTGCTCGCGAGCATTTCCTGAAACTTTTGCACAGAGTCCACGCAAAGCTTCTGAAATCCGTGCAAGTCGTTGAGTTGGGTGTAGCAAGAACTGCAGATGTTTTTTGGGAAGCCATCGTGCTCTTCGACTGAAAGTGAAGTACACACACAAAGTTTCTTGGCCAAGCCAGGAATTAAAAACAGGTCGTATGCCGGATCGTTTCGCAAATTGTTTAAGCAAATGCGACATAACGAATGTATGGAGTATTCACTCCCCTCATTCATTTTGCTTATCTCCTTTTTCTTCAGATAAGTGTATAACTGTATGAAAAATTAAGCAGTGTCCGAGTCCGATGAGACAAACTGTGTATACGCGTCCATAAAAAGAACGAAATCGTATATATCGGTTACTTGCACGAGTAGTCGCAAATAAAAATCGCAATTTGTAATTTTAATGCAGGTTCGATAGTTACATTGGGTGTAAAGAAAAAATTTTAAATTACAGTAATATAAATTATTTATTATGTAAACACATGTTTTATATTTAAATTATTAAGTTTAATGTGTGTAATCTATTTACATAATAATCAAAAACCATTGCAACAATTATAATACATAAAAAATTTTCAAACAAGAAAATATTTTGTAATATTAGTTACAACATATATTCTATGAATAACTAAAACCAAAAATATTTTATACAATATACATAATATACCGTATATTTAAAACTAATCTTGTTTGAGGTCATCTACACTGATACCTGTTTCAGGCTTTTTTACTTGAAAGCTATCACTGGGTAGCTTGTCAATAAGCTGTTCCTTCTGCAGCATCTGAAGTTGTTCACAAGCGGCTTCTTGAATCTTACGAATTTCTTCTTCGGCCTTTCGCTTTGCCTGGCTCTCTTCTATTTGTTGAGCGAGCAGAGCAGCAGTAGCTGCAGCGCGTTCTGCAGCAGGATCTTGGTATTCATCAAGAATCTTAGGTGGTTTTGTGTTGAGGTTCATCTTCGATCTTTTTTCTTTAGCAGGTTTTTGAGGCTTTGGTTCTCTTGGAGGCTTCGCCGGATTCTCGTGTACTTTTCTTACATGCGTTTTCATTACTTGCTCCTGACGGAAGTGTTTGCCACATATCTTGCACTCATACGGCTTTTCACCAGTGTGGATCCATTCATGATGCCGTAATATTTGAGCCTTAGAGAATCGCTTGGGACAGAAGCGACAGGCGAAATCTTTTACCTTCTCATGTATTATCTTATAGTGAAGCTTCATGTTGCCAATATGGTTGAAGCCACGCCCACATCCCGGACAAATGTGCTGGCCCTCCTTCTTAGTGAAGTTTACTTGGGGGGACCAGGATGCCACAGAGACTGTGGGAATGGGATTTACGGAGGTACCGGCCAACTCGGAAATATCTACACGCTCTAACCTATTTGTATTTTTCGGCTTGGCTTGCTCTATTGGTACGGGCTTCACCTCCACAGGATCATTTGGATCTCGATTCATATTCTGCGCATCATTAACTGTCTGTGGTTTCCCACTACTCGCTGAAGCGTGTATATCTCGCTTCTCATGAATCTTTAGATGTTTAGTCAAACTCCTTTCAAAAAGCAAGACCTTACCACAGATTTTACACTGCGAACAGTTTTCCCCAGTGTGGATTCTCTCGTGAATTTTGCAGGCATACGATTTGCCAAAGGTCTTGCCACAATATTGGCAGGCATAGTTCTTAATCTTCAAATGAACCACTTTAACATGATTGGCCAGGGCTTGTTTGTTGTGGGAGGAATGATCGCACTGACGACATTGGAATTGTTTTTCCTTGGTGTGTGTTAATATATGTTTATTCCATTCCTGTCGAGTTGTTTTACCAACACCACAGTACGGACAAACGTGATTCTTCACACCGGCATGACGCAAGAGATGATCCTTGAGTTCGCTGTTTATGTGGAAACGTTTGTTGCAGATGTTACAGGATATTGGCTTCTCCTCTCCAGTATGTTTGTACATATGTTTCTTAAGAGCTGTGGAGCAACGGAATACCTTATCACATTCCGTACAAGGATGATCCTTGGCCCGAGAGGTGATTACTTTGTGTACCTTTTTCAAATGAAATGTTAGTAGAACAGGACGAGGAAATGTCATGCCACATCCCTCAACAGAACACGCGTGAACCTCCGAGAGTTCCGAATGAGCATGATCCATGTGAAGGCGTAACCCACTTGAAGTAGTGAAGCCTTTCTTACAGGTCTCTACAGTGCATTGGAATGGCAAAAGATCATTATGATGCTTCATATGCTCGTCATAGAGGTTAGTGCTCTTGAATTTCTTATGGCAAATGTGACAATCAATCTGATCAGGATCCAGTGATGCGTCGCGCCTCGGCATACGCTTACGTTTCGCTTTCGTTTTAGGTGTTTCCTTAATCTCATCTTTATTAGTATTCCACTCAAAGCTAGAAGAATCATCATCATCTGCTACAGGTTTGGTCTTAGCATTTGCTTTCGATGCTCTGGTCGAACTTCGTAAGCGGGACAGAGGCACAGCATCTTCAGAGTTGCTACTATTTACTTCGAATTCCGGATCAACATCTTTGTCACTTTCGTTGTCACTGGAGAGCTCATTCTCAGCCTCCTCAACTTCTCGGTCCACATCATCTAGCATTTTAAAAACATCTTCAGTCTCCACTATCTCTATTTTAGTATTTAGAAGTGGATCGAAATTTAAACGATCCTCTTCCATGTCTCCATCAGTAGGTGCATCATGCATTACATCAACTTTGTCAACATCGCCCATGACTGGGACAAAGTAATTGCTCGCGACCATTTCTTGAAACTTTTGCACAGAATCCACGCATTGCTTCTGAAAGTCATGCAAGTCGTTAAGCCGGGTATGGCAAGTAGAGCAAAGGTTTTTCGGGAAGCCATCGTGCTGTTCCACTGAGAGTGAAGTGCACACACAAAGTTTCTTAGCCAGACCAGGGACAAGAAACAGGTCGAATGCTGGATCGTTCCGCAAATGGTTCAAGCATATGCGACATATCGAGTGTATGGAGTATTCACTCCCTTCATTCATTTTGCTTTTTCTTATTTTGTTTCCAATAAGACTATAAATTGATAAATACAATCAAAGCACTATCCGATGTGAAAAACTATGTATATGCGTCCATGAAAGGCAGCAATTATTTTTGTAACCGATATACGAGTAATTAGTTACGAGTACTCGTGACTTGTTCGTGTTTGGTGATAACATATATTGCATTCTCTATACACAATTTTATTTTTAATTCATAAATACTTTATTGGATAAGTATTTTGCTTCCTTGAAGCTAGAAGAAGAAAGTAGGATATTACAAAATAGTCCGAGGCCGCATATGTGTTTCGAAATATTTTAGATGATTTGAAACATTCTCCGTTATATACTACAATAAACATATACTTTTTCATGTTATAAAGGCTACTTCATCAATTATTAAATTATATTCAGTTTATTTTTCGTGGTCTTAATGGGGTAAAACAACTTAGAAATATTCAAAACTTATAAAACTAATATTACATTGATATATTTGAACAACGAAAAGGTTTATAAGGGATCTGCTTTAAGAGCATCCACGCTGATACTAGCTTTAGAACTTTCCACTTGAAAACTATCATAGGACAGTTTTTCGATCCGCTGTTCCTGTTGCAGCTTTTGCAACTGTTCGCATGCAGCCTCTTGAATCTTTCGAGTTTTGTCTTCAGCCCTTCGTTTGGCTTCACTCTCCTCGATCTTCTGAGCAAATAATTCCGCAGTAGCTGCAGCTCGCTCTGCCTCAGGATCCTGATACTGCTCAAAATTCTTTGGTTGACGCTTGTTCAGCTCGATTTTTGGCGTTTGATGTTCTCTTTTCTGTACTGTGGACTTTGGAGCTTTAGGTACTTTTGGGGGTCTGTTGTGCGAAATCATGTGCTTTCGCAGTGATGAGCCATGGCTAAAATGTTTATCGCATAATTTACAGCCGTACGGTCTCTCACCCGTATGCGTATATTCATGATGACGAAGATATTGGGCTTTTCCAAAGCGTTTGGGACAAAAGCGGCAGGCGAAATCCTTAATTTTATCATGGACAACCTTATAGTGGAGTTTCATATTGCCTATGTGGTTGAAGCCACGCCCACATCCTGGACAAATGTGCTGGCCCTCTTTTTTAGTGAAGTTTAGCTGTGGTGACCAGGATGGTACAGACACTGATGTAATCGGATTAACTGAGGTTCCCGCTAGCTGAGACATATCCACAAGCTCAACTCTATGTGAACTTTTCGGTTTAGCGGCAGATGCAGCCAAGGGTTTCGCGTCTTCCAGTGCTGTCGACTCCTGATTTAAAGTTTCTTCATTTAGATCGGCCTCATTGTTTTGGGGTTTTGCATTCGGTGCTTTGACTTCACGCTTTTCATGAATCTGCAGGTGTTTGGTCAATCTCTTCTCAAAAAGAAATATTTTTCCACAGATCTTGCATTCGCAGCAATTCTCGCCAGTGTGGAGTCTCTCGTGAACCTTACATGCGTGCAATTTCCCAAATGTCTTTCCGCAGTACTGACAGGCAAAGTTCTTAATCTTCAAATGAACCACTTTAACATGATTGGCTAGAGCTTGTTTGTTATGGGAGGAATGATCGCACTGACGACATTGGAATTGTTTTTCCTTGGTGTGCGTCAATATATGCTTGTTCCATTCCTGACGAGTTGTCTTACCTACACCACAGTACGGACAAACGTGATTTTTAACGCCGGCATGTCGTAGGAGATGGTCTCTGAGTTCGCTGTTTATGTGGAATCGTTTGCTGCAGATGTTACAGGAAATGGGCAGCTCCTCGCCAATATGCTTATACATGTGTTTTTTAAGCGCGGTTGGACAACGAAAGACCTTATCACAATCGGAGCAAGGATGAATGGGGTTCTCAGGTTTGCATATATTGTGAACCTTTTTCAGATGATGAGTAAGCATTCGAGTTCGAGGAAAAGATTTGTCACATCCTTCTACAGTGCAGGCGTGCAGTTCGCAAAGTTCAACGTGAGCATGATCCACATGATGTCGAAGACCTGCAGCCGTTGTAAAACCCTTCCTGCATGTTTCCACGGTGCATTGGAAAGGCAAGAGATCATTGTGATGCTTCATATGCTCCTGGTAGCACATTTCGCTTTTGAATTTTTGATGACATATATGACAATCGATATGAAGGTCACGCTTAGCCGCAGGAACAGGCTTGGTATTTACTCTACGTTGGGATAAGCTAACGTTATCCATATCCACTTCAGTATTAGAGGAATTTTTATCAACTGCAGCAATACTCTTACTCTTACTCTTTGCCTTTGATTGTGATACCCGCGCACCACTTCGTAAGTGTGACAGAGGCATTGCATCGTCAGAGTCGGTATTATTTGCCACATCATTATGATCTCTAATAAGTTCGATTTCATTGGAAAAGTTCTGGTCCTGCTGAGAACATTTCGAGTCTTTGTCAACATCTTCTATCATTTTAAAAACATCGTCCTCATTATCAATAATCTCTATTTTGGAATTCAATAGCGGATCAAAGTTAATGCGGTCTTCATCTTCGACGGGTATGTCTATATCTTGTGGTACATCAATGTCCTTATCGTGAAGGGCAACATTTATTACATCAATATTGTCAACATGCTTAGCCTGGATAGTGAAGTGATTGCTGTCCAACATGTCGCTTAACTTTCCTACAGAATCCACGCATTGTTTCTGAAAATTATGTAAATCGTTTAGCCGGGTGTAGCAATTTGTACAAATGCTTCTTGGAAAACCATCCTGTTGCTCCACCGAGAGCGAAGTGCACACACACAACTTCTTAGCCAGACCGGGAATCACAAACAAATCGTAAGCTTCAACATGTTGTAATGTTGACAAACAAGTGCGACATATTGAATGTATGGAGATTTGGTCGCCCTCATCCATATTGTGTGTGCAATTCATTCTAGATCTTCTCCTGCTCGGTTTTTCTCATTAGCATACGAACTATGAACTAGCGGTAGTATTAGGTATCGGTTACTAAAACGAGTACTTGTGTGCTTGTTCCAACCGAGCTCATCTCTAACATTGAGTGCTTTTCATATGTATGAGTGCTCTTTGAATGTGTGTGTGCACACAAAGGGAGTATGTAAATATAGGGTTATTAGGTGGACAATATACCCTATACATATGAAAATATATATTTATATAGTATATATAAAATCACCGAAAGCAACCAAATAAAACGAAACGCATGATAATTATGTTATATGAATTTCATTATTCTAATTAAGCAATAGATGCTATGCAGTACATAGACAACAGAAATACATAAGTATTTATAAATGTATGGTAAAATTAATATTGTGGTAGAATACGTTGAGTTACTGTGTTCATGTCACAATAAGCAATTATGGAGCAATTCGAGGGAATAGATCATTGAAGTACTTATAAACTGAGGAGCTGTAAAAAATTATAGCTATATGTAAAATATTGCTGGCTTCCGCGAGTGTTTCTCATTCTCGCTGCTCCGATTTACACATGATCTATTTTCAGCGCGTCCACGGTGAGACCCTCGGCTTGAGCCTTTTGTGCATAGTAGCCGTCGTACGATGTGGTCGCCTTCTCAATCTCCTGCTGCTTCTGTAACTTGTTTAGCTGCTCACAAGCTGCCTCTTGGATTTTTCGCCGCTCGATGTCTGCCTTGCGCTTCGCCTCGTTCTCCTCAATCTGATGAGCAAGCAGCTCGGCTGTAGCAGCAGCTCGCTCAGCGGCTGGATCCTGGTACTGATCGTAGTTCCGTGGCTCCCGGTCAATCTCTCGGGGCTCAATCTTATGGAAAGTGGGCGGCTGCACAGTTGGCTCCTTCTCTGGATATACGCGTCTGTTGGGCTTGTCGTGTGTCTTTATATGCTTTTTCAGTGCCGTCTCCTGCCGGAAGTGTTTGCCGCATATTTTGCACTCGAAAGGTTTTTCGCCGGTATGGATCCATTCGTGATGCCGCAAGATTTGTGCCTTTGAGAATCGTTTGGGACAGAAGCGACAGGCAAAATCTTTCACCTTCTCGTGTATTATCTTATAATGAAGTTTCATGTTTCCAATGTTGTTAAATCCTCGGCCACAGCCGGGACATATGTGCTGGCCTTCCTTCTTGGTGAAGTTGACTTGTGGTGACCAGGACGGCACCGAAACTGATGGTATAGGATTAACAGAAGTACCCGCCAACTGAGATATGTCCACACGCTGAACGCGCCGTGAGTTTTTCGGTTTAACTGCACCTGCTCCCGCTCCTGCCGCGGGCCCGCCGCCACACGCCTTCAGTAGATCGTCTGCCACATTTGGAGGCATCATTCCGTCGGGCTGCATATGGCTGGTCATTTGGACACCAGGCAGCGGAATGTTAAGCGGACGGTGCGTCTCCATTGGCGGTAAATCGCGTTTCTCATGCGTCTTCAAATGCTTCGTTAAGCTCTTTTCGCACAGGAAGATCTTGCCACAGATCTTGCACTCGCAACATTTCTCGCCCGTGTGGGTTCGTTCATGCACTTTGCAAGCGTGCGATTTGCCAAAGGTCTTGCCACAATATTGGCAGGCGAAGTTCTTGATCTTCATGTGCACCACCTTGACGTGATTGGACAAAGCCTGTTTGTTATGGGAGGCGTGATCGCATTGGCGGCACTTGAACTTCTTCTCCTTGGTGTGTGTCAGAATGTGGGCGTTCCATTCCTGGCGTGTAGTTTTGCCCACGCCACAGTAAGGGCAGACGTGATTCTTGATACCAGCATGCCGCATCAAATGATCCCTGAGTGCGCTGTTGATCACGAAGCGCTTTCCGCATATGTTGCACGGATATGGAAGCTCTTCGCCCGTGTGCTTGTACATGTGCTTCTTGAGTGCCGTCGGGCAACGGAACACGGTGTTGCACTCTGTGCAGGGGAAGTCGCGCAACGGTGCCGCCGACTTGGAAATATTGTGCGCTTTCTTCATATGGAAAGTGAGCAGCCGCACGCGTGGGAATGTCTTGCCGCAGCCCTCGAAGCTACAGGCATGCACTTCGGAGAGCTCAGTGTGCGCGTGGTCCACATGTATGCGCAGTCCGTTGGCGGTGGTGAATCCCTTCTTGCAGGATTCTACCTTGCACTGGAATGGCAATAGATCGTTGTGGTACTTCATGTGCTCCTCATAGCGAATTGCCTTTTTGAATTTCTGATGGCAAATGTGACAGTCGATGATGCGATGAAGATGTCGCTCGGCAGCAGGAATGCGCTTACGTTTTGGCTTGTCCTTTGTGCCGTGCCTAGTGTTAGAATCACCATCATCGTCATAGTCGTCGTCTGAACTTGAAGAAGAACTGAAGTCAATATCATCCTCGGCATCTGCAGACCCTTTCTTTTTAGGCTTCGACTTGGCTGCTCTGGTGCTCTTGGCCTTGCCTCGCATGCGTTGTGCTAGGGGAATGTCGTCGTCGCTGCTGTTTGGCTCAAAGTCTACATCCAGATCATTGTCGTTGCCACTTTCAATGGAAGACGAATCCTCGTTGAACATGTTTACTGTGATGGGCTCTTTGATTTCTCTTTTGTCTTCTTTAACTTCCTTTTCGACCTCTTCGGCCTCCTTGTCGACATCTTCAAGCATCTTGAAAACATCCTCTTCGTTTTCGATTAGCTCCATTTTGTGGTTTAACAGTGGATCAAAGTTAATATGATCATCGTCCTCGGGCAAGTCGTGTGCCGACACGCTTGGATCCAGGACATCAAAATTAGATTGACAAGTGAAGGCGTTGCTGGCGACCATATCCTGAAACTTTTGCACCGAGTCTACACACAGTTTTTGAAAATCATGCATATCGTTAAGCCGCGTATAGCAATTGGTGCACAGGTTCTTCGGAAAGCCATCGTTTTGCTCCACAGACAGCGAGGTGCACAGACATAGTTTTTTGGCTAGGCCTGGCACCAGATACAAATCGTAGGCAGCATCGTTCTGCAGGAGATTCAGACATATACGACATAGCGTATGTATGGAGTATGTCCTCGCCACGTCCATCGTGATTTATTAAATTGTTGTTTTTTTTTTAAATGCTCACAAAGTCTTGGCTTTTCGGTTGATTCCAGCAACAAAAAAAAATAATATTGACACGAAAAAAATTGGTATACTCGTCAGCCAACTAGAACGAGTACGAGTATCGGTTACTCAAGCTCCTACTCATATACATATGCATAAGTAATCGATGTTTCGAAACCGTGAAAGCCATGCTGTATATCGATACTGTTGTTGTGGCTCATCGTTGTATTTGTACATCACTACAAACGCTTTAAATACTTGTGCAAATCAAATTGGAAATTGTTATCCCCTTTGAATTTGTGATTTTCTGGAATGAGTACAAACACACCGTACTCTGTTCAATCAATATGTCGAGTTTGCCTAGAATATATCGATAGTACTGTGTATGACCTATTCCTATTACCAGATCTTGCAAAGACGTTCACAGTATGCACGTCGTTGCTGTTGGATCCCCAAGACGGTTATCCAAGGAATCTCTGTTCCAGCTGTTACACCAGAGTAAACGACCTCCATGACTTTCAGAAACTCTGTGTGTCTTCGGTGCAGCGCTTTAAGGAAATGGTAGCCAGCAAACTTATTATAAATGTGAATCCAATTGATATATTCGAACCGCTACCGGTGGCCAGCAACGAGGAGCTCTTAGCCAAGGATGAGCATATAAGCAGTGAATATGATCCGTTAAGCCACAAATTGGAGTTGATAGACAATGAAGATGATGTGTTTAAGATGCTTGAGAACGTCGATAAGGATGCTGAAGATGTAACTGGCCCAAAACATATCCTAAGTAATTGCTCATCCGAGTGCAGCATCAGTGAAGATGATGTGCCTTTAGCACACCGCCTACTCGATCAGAACAGCGAAACGGACAGTGAAGCAACGTGTGAGAGAGTAACCAATTGCAAGTCAAAACGAAGGCGTATTCCTGCGGACGAACGACATCTTCATCGTATCATCACCTGCCACGTTTGTCAGCAGAAATTCAAGAAGCAAGTCAACTATGATGAGCATATGAAGCACCACAACGAACTGTTGCCCTTCCAGTGCCATGTGGAGCATTGCCAGAAGGGTTTCACCACAGCTGCCGCATTGCGTCTGCACGTTGACTATGCTCACACAAAAAGTGCCGCTGAGATTCCTTGCACCGTGGAGGGCTGTAAGCTGCTGTTTCCGCGCATGCGACTGCTGACAATTCACCTGAAGAAGGTGCACAATATGTCACGGGAAAATGTGCCACGGGCCGTGCAGCCGTGCCGGGAGTGTGGAATGCAATTCCGTTGCCCGGTGGCCCTTAAAAAGCATATGTATAAACACACCGGGCAGCAGCTGCCCTATCCGTGCAACATTTGCGGCAAGGGCTTTCACATCAATAGCGCACTCAAGAACCATTTGCTGCGCCACGCAGGCATTAAGAACTATGTGTGTCCCTATTGTGGCGTGGGTAAGACCACACGGCAGGAGTGGAGCAAACACATTCTCACCCACACACAAGAGAAGATGTTCAAGTGTCAGATCTGTGACCATGCGACGCACACAAAGCGAGCATTGGACAACCATGTGAAGATTGTGCACGAGAAGATCAGGAATTACGCGTGCCAATATTGTGGCAAGACCTTTGGAAAATCACATGCATGCAAAATCCACGAGATGACCCACACGGGTGAGAAGCGTTGCGAGTGCAAGGTATGTGGCAAGAAATTCCTGTACACCGAAAGCTTAACCAAGCATCTGAAGATTCATGAGAAGAGTGTGGAACGTGCCATCGAGACGTATCGGCAACGTCAAGTGGAACTCAGCAGTTCAACTGCTGAGGAGCGATGCAGTGAATCCAAAGCCAAAGACGATGCCGATGCAGCTGATCAACTATTGAAGGTCTGTGCCGAATCAGTAGCTACCATACCGCGGGATCCAAGACGTGTGGAGCGCGTTGACATCTCGCAGTTGGCAGGCACTGTAGTGAATCCCATACCTGCCGTCTTAGTGCCCTCCAATACGCCAACGCGTATTAACTTTGTGCAAAAGGAGGGCATGCACTTCTGTCCGGGCTGTAATCAGGGCTTCAACAACTTGGGTAATATGAAGCGGCATTATAAGAGCGTTCATGAGAAGGTGAAGGACTTTGAGTGTCGCTTCTGCGCACGTCGTTTTGCCAACTCGCAATCCCTCAAGCAGCACGAGTGGATACACACAGGCGAAAAGCCATATGCCTGTCCGACCTGTAGCACCCATTTCCGCCAGGAAGCCGCTCTAATACGCCATCAAAAGGTCCACGAACAGAAACCAATAAAGCCGGCAAAACGCCCAAAGCTAATTACAGAAAAGTTTCGGCAAAAGGAATTGCAAAGATGCGAGAAACGTCGCAAGGTCGAGGCACTGCGTCAAAAGATCGCCGAGGCAGCTAAAGAAGAGTTACAGGAGCTGGCCAAGCAGCGGGAGCTGGTTAAGCAACAAAATACCTACGAACAGTATAAAGCGGCGGCTGCTGCAGCTGCCGAAAAGACTCAAGCAACAGATGAAGTTGATCTGCCCAGCTGAGATGCTGTGCTTCCACATTCCTTTTGATACGGAAGATGTTATTGTTGGTTAATATTTAACTGCTAGTTAAGCGTACAATAAATATAAATGAAAACTGCAAGTTTTGTTTCAGTTTTTCAATTTTTTTTGTTTTTACTTTTTCTTGCTTGTTATTTTTATGAGATGTTTTTTAAATGTGTTTTGTGATTGTCCAACTGTTGCAAGCTTCAAGCTGAATAGTTTTCTTGAAGCTCTCAATAGTTGGCGTGATACGTGATGATGAATGATGATGATGATGTTTTATGTTGATATAAAAATGATAGAAAAACTTTTTAAAACTTCTGACAAATAGTATAGCAAAATTTGTTTGTTAAGCAGCTTTTGAGCATTGGTAAAATTGTATAAAATTGGAAAAAGTTCAATGAACCCACATATGATCTGTAACTGCATGGCATTCGGTCTTAAGGTGCTTCCGGCGTCTTTAAATTGTACTTGGACTTGATGTTGTTGAGCTCCTCTTGCTTTTTATCCACATCCACACGCTTGAAGGCCTTGTTGGACTGGTAGTAGAGGACGACGAGGTAGCGATTGCACACATTAAAGCCGGACAGATGGTCGCATGCATTTTTGGCATCGAAGATGTCTTCGTAGACAACGAACGCAGTGCCGCGTGTCTCCGGCGTATTGCCACTGTCAATGTGCAAGCAATTGTTATTAATTAATTACTTCAATTAATTTGAATTCAATTTACAATTTACTTACACGCGTATTTGTCGAATTGCACCAAATTTACCAAATATATCGTACATTTCGTCCGATGTGATTTTATATGGCAAATTGCGCACATACAGCAGCCGATTTACCTCCGGCGGCAGCCGTATCTGTAATAATTTTTAATTTATATATTGTATCTCAATTATTGCTTTGTGTCTGCGGTCCACTCACGTTGTTGCGCTTGTTCATGTCTGGTCGCTGCTGGTCTTGAAATGCGACTGGCAGCAAAACTTTCACTTAATCGTCTGGCTTGGGTCTGCTGCTTGTTGACCTCGGGATGAATGTCCTGAAACGTGGTCCTTTGTTTAAAATTTATTGGGCTGTCTGTCTGGCCTCAAACCCAAACAAATAGTGATTAAATTCTGTTAAGCAAGTACATCGTGTTAGTTACCATCGGATAAAGCTGTTATTAACATACCACCTAATGTTACTAACAGCGCGTTTAGTATTATTTTTTAAGAATTGTTGCTATTTTTTTACTACACTAAAATTGTAGGAAATATATAAAATATAAAACTCAAGGCAAACGTTGAAAACTATGCTTTCAATTTATAAAATGTATAAACTATCCTATACTGCTGTCACAATAGATACTCGATATTTTATATATATACTTATTATCGATAGCGATGGAAATGTAACCCTAATTGCTCTTAGTCACTAAGTTGGTCACACTTAAACACCACAAAAAACTTCATCTGGCAGAAAAGTGAAAAAGAGAAAATTAAGGGGTTTATTAAGTGTACCCAGCAAAATTAGTTTTAATTCACACCCAACACTATTGAAGGTAAGTTCTAATTGGTGAGTTAACGCTAATCAAAAGACAATGCTCAGCAGTGTTTAACCACTACAAAGAACATGGCGGCAGCGAACAAGCCTTAAGTAGTTATTACATTATGTGTGTTTTTTTCACGCTGTCTGTATAACTGAGTATGTGTGCGTGCAAGAGTGAGTGCCTCTGTGTGTGTATGTATGCACTTGTGTTTGTGTGCGTGTGTGTAGAGAGATGGCCTCGGACAAAGTTCCTCGTACTACCCTTTAAGAGGGCGTTCAACTCGCTTAGAATGGGTGGGGTTGATTTAGACGGTATATCTAATTATTTTTCACGTCGCAACAGCATCTCACCTGAACAGCATCAAAATGACGTGGGAACCGCAGGCAGAAGGTCTTCAGCAGATCATTGCGATCTTAAAAGAATCTCAGTCACCGAACACTGCTACTCAAATGGCAGTCCAAATCGTAAGCCATTCATGTAGATATATATGTATATATATATATATATATATATTTATATTATATGTATATACATATGTATATACATACATATATCCATACAAAAATAAATAAGGGCTCGAGTATCTTAATATGTTTTCATTAGAAACTGGAGGACTTCAACCGATATCCAGACTTCAACAATTATTTGATATATGTGCTGACCAAACTAAATACGGAAGACGAACCCACACGCTCACTAAGTGGCTTAATACTAAAGAACAATATTCGTATGCACGGCAGCAACTTGCAGCCGGAGATTGTTGAATACATCAAACACGAATGCCTCCAAGCTGTCGGCGATACTTCTCCACTGATACGCGCTACCGTTGGCATTCTGATCACCACCATAGCCAGCAATGGAGGCTTGCAGAATTGGCCACAGCTTTTGCCATCGCTGTGCGACATGCTCGATAGCCAAGATTATAATGTGTGCGAGGGTGCGTTTAGTGCTCTGCAAAAGATCTGCGAGGATTCAGCTGAAATATTAGACTCGACTGTGCTAAATAGGCCACTGAACGTCATGATACCCAAGTTCTTGCAGTACTTTAAACATAACAGCCCCAAGATACGCTCCCATGCAATTGCTTGCATCAATCAATTCATTATCAATCGATCTCAGGCGCTGATGCTGCACATCGATGCGTTCATTGAGAATCTATTTAATTTGTCGTCTGATGAGGATCACGAGGTGCGCAAGAATGTTTGCCATGGTTTAGTCATGCTGCTCGAAGTGCGAATGGACAGACTTATGCCGCATATGTCGCAGATCATTGAGGTATGTAATTAAGCTTATGATGCAGAATATATTCCTCAGATATTATTCCACTATTTATATTATATTTTTTCTTTATAATGTTTGCTTAGTATATGTTGTTGCGTACTCAAGACTCTGATGAGGGCGTGGCCCTGGAAGCGTCTGAGTTTTGGTTGTCGCTGGCGGAACAAAGTATTTGCAAGGACGTGCTAGCACCGTATTTACAGCAGCTTGCGCCTATTTTGGTGCGTGGCATGAGATACTCAGAGATCGATATAATATTGCTTAAGGGCAATGTAGAGGAGGATGATATGGAGCCGGATCGCGAGGAGGATATACGTCCTCGTTTTCACAAGTCACGTACACACACAATCAAAAGTGGCGAGGTCAATCAGGCATCAGGCGGTGAAGATGATGAAGATGAATTCGATGATGGCTTAGACGATGATAGTTCGCTATCTGAATGGAATTTGCGCAAGTGCAGCGCGGCAGCTCTGGATGTATTGGCGAATGTATTTCGTGATGATTGTCTGCCCATTGTGTTACCTATACTGAAGGACACGCTGTTTCACCAAGAGTGGGTCGTCAAGGAGAGCGGCGTTCTTGCTCTGGGCGCCATAGCTGAGGGCTGCATGCAAGGCATGATCCAACATTTGCCCGAATTGATACCATATCTGATTAGCTGCTTGTCCGACAAGAAGGCGCTAGTGCGGTCCATCACCTGTTGGACTCTGTCCCGCTACGCCAACTGGGTAGTCAATCAGCCACATGATCAATACCTAAAGCCATTGATGGAGGAGTTGCTCAAACGCATACTGGATTCAAACAAGCGCGTGCAGGAGGCTGCCTGCTCGGCGTTTGCCACGCTTGAAGAGGAAGCGTGTACCGAACTGGTGCCCTATTTAGAATATATACTTAAAACCCTTGTTTTCGCCTTTTCCAAGTATCAGCACAAGAATCTATTGATATTGTATGATGCTGTTGGCACGTTGGCTGACTCTGTTGGTCACCATTTGAACAAGCCACAATATATTGATATATTAATGCCGCCACTAATTGACAAATGGAATTTGCTTAAAGACGATGACAAAGATCTATTCCCATTGCTCGAGTGTCTGTCCAGCATTGCAACTGCGCTGCAATCGGGCTTTCTGCCCTATTGTGATCCTGTCTATAGAAGATGTATATCGCTAATTGAGCAGACAATTAACCAGGAAATGGTAGGTTACGATCCTAATCTAGTATTTGACTATTGATATATATAATTCCTATTTTGCAGCTTTGCAAACAAAATCACACATTCGATCACCCCGACAAGGAGCGCATGATTGTGGCGCTGGACTTACTCTCAGGCCTGGCAGAGGGCCTAGACCGACACATTGAGACGCTGGTAGCCAATAGTAATATAATGCATTTGCTTTATCAGTGCATGCAGGACATTCTGCCGGAGGTGATTCCGTAAATTTAGGTACCTTGTGTGCATTTCTGAATTCTTGCTTTTGATTCTTATGCAGGTGCGTCAGTCTTCATTTGCACTGCTCGGTGATTTGACCAAGGCCTGTTTCCCACACGTGCATCCGTTCATGGCCGAGTTCTTTCCCATATTGGGCCAAAATCTAAATCCAGATTTTATTTCCGTGTGCAACAATGCAACTTGGGCTATTGGCGAAATATGCATGAAATTGGGTAAGTCTATTGGGAAAAAGAGAACAACTGCATCATGGAAGTATGATAGTTGCTATTTATAAAGAGATTTTTGTTACTTATGAGTTGTTTACATTATTAAGGTGAGGAAACCAAACAGTATATACATCTTGTACTGACCGATCTCTTCATCATCATAAATCGTCCGAATACGCCCAAGACGCTACTGGAGAATACAGGTAAGTGAATGTGAAATAAATGTGTTCTGTGTATGATATATATATATATATATAATAATATAATATATATAATATATATATATATGTATATATTTATATATATATATATATATATAATATAATATATTTATATATATATAAGCTGTATGCAATGTATATGCGAAATATTTGTATGTTTGTATATGTCAGTGTCTGAACATAAGTATTTGTGCTATCTAACATTTGTTTCTGGTATCAGTTAACGTTGCATGTGACGCATTGTCGCCAACTGTAACAAGAAAAAAAAACAATAATATCAATATGAAAAACATACAAACATACATTCATACTGTATTGTCGATTTGTCAATGTGAATGTTCAAAACGTATTGTTGTATGTAATTAATTGAGACGCGAATCGAATGAATCAATTAAGAACATGCGAAACCAAACAATAAATGTAATATAATTTATTAAGTTGATTTATTTATATTTTTCTGTTCTTTTAGCAATAACAATCGGTCGTCTAGGTTATGTGTGCCCAGTTGAAGTGGCTCCTTATTTGCCCGAATTTGTACGACAGTGGTGTGTAACACATTTATCAAATATAGTTTCTTATTCTTACCCTTATCATTATATATCTTAACCTTGTTGCATTTACTTTTTCTAACTCTATTTTTAAATTGTGCTTTAAAAGAAATTCCGAACACGCAACAGAACATTTAACTTTCAGTCAATTATTCTGATCTTCTGTAATATATAAATTTCTTTTGTGCTGTTCCTTCCATATTTCCTTTAATTTTTCAATACTTTGCTTCCTTATGAGTGTTTGCCTGTGGCATGCTCAGCTAACCGATGTGATATTCTAATAATTTATCTGCATCCTATAAATTCAACAGGTGCACATCGTTGCGTCACATACGAGATAATGACGAAAAGGACTCGGCCTTCCGTGGCATGTGCCACATGATCACCGTGAATCCAGCTGGCGTTGTGCCTGATTTTATATTCTTCTGCGATGCAATTGCCTCATGGGTTAATCCGCCACAGGATCTGCATCAGATGATACAAAAGGTTGTCTCTATTTGTTTGAACTGAATTGAAAATCTTTGACTGACTTTAGTTTTGATTTAACAGATACTACATGGCTTCAAGACACAAGTCGGTGAAGAGAATTGGCGTCGATTTGTTGATCAATTCCCGCCAACTCTGGCCGAACGTTTGGTAACAATGTACAACATTTAAGATGACCTGGCCTCAGCAACAAAAAATACCACAAACACATACCACACCCATAAGCAACTTATTAACTAGACAATTATGTTTATGTATGCGAGTAAGAGTGTCATCGTTTTTAAAGTTAGAGTAAGCACAGTTAGCAGGCAAATGTTTAATTAAGCTTATTCGTTGCAGTTCGAATAATTCAATTACATTAATATTTGGAATTTCAGCTTATAAAGTCAACAACAAAATCCGAAAACAAAACAAAAACAAAGAGAAAACTCTAATACAATACATATACAGTCTACACATATATAACCACATATAACATATATATATTAATATATAAATATATATATATATATATATATATATATATATATATATATATATATATATATATATATGTATAATTATATTTATATATATATATATATACATATATATATATATATATATATACTTAATCCAAACAGGTATATACATACTATATCGCTTTATAGGAAGTGCAAAAATTAGATGACATTAGTCTAGGATTCTGTTGTTTCTTGAAATCAAATGATTTGTCGAGTCTTTTTCTCTTTCTATTTCAAATTTCATCATATTCATCGAAAATCAAATTACATTTAGATACATTTGTGTTCCGGCGCGCTAAGTAATGCTTCGGAAGCAGTGCTATAGATATAGATAATACAGAACACATAACACACACTTTCAACCAACCACGAACCACTTCAACAACAATAACCAGTTGAATATGCTTATCCACTGTGTTTACTTATCGCTAATTATTGATAATTTTAATTTCAACGTAAGCTACAAAATGATATTGCAGTTCGTCTCGCGTAGACTATAATAATAACATAATCGAATAACTTTATAACGTAAATCAAAGCAAATATCGTAAATGATAACTAACTAAAAAAGGCGTTGGGTTAATTGTGAAATTGAGATAAAATATAAAAGGAAAATCAAAAAGTTCAGCAAAAAATAAAGCACATATTTGATATCAACAAAGACTGATGTAATAATAACAAATTAAAGTATATAGACTCCGTTCAATACCATAGACATGCATTCATCTTCGACCGAATGAATTTCACATCTGGACCCAACACTTTAACTATAAAAATAAATTGAAATTGTTATAAACAAAAGAAAAATCGTCGCGTTTCGGGTATCGGGTATCGGGTTTCGGGTTCTAACGGTTTCGCGTTCGCGTATTATCGTCGCTCGTTCGTTCGTTCGCTCGCTCGTAAATCGTATCGTATCGTTAATCGTCGTCGGGTTATAAAATAAATAACAAAAAAAGGCAAAACAAAAAAGAAACTAATAAATAATAAGAGTGCAACTGTTACTGATACAAATTTACTTATAATGTATACGACTTGATATTTATATGCTATGCAATTTAGATGATTTTTGTTGTTTTTTTTTTTAGTTAACAATATGAGATTAGATATTCCTTTCGAGATGATATTTATTTGGTGCGATCTTTAGCAAATGTGAAAAGAAAAAACAAAAAAGAAAATAAAACAAAAAAGGAAAAAGAAACAAACAAACAAACTAGAAACAAAACCAAGCAACTGATTGACTGATTCAATTTTTAAAGTATTATATAATTTTTTGTATAGGAGCATATTTAAATATTTTGGTTGTTTTTCTTAGACTTTTGTTATAATTTGCATAGACTTGTTTCGGCGTTACCTCTGGCGCGCGTTACCTTATAATTTATGATGTATGTACAGAATAAATTTTTAACGATTAGGTGTAAAGTGTACTACTTAACGGAAAACAAAAGTCTTTGAAATCGTCGCGGATCAAAAAACTAAAACCAAAAACAAAAAAAAAAAAAGGAAAAAAGAAACTAAAACAACTCAAATCAACTCAAAATAAAAGTAAATCTAAGTAATAGGTATTAATTAAATGCAGTTCTGCGTTAGGCGCCGTTCTGTGATTTTATTTCCTTTTGAAAGTAAAATGAGTCAAATATAAGGGGGAACGTGTGATAATAATGTAAATTCGGGTCGTTCGTTCGCGTCGCGTTAAAATCTAAAAGAGATATATAAAACTAACAATACGGGACTTCCGCCCCCGGGTCCCCAATAGAAATGTGAATCAAACATATAACGGATAACTGAAAAAGCAAAAGCAAAACTAAAACTAAAAGAAAAAATCGTGATTTCGTTGTACCTTAAACCGAATTCATCGCGGAATTTCGGTCGCGTTCGCGTGCGTTTGTATCTCTCTCTCGGGTGATCTTAGTGATTAGCGATTAAGCATTAAAAAATTAAAAAAATAAAATAAAAATAAAAAGTATAAATTAATAGAAAAGCAACAACTAAACACACACACACAAAACATAAAGTAGACACATAAATATATAAATACTTTTAGTTGATACAAAAACTAGTTTCTCTTTCAAAACAATGATTTGGGCATGAGTTAGGAGAAAATAATGAAAGCATAGAGAAACTTCATTGATTTTTTTACAACTATGTTTATAAAAACACAAACTAGCACACTCAATATAAACCATATGTAACCCAGCAAATATATATATATATACATATATATCTATTTCTTTGTTTGCAAATTATTTCCTTGCTGTAAACTTCACACTTTCTATGAATACCACACAGTTTGATTGAAAACACATATGTACACTGCATGTATATATATGTATACCAAAATAATGATTGTATAGAATATATAGACAAGTCTTTTACACAATAATGAAAGAAATATGTAATACTATTAAAAGGCAAACGCTGCGGAGGGGACAATAGAACTCCGGGAATCCCGGCAACTGAAAAACGGAAACATTTTCAAATTCTATGGTCGCTCTGCTCGATGCTGAAGCTTGTGCATCCAATTCTCTACCTAACGAGACTTGTGTAAAAACTAATCAGAAAACTTAAATAAATATGTATCTATAACATAATCGTGAAATCAGATGTGTTTTCCTAATAACTAGAAAGAAGTTCCTAGAAAATTATGTTCAAATTGATACAAAATATTTATTTATTGAATGCAAGTTAAGAGATTATTTTCAGAATTATAAAAAATTTAAGCAATTTATGGATATTACGGATTGGCACAAGATTTTACTTATATAAGCTATATATGTACGACGTTCGGCTATGCTGTAAGTCCGCGTCTCGTAGGACTTCCAGTCCATTAGACAGCCCGTCGATTTTGTTCGTATTGTTTGTTCGTTCGTTGTCCTTTTCAGAATTGCAATTGTTGTCATCTCTCCTCCCTTGCTTGTCCTTTATCAAGTGGAGTGTTGTTCAAAGGTGGCTTAGTTCTGCGGGCAAACACCTTGCCAGATATCGCCAAAGACCAGATTCGGCGTTATGGTCACATCCTTCTTATTGACTTGGATATTCCTGATGCAACCGTTGTAGGTCTTTCGCGTCTTAATGCCCGGCGCTTTAGCAAACGCATGATGACCGCCCATAAACAATGGACGATTCGTCTTGGTGAACGCCGAGCCGTCAAGGCCCACGCCCGGCTTGGAGCTGATGTAGTCAACGGCAATGGTAATGACAAATTTGGATTTGATGGCCTGCACATTGCGCCATTTGCTATCGCAGAAGCTGGCATTGTCCGGCAGCGTATAGTTGGTGACGATCGTGTTCTTGGCATCGGACTTCACGGTGAAGAAGAGCGAATTATTCACCAGCTCCAGGATCATGTACGAGTTCTTGCCATGTACTGAGAACAGCAAGCCGTTCGGATCTCGTGGCCGGAAGTCAAAGTTGATGCTGACATCGGTGCCCACAATGAAGCGCTCAAAGAGCTTCACATAGCCGCTCGGCTGATGGAAGTAGTATCCATTCTCCACTTCCTCCGAGCAAGGCACCACCTGGTGCACTATTGGCTCCGTCTCCAATCCCAGGCCATTGAACTTGATGTCCTTGATGCAGCCATTGTAATATGATGTTGTATTGCCTCCAAATCCAGTTTGAAGTTTGAGATTCGGTTCCAGATATTTGGTAATACCTCCCACATAGACGGGGAATGTCACCGACAGGACTGGCGAGGAAGTGGCGCGTTCATTGTTCAGCTCCACAGAGCCCGCCTGCTCCACGCCATCTATGCTAAGGCTAATCTTACGATTGGTGCGCACGAATTCTATTGTATGCCAATTGCCGTCCAATAGATCCTCCTCGCTGGAAATCTTCGCCGAGACGGTGGCGCCAACGTTCACCTGGTGGTACACACGTCCATCCGACATGTAGACCGCTATGAAGTCATCCTTTTCCTGCCCAGCCGCATAGAAGAGCAGGCCATTGGGATAGCTGGTTCGTATGGACAGGCTGATGTCGTAGTGCTTGCGCAGCTTAACGGGCAGCGATCCGAATTCCAGACGCTGATCCTTGAGCGAATAAAACCGATAGCCAGCCTGCACAAAGTCAACGTCATAATTTGGATTGACGGGCAATTTGCAGCTGGGATCACTGGGCTGATTGAGGATGGGTGGCGGACGTAGTTTGCCAATTGGTTTTGGTGTGGTGGGCGGACCCAATGGCGGCAGTGTTTCTTTTTCTATTATGGGCAACTGTGTGGTGGTCGTCGTTGTTGTTGTCGTTGTTGTCGTTGTTGTGCTTGTTGTAGTTGTTGCCCTTGTTGGCGTTGTATGTTCAGTTGGTGAAATCATAAACATATCCACGTTGTCTGACCTATTTGGTGGCGGCTCTAGCTCATTGGTACCAAATGGATAGTAGATGGGCATCGAGCTCGGCTCGTAAGCTAAAAGAGATGAATAGAGAATAGAGTATGGAATTAAAGGAGACGTTCGGTTGGCTTACCTAGTATATCCTGGGGACAACCATTGATGTTGCCATTCTTCTTCTCAGCGCTATCCGCAAAGTTGATGGTCTCCCCGTTGACAGTGACGTCGCGAATGCAGCCTAAGAAATAGGCCAATGTGGATATGGCACCCTTGGGTGGAACATAGTTGTCTGGTATTCCGCCAAAGAATATATCGCCGCCACTTATTTCAAGAGGTGACGGCATGCCCAGCCTGTGGAAGATCAATCAGGAATGTAGGTTCAAGTATACGACTATATAAACAAAGATTAGCTTACCGTGCATCCCAGCTGTCATCAACGGAGAGCCGCAGCTGATCGGCGCCGTGGTGCACGGTGACCGAATGATCCTCGCCATCGTTGAACAGTTGATTGTTGATGACCAGCTCGCTACCCATGCTGCGCAGCGTGAGATAGCCACGATCCAGGGTGAGGGCTATGGTTGAGCTTTGGTCATGATTGGCGGCATAGAAGAGCACGCCATCGAGCTGGCGGGTCTTGAAGCTCAACACCACATCGAAATTGTTGTTGGACGAGATATTAGCGATGCGAAGGAAGCCATATTCATGCGGTGGATACGACAGAGATGTGGAGTACTTGTCGGGACAGCCTTCGGCCACGCCAGTGCCATTTGCATACTGCGTGAGATCCACTTTCTGCCCGGCGATGCTGACATCATCGATGCAACCATCAAAGTTCTGTTTGACAATTTCTGAAAAATTGCGAGGTCCCGGATAGCCGCCGAAGTACATGCGCTTCAGATTGGGCATGTCTTCTGTGCTGCCGGCGGGCGCCTTCTCGTTGAAGATCAGCACATCGTCCACCTTGAGCAGACCTTGGCGACCTTCTCGCTCGGCTACCACACGATGCCACTGATTGTCATTGTAGTGCTCCTGACTGCCCGACGATACCAAGCCGCCACCCAGCTTGAAACGGAAAAAGATTGCCCCATTGACCAGCTCAATGGACATGTAATGCGTGCCACGGCCATAGAAGAACAACAGACCGTTGCCGGAATCCTTGGCGGCCTTGAAGCGGAACTGAATGCTCGAGCGTAGCTTAAAGTTGAACTGCGATGCCTTTAGTTGGACAAATCCGTTGCCCTTGAAGCGCAGCCCAGTGACTGGCATTTGATCCTCGAGCAGGACGTCACGTTCTTTAGCGCCCTGCTTGTTCTCCTCGCCATAGACAAAGTTCCAGAGGCCAACGTTCTCATCGCCTATGCGTAAGTCCTCAATGTCGCCATTGAAGGAGCTGAAGTTGATGTCATCGGGTGCGATAAAATCGGAGGGACCCGGATAGCCGCCAACAAAGAGTCGACTGTTGCGATCCACATGCAGCACGTTGTTGGCGCCAACCAAAATGGCGGACTTGGTATGATCCTTCACCTTATTTTTCAGCTGCTCTCGTATGGTGAGCTTGGCATTGGAGCCCACACGATCGAATATGGCCTGATACCAATTGCCGTCGGCCACATACTTATCGCTGGTGATTCGCTCCGGTCCGTTGCCCAGATCAATGGTCATTATCGGATAGCCATTGAGTATCTCCATGGCCACAAAGTCATTGTTCTTCTGGCTGGTCTTGTTGTCGTTGCCCAAATACAGGAGGAAGCCGTTTGGCTCGTTGGTTCTGAAGGCCGCCGACAACTTGGTCTTGGTGGCCAGCAGCGGCACCTTTTCGGGCGTCTTCAGTTCCAGCACGGTGTTGTTTGTAAAGTGAACGCCCACCTTAATATTGTTGGCTATGCGTCTGGCGGTTTCAATTTGTCGCTTCAGGTGCTCAATGTCCTCGCCGAGTTGCTGACTGCGTTTCGCCACCTGCTGCTGTTCGGAGCCAATGTCATCGACAAGTTGGCCAAGCTTTGGTACGCTCGTCTCAACGCTGTCCAATTGATTGTTGGCCTGCGAGATGTCTTTGTTGGTTATGTCCACATCGCGACTTATGTTCCGTGCCTTGTCCAGCTCTTTGGGTGTCTGTGCGCTAACTGGTTCCAGGATTTTGAGCACATTCTCTAAAATTTCCAGAGCATCGCTGGCATTGCTATTCGAGCTCTTCCACATATCACGCTGCGTTTCAGCTGGTAATTTCTCGATCAGAATGTTGATCTCCTTCAACTGATCGTTGGTGGCGCCATTCAATTGCGAGATTTCCTGTACTTTGCCAGCCGAACCATTCAGACGCGGCTCCAGATCATCCTGCACCTTAAGCAGCGCTTGATTTGCCTTCTGCAACAGCTCCAGAGACCTAGTAGCAGCATCGCTGGCTCGATCCTCAATGCCATCTGTTTGCTGAGTGGCATTGGTTGCAGCGATCTTGGCCTCCTGCGCCGATGCCTCGGCCGACTGCACAGCATCAACAATGTTCGAATAAGCGGTCGCTGCCTGCATGGCTGGTTCCGAGCTGGATGTCATATTGAAATATTGGGTAGTCAAATCCTGGGCTCTGAAGCTCAATTCGGCTGCACGTTCTTCCGCCTGCTGTGTCAGCTCGGCGGCTTCAGTGTACTGCGCGTCGCGTTCCGGCAGATAGTTGTCGACGTCCATGTTGACAGCCTTCAGCTGCGTCAATGCCGTGCGCAGATCGTCGAGCTTCTTTTCAATGTGGGTCAGCGTAAAGTCGCCATTTTTCAGATAGTTAACCGCTTCCTTGATATTATTCTCCGCCTCGCGCTCCTGCTCGGAAACTGTATCGAATTTGGAATTATCGTATGCCTGCTTGTTCAACACATTCAAACGTTCCACATCGCTGGACTGACTCTGCGATTGCTCGCTCCAGTTGAATAGATCCTCCAGCTTGTCGCTGAATTCACCGATTTCGTTCTTCAAGGCAATGAGGCTTCTGTTTTGCTTCTTGATGGGATCGACTAATATGTCCACCTCATCGTAGAGTTGGCGCGCCTTCTCCAGGACCAACTCATTGGTCTGCACTTCGATGGTGGTGGCATTGATTTGGTTGAGTAAGTTCTGGGCCTGATCCAAGGCGGCATCAATTTTGGTGCTAGCCGTCACCTCCATATTCTCAGACAGAGATTCGACAGCTTCAATGGCGTCTCGTGCGTGTTGCGCGCTACCCAGCGCCTCGTCATGCACAGCGGACACGTTGCTTAGCAAAACGCCAGATCTTAGACGAATGTCCATAGCATTGCCGAGCGTTTGATTGACCTGCTTGGCATACAATTTGCTAGCCGCTTCCAGCTCGTTGTTGAGCTTTTGCGATGGCGACAAATTGACGCTGGTTGGATCCAGGGCGTGCACCTTGGGCACCAGCTCATCCGCCAGCTCGTCATAGTAGTTCAGCTTTTGGCTGGTAAAGAAGGCCAAGCTGACAGTTTCGAAATCCTGCAGGACACCATCGATTTGATAGCGCATCTTATCGGTTAGATCTAGGAGCGCATGATGACAATTGTTGCACTCCATGCAGCCATCTTCAGTGAGCACCCAGCGGTTCGGGCACGCCTCACAGCGGTCTCCAATCACACCAGGCAGGCAGACGCACTGACCCGTCTGCGGATTACAGCCAGTGCCGGAACGAGAATAGCCCTGATTACAGTTGCATGGCGTGCAGCCCTCCTTCTCATATTTCCAGTGGTCCACGGTGCAGCGATCACATTGACGACCCGTGACGCCCGGTTTGCACAAGCCTGAAATCAGAAAGAACGATGGAATGAGATCGTCTAGACATGGAGTATGTTTCAGGTAAATATTTACAGTGTCCCGTATGTTCGTTGCATTGGGTAGAGTTGGATGCAGCTCCGCAGTCGCAGGCGCGGCAGCCAATGCCGGAATCGAAGCCGTAATGATCGGGTTTGCAGCGATCGCAGCGTTCACCAATAACGTTCTCATGACACTTGCATTTGCCCACGAACGGATCGCACTCCAGCGTGCCCAGCTCATCGCAGTCGCAGCTCTGACAGTTCTTTAGCTGCACAGCATCACCGTAGAATCCAGGTGCGCACAGATTGCAAGCCATGCCCGAGGTGTTGTTCAGACAGCGCAGACATTCACCTGTGCGTGTGTCGCAGGCACCTTGCTCATTGGGATTTATGTTGCCAGAGCATTCGCAGGGCTTGCACACATCACCCGGTGTCTCGGGTGAGCCATAGAAGCCGTTGGCGCAGCTCTCGCAGCGTGCGCCCGTGTAACCGGGCAGACACTCGCAGTGGATCTCCTTGCCCGACTCAGAAATCTCACATCCGGAGGCAAAGTTATTGGAATCGAAGGGCAGTGGACAGGCGCATATCATGCAATCGTGCGGCGAGCCATTGGTGGCATTGCCATAATAGCCAGCCACACATTGCTCGCAGTGGTCGCCACGCGTCGAGTGCTGACAGTCTTTACAGATGCCAGTGGCGCAGTCACAGGTCTCGGCATGGCCATTGCAGTCGCAGGGGACGCAGTAGCCGCCATATGGCCCGTTCTCTACACGATGATAGCCAGGAGCGCAGTCCTCACACGAGTGTCCGGCATAGCCGGGCGGGCACTGGCATTGCTCCACGGCCAGGAATTGATATTCGCCCGTGCCATCGGCATCTTCGTCGGCCAGCGTCAAGTAGACATCCGAGATCTGCGTATTGAGCGTCTGTTCCCAGTAGTTGGCTCGTATGAAGATCATTCTCAGATCACGCAAAGCCATCATGAAGTCAGCACGGCTAACAGATTTGCCACTCTGCGTCTGGAAGTTGGTCTCCACCATTTGCAGTCGATTCTTGAAGGGCAAATTGCTGCTGGGCTGTTCGTAGCTCTGATGGACAAGTACATGATCCTTGCTGAGCAGTATGACATCCGGTGCCACAATGGCCTTGCCCACAAAGCCCGACGTAAAGTATAGCGTGTAGGCCAGATCTCCGCCATATGCAGATATGTGACTATTCTGATTGAGCAGGTAGTCAAGGAGGCCAAAGTAGGCAACGCGCTGATCGTTCGTTTCCCTCAAGGAGAAGTCCGCTTGCAGCGTGGTCTCATTCACAATAAGATCCTCCTGCGACACATCCCATATCTCGAATTCAATGCTCTTGTTGGTGAAGTCAGCCGAGTTGATCGTCGTGTGGCGCATCAGGCTGACATTGTAGACGCGCAGATAGGCACTGGTGCAGCGCGATGTCTTGCCAAAGCAGAAGCACGTGGTGCATCCGTCGGGATTGCTCTCCTGCAAGTTGTATGTGCCATCCACGCACTGATCACAATCGCGTCCAACCACATTCTTCTTGCAGAAGCAGCTACCATCGATCTTGTCGCACACCTCCAGCTCCGTGCCCGGCGTATGGCAGCTGCACTGGCTACAGCGCGGGAATTCATAAAAGCCATGGGCACAGGTATCGCAGGCACGGCCAACGATATTGTCGCGACACTGACAGGAGCCATTGAACATGTCGCACTGCTGATTTCCGTGCGCTATGCCCATATAGTTGCAGTTACAGCTCTCGCAGCCGATCACCTGATGGAAGCCATAGGTATTCGCCGCACACCTAAAACGGGGTAATTCCTTGAGTTCCATTTTTGCTTACTGTGAGTGCACTTACTTGTCGCACAGAGCTCCAATCACGTTTGGCGGGCACATGCACTCTCCTGTGGTTGGCTCACACATGGCAGTGCTGGGGCAGTCACAAAGCTTGCAATCGGGGAAGCCTGAAAGAAGCAACTGGGTTTGAGCAATGCCTGGAATGCGAACTGACTTTGTCTTATGTCACCATAATAGCCTGTGCGGCAAGCCGTGCACTGACGTCCTATCACATTCTTACGGCACTGGCACTGTCCGCCGAATGGATGACACTCAAAGCTGGTCGAGCCGGCATAGTCGCAATTGCACGGCAATGCGCCGCTGTTGTAGTCGGCGGTCAGTGAGAAGACGGCATTCTGGCAGAATTTACTGGCGTTGTGTGTGATGTGGAAATGGTCTTGGCCGCAATTCTTGATGAACTCCTTGGTCTGATCGAATGTCTCCTCCACCAGCAGATCGTCGTTATATTGATCGACGGGCACCACCACCAAATAGTCCAACCACACTCCTTGCGCACGCGAGTTCTTTACGACATAGAGTGTTGTATGATAGATGGAATTTAAAGAGTTCCAATGGAGCTTACCGTCAGTGTGAACTTGAAGTCATCCTCAATATCGAACCACCAGTCATCGCCAGTGGGTCGAATGACGCCACGGCAACCGGAACTGGATGGGCAATGCTGTATATCGAACTTGCCATCGTATTGATTCTTGCCAGCGGTTAGTGTGTAGAGCACCTGATACTTGGGATGATTGGGCTGATAGTACTTCACCAAAATGACATAACGATGTGGCTCCGACACCTTGGACTCAATCACAATTGTGCCCTCCTCGCGGGTGTCCAAGTGCACAAGCTTCACACGCTCATCAAAGGCAGCATATGGAGGTTTGTTAGTGGCAATGCGGTCCTCGTGATCAGTTTCGAATTCGATCTTCTTCGAGTCGGGAACTGAGCGGAATTTCGGCGTGGCGCATACCTTGTTGTGTATAACACACACAGGACTTGGATTGATGTAATCAATCGACCACTGGTCGACTGGTATGGCCGTTACGGAAATAATGGGCACGCGAAAGACGTCATCGATATCCGCCTGAAAAAATCGAAATGTTTTTGCTGTGAGAAACGATTGATCTGATCTTCCCAGGGAATACTGACCGATATGGTAACTGGCTGCAGTTCATCCTTGTTGATATAGAAGGCCTTTTCGCGGCCATCATCATTGATCGGCGTGCGACAGACCGTGGAGTAAAGACATGGGTACAGATAGACCGACGATTGAGAGTCTGGATCATTGCCTAGCCTGAGATTCACATCGTACGGCACTGCATAGTTTCTCTCGCTGATGTAATCGATGACAAAGATATAGCGTCCACTGCGCGGCACATCCACGATGTAGTTGAGCTCCTTTTGGGTGTTGCTAAGCACAGGTATCTCGCCCACATGGCTGACAATCTCCAAATGTTCTGAATCGCTGTAGACCTCGGTGGGATTTGTCGGCTTATCATTGGCGCCAATAACGAAAGGGTTTGACGCTGGCTCGAAGACGTTGACGGAGGCGTATTTATAGTGGCGGCAAAGCTCCATGTTGCCCAGCTCACAAGGATTGGCAATGTGACGGGTCAGTATGGATGCCTCATAGTAGGCAGCGGGCAAGAGCACAAAGTAGTCCAGCATCACGTTCTTGTTGGCCTTGGTGGTGAAGTTGTAACGTCCAGGATCAAGGACCACTGCCGAGGGCTTGTTGCCCTTGGGTCCAGAGACGGTGACAAACTCTGGCTCGCTAGTTGGGCGCAGCAGAACCTTGACACTATATGAATTAAGAAATTTATTAAAAGGACGAATCCACATTCAAGTTAAGTTGAACTACACTCACTTCTGGTCCACCTCGAGCGGATTCTCGGACTGTATGAGTATGCTTGCTGTAACGTTCTTCTCGTTGGGGTTCATGTAGCGTATGACAACACGATATACCGAGGACTTGACCACAGTCAGCTCATTGCGCACCTCGTTCTGTATGTCGATGAACACGGCGTAGCCTTTGCTGCTGAAGTCTGGGAAGACCTGGTCATCGGACTGATAGCGCACCTGAGTGCCTGATGGCTGCTGACCATCCTCGTACTCATATTGGAACTGATGCAGCGTGGGGAAATAGTGAGTTGTCAGCGGCTGTGTGCAGGCGCGACCCGTAACACGTGGATGGCATTTGCACTGGCCGCTGATCTTGTCGCATTCGCTCTTCCACGAGCCGCCAACATCACAGCTGCAGTCCTTGCAGCCAAACAGCGAGGAGCCATCCAGATCAAAGGTGCCATCCTTGCATTCGCGGCACTGACGGCCCATGGTGTGCGGCTTGCAGTGGCAATTGCCCGACTTGGAGGCGCAAGTGTCTAGGCCCGAAACGGTGCCATCAATGAAGCAATCGCATTCCTGACAGCCCTCCGGATTGCTAACGGTCAAGTTCCAGTAAAGCGGCTTGCACTCATTGCAAATCCTGCCCGTTACACGCTCCTTGCACTTACACAGCTCACCCACGGGCACTGAGCCGCAGCCAGCAAATTGATCGATCACACCCGCAGGATCGCAGTTGCAGCCCTCGCAGGCGGGGAAATTGTAGAAGGATTCCTTGCACCTCTCGCACTGACGACCATCAAAGTTGGGCTTACTGCAGACGGAAAGCGAATTCGAATACATTTAAGTACGGCTTACAACATTGGACATACCAGAAACATCCATCCTCATTGCAGGTGACACCCTCCGAGCCATGTTCATCGCAGTTGCAAGCTGCAAATTATCTGATATAGATTGTGAACAAACACTCCACAGGTAACCACTTACGCAAGCACTCCGGATAGTTGTAATAGCCGGCACTGCACATGTTGCAGAGCTTGCCGGAATAGTTGATCAGGCAGTTGCACTTGCCGGTGTTGTCGCAAGTGACCGCCGAGCTGCCAGTGGTGGAGCAGTTGCAGGGCTGACACGATGGATAGTTGAAATATCCGGGCAGGCAGCGATCGCAGCGCGGTCCACCGAAACCTTCACGACAGATGCACTGTCCAGATTCCTTGTTGCAGATTTCCGACTCGGTGCCCTCGTGGTCGCAGTCACAGTCTGTAAGAGCAGATGGGATGTGCTTGATATAGGATGTAGCTTAGCCTGAAATTGTGTTCACTTACAGGAGCACGTGGGCTCGTTGTAGTAGCCATCCTTGCAGCGCTCGCACTGTGCGCCACCCCAATTGCTGAGACAGGTGCAGTTGCCGGAGATGACGTCGCAGTCATTGTTGATGGAGCCCAGCTTATTGCACTGACAGGCCTTGCACTCGGGGAAGCCGTAATACGACTCGGCACACTCCTTGCAAAGGGCGCCAGCGAAATTGGTCTTGCAGGGACAGATGCCATTGACAGCCTCGCAGTTGTAGCCGTTGGTGCCGTTCAAATTACACTCGCATTCACGGCACTGCGGATAGCCGTAGTAGCTGGAAGAAGGAAGACATTAGCTTAGTTGCACTTAGCATGGGAGCTTGTTGTGCTCACCCATAGGAGCAGGAGTCACAGTTGGGTGGCTGGAAGGCAGCACGGCACTCGCACTTGCCCGTCTCCTCCTCGCAGTGACCCGTCGAGTAGAAGAATTCGCAGTTGCAGGCTGCAAGCGAGTTTTAGTTGATCAATTGAATTTGGCTTAGTTGCACGCGCGAAGCACTTACGACTGCAGACATCCGTCTCGTTCCAGTACTTGCCCCTGGGGCGATAGTATTTGGGCTTGCACTTGTTGCAGTTGGTGCCTTCGGTGTTGTGTTGGCAATTCTGGCAGACGCCGCCGCCATCGTAGTGGCCATGGATATCCAGGGAGAGACCCTTGCGGTTCACATCCTCATCGTAGATGCACTCGTTGCTGTGGCCATGGCAGTTGCAGGCTGTGTAAATGTGATGCAATCAAATGATATTCTATTGAAGGTCTTCACTACTCACGCTCGCAGTTGAATGGACGTGCGTTGGTGTTCTGACGCCACTTCTTCTGCTCGAATCCCGGACAGCACTGGTTGCACTGAATGCCGCAGGTGTGATGCTGGCAGCGACAGGCTAGGATGCGCACAGGACTGAGTGGATCCTTGACATCGCAGGTATCGGCATGACCATTGCACATGCAACGTCCACCGATCGAGATGTCCTTAATCGAGTAGAAATAACGTCGCGTTACTGTCGGATCCTGTCGTGCCACAGACATCAGATGACCCAGCAGATTCTTGGTACGCAACAGACGTATGCGCACGTTGGTGGCACGCGTCCATTCCTGCAGCACCGTCGAGTTGAAGTAGTTGGTGGACGAGGGACGTCCATTTAGCAGCATAACGGGTATTTCTCCATTCTCTAGCGGCACAATTTTCGAGTATTCCGTGGTGCAAATGACATCGTTGTCGCGCGTTATTGGCTTATAGGTGTCCTTGCCAAAGTAGGTCTCACAATCGGCGGGCGTGTCGGAGAAGTGCTGCCAGGGTGTCCAGGTCTTGCCATAATCCGTCGACTTCTCCAGCGTCCAGAGGCCTGGACGCGGCGAGTTACCCATGCGTATGAACAGGTAAGCGACATGGAATTCCTGAAGATATAAAGCTGATTAATGTGGAAGTCCTTGTGAGTCTTATAGTATAAAGTTAGTTAAAGACTCTAAGCTGAGTGCCATTGAAATAATCGTCTTCTGCTTGTGGTTGCTTTTCTTTAAACTAAAGTTCTGGAAGGTCATCTATATCATCTTCTGTTGGACTTAGTTACATATATATATATATATATATATATATATGAATATATATTGTTTGATCTTCTATATTCTATAATATATATTCTTTGCAATATAACTTATAGTTAAACTTTGAAATTATTATTTGTTAAACAACATATTCTTTCCCTGATAAAGTCTAGCTTGGCTACAGATATACATATATTAATATAGATATATTCATTCCGACTATGCCTACATACATCTTAAAAATCGTTGATAATTGAATCTTCTACCAGCCGATTTTCAGGGGCCAAGCAAATTCATTAAAATTTATTAGCTTCGTGTACACATAAGATCTGTGTAGATATGTCAATATATCTATGAGTGTGTGTGTGTGTGTTTGTGTACATACGGAGCTTGCATGAGATCACTGAAGAGAATTAACTTTATGCTCTCCAGTATACTAAATTTATATGCGTTCACAAAATGTTTGTTTATTTTGTTTTTTTTTTCTTTCGTTTGCTTTTCAATTTGAAGTCAATTGAAAAGGAACCAAATGTACATATATATATATGCAGATATATATAAGCAAGATATATGTAGATACATGTATGAAAGATTGTTTACAGTGGCTGTGGTTGCTATGTTTAGCTGATATGTTGGGCAAGACATAAGGTCTAAACGAACTGAGTTAAGAGGAAGTCTTAGCTATAAAAGAATACTTTGAATTTCAGTTGCAAGTTTTTATAAACTTTTTGGCATATTTTATATAATATGATATTTCTTTAGCATGCATACATATACCTATATAATTCACTTCAGCATATATCCACACAAAATGCATTCATAGTACTAAAATATGCTGCAGACGTTTGCATTTTTAGATATTAGATGATCTCATTTCAGTGCTCAACAGCAACTCAAGTAGAAAACATATATAAACATACATATATACATATATATATATACCTATATGTAGCTCTGTAACGCTTCGTATAGTCTATGGAACTTGGGCTATAAGTAGCTACAGCTACATGATCTGAGGCGTTTCCGTTGCAAGTGCGATAAGTCGAGCGCCAAGTGTGACCCGAAAGTTGTTATATGGAACAGTTTCAGACTATACTAAATGATAAGCGTGGGCTGCGACTATATAAAATTCTTTCAAGTGCTATCAGTAGTTAGAGAATACATCATATATATATATATATATATATATATATGTGTATATAGAACATCAGAACTAAATTGTATAAATTCTAAGCAAGGAGAAGCCTTCTTTTAGCTACTTATCGCTACGAAAAAAATAAATATCAAACAAGAGTCAACGTTCTGTGTGGCAGTTTCTAAGTGAGCATGTAAACTGAGACAAGCCAACATAAAAATATACATATGTATACATATATATACATATATATACATATATGTGTGTGTGTTTGGGCTACAAGCTGATAACCCGCCAACTCCAAGGGGGAAACAACAACAGCGACTCAACAGCTCAGCAAGATTTTTCGCTGTGGCTTCAAACTGAACAAAAAAAAAGAATAAAAAAAATAAGAATCAGGGTTCTTCTTCTTCTGCGTCGTCGCTGCGGACGTCGAAAATGAAATGAAAACCCATTAAAATTGTTTTCTTTAAAGCAATCCGCTCACTAATTTTACGAGCCTGTCCCTGTTCGCTGTCTGAGTTAGGAGCAGTTCAAGATGATCGAACCAGCACACATATGGGAGCATCACACACACACACACGCATACATACAAACTGTTGCATTGACTCGTTTTTTTGTGGTTCCCTTCTCCCTCGCTGCACTCTTTTGTTTTCTCTTATTTTTTTTTGGCTACACCTTTCTTTGATGGCTGTGCGTTTGTTCTGATTGCTGCTTACCTGTTCGAAATTGATGGTCAAATTGACTTCGTTGAATTTCATGCCACGGGACAGGGGTGGACTCTGCCACCAGGCCTCGGTGCCATCGATTGCATTCGCTGGCGGATGATTCTTCTCCGGCACATTGGGATCACAATAGTCGCAGACCTAGAACAAACGAAACACATGTTATTATATAAAACTTCAGACTTATGGCTATAAATAGATTCGATTTGAATGTTTAGCACATGTGGCACGAAAGAACTTCAACATGCTGCACAAGAATCAGATTCAGAATGTTGTATGTATACTCAGAGTTAGAAAGAAAATCATATGAGATATTCTGATTTATGTATTTATATTATCTTATCTACCTGTCCTTGAATAACTGAATAATCAATGTGATCATTCTCTGTATTCGCTCCGACCAGTTTGCAATAGAGTTCGGGTCCATCAGTATCCTCGCCACATGTGGCAGTTGCTTGAATCTTGCGGCCAGTGGCCAGATTGAAATATGGCGGCGTTAGCTCAGCATTGCATAGTGCGATAAGCAGGGCCAGGGCAAAGGCCACGCCCATGACACTGATTGGGGTCGCACGCAGCCCCATTGTGCACTCTTTCTCTTTCTTTCGCTCACACGCACTACTGGGCGCACAGCAATAAGAAATGTCCTTTATTTTGTCTCACTTCCGGTTCACAATTCTGTATTCCACTTTCTTATCTTCTGGCACTTTTTATTTATTTTTCACTTTTTCGATTCTTATTCACTTTCTTTTTCAGAGCCCATCCAACCGCACTGGATGGCTCGTCGCGAGCAACTGAACTTCATGCAGTGAGAAGTTTTCCTCGGTACCCCAAACAAATAATGTCTGCATCGGAAACTGACGGAAGCAGCGACAGTGTTCGGCTCACCCGAAGATCGTCTGTCGGCTGTCGGTTGTCGGTGATCCCGGCCCATTTATTACTTCATCGCACAGCTGAGAGAGCGGAGATAACGCACTTAACGTCGTTTGTTGTGCTTGCGATATTCGTTTATTTTTCTCTCAGCACTTCCAGTTTTTTGTCTGCTCTCTCATTATCTTGAGCTCGCGCTCTCTGCTGCTAAATGCCGGCCGGCTTTTCTCTGCGAGTGGAAGTGGAATGGAAGTGAGATTGAGAGTGAGACAAATCAAAACAAGTGAAGTAGCTTGTTTACTTTGCTCTTGGAAAACGAAGAGCCGTTAGAGCCTATAAATGTTTAGTTGAGGGTAAAGTGTTGCCCAATTGTTCTAGACACTTGGGAACAAGACTGGTCACACTGGATAATAAGACTGGAATAATAATTGATTAAATGTATGGATGTATGAAATTGTTTATTACCGAACGATTTTAAGTAATAATAAAAGCATCGTTTAATTTGAACTTAAATTAAATTTAATAACAATTATTTATTGGTTAACATATGGTTTAGTTTTGCTGAAATAAAAGTTATGTTTTAAGCCAACTTTTTGCAAGCTAACTGGTCTGAAGGTGAATAACGGCTCAAATAGCCCATTCGCACTCAGGCATAGCCAACAAATCGAACCGAAACTCAACCTACAATCACTAAAAACTTGAAGTTTATTGCTAGAGCTATTAAAAAGCCAAGAAAGAAACGGCCTGCGCTAGTAGCGTGCTTTGGTTTGCTTTGAAAATCACGATCAAAATACAGTTAAAATTCATGACCAATGTATCGGCTGCGCAGTCGACGTTGCATGGCGGCAGGCAGCTGTTGGCATTTGCTGCGAAACTTAACGAAATGAATCGAAACTGGTTGCAGTTGCATTGCAGCTCTTGCAATGACAAAAATAATCGCACTGATAAAGACGGCTATGAGTGTCAAAAGTTTTTATTTGGCCTCAATTTGGCTCGTTACCAGCTGCATTGGCCACACTGTACAGGCGACCGCCCCATGGATGCAAACGAGTTCTGATGACGTAACACGCAACGTTGACGTTATAGTTGTTGCCGTTGTTATTGTCGATGCCGTTTCTTGCAACTCACGCAAAGTGCTTGGCCAAAGAGAAAAAAATAACAAATTTTAAATTGAATAGATATTTGTGTATAAGCAAACACATGTGCATATGTATGTGCGGCGAGTTTATACGACAGATCGATTGCAACATCAGCGAGAAGTTCTTAGCTTAACTTCGCTGCACATTGGTGCTAAAGCAGCACAAAAACAAAAGCTTCACGAATTAAATATAAATAAACTCTCAATTTACTGTTCATTCATGCCCTTATTCACACGTTAAACAAATCAATTAACGCCTCAATTTAAGACGATGAGTCGCATTATTTGTTGTTGTTGCAGCTGAAACCAGTCCAGTGTGGGCCCACTGTGCTGCGCACTGCGCTGACGCCAGCGCTGGCGTCAACGTTCACCTACGTTTCATTTATTTATTCGCAGTCGATTTTCTGTTTTCGTGCTCAATTTCGTTCTAAGCCTCGGCGCGTGTGCATCGACGCAGTTCTCGACATGGTGCTGTTGAAAGTGATCAAATACCTAGTGGGTCAGTGTAACAATGGCAATGCACACCACACACATATGTAACTTGCCTCTAAGCCTTCTTGTTGTTTGCTTTCGTTACATGTGCTGCCGCAGGCTGCGTGGTTCGTGTCTGCAACGAGCTGTCCCAGAATATGAATTCACTCAACAAGATGTTCAAGTATCACCTGCTCGAGGCGAATTAGCTAAGTTCAATTGAATTTCGAAATATGTATTTATACGTATTATATAAGTACACATACATTAGTACCTGTTCACCGCAAATATATCTAGTTATACAAACGTTAATTATTGTTGCTCTTCTTTTCTTGTGCTTGCATAAAATCGAACAAGTGAGAACCTGAATCACAAGCATATATATATATGTATATATATATACATATATATTTTGTGTATATATATGTGTATGCGTGTATATATGCACAAGCTTGTTCATCGGCTTGCACAATCATTTCCATCAAAGGCTTTCGATTTCATTTCGATATTGTGCAATCCTTGACATTAATATTTAAAGATATTAAGTTCTGGGCAAATCTCTAGTTCGATTTTCAAGTGCTTAGCATAGATTTTTCCCAGAATGTATTAGAATATATATTTTTGGAAATAAGTCAAATAAAATTAATATAATTATTAATAAGGCTTAGCAAAAAATCCCCTAACGCAGCTTTTCTATGGAACGCAATGGCCGAAAGCTTAAAAATTTGTCAATAAGAGAAAAAAGCTTAAAGCAAACAAAGCAAAAACTTGATGTATGCCTAGTAAAAAATTAACATAGTTGTGTATACATACATATATACATTTATATATATATATATAGCTTATATAGTACACACTCGTGACGTCACATGCAACTAAATTTCGAGTCGTGTGTCTAATTTGCATACAATGTCACGTTTGAATGACTTGTAGAAAAAAAACCCAAAAACTAAATGAGTTTATAATTTGTGTTTATATTTAGCACTAATTTTATATCGATGGCATGGCTTGGGCTCACTAATTTCTATAATTATTATACTAGTTAAGTTCTATTCGCCATTATTCATTGCTCAGGAAGGTGCGACCGAAGTTAAGGACATTGCTGACAAAGCTTAGCATCGATGTGATCATGCCGTGGGCATGCTTCGAGCTCTTCGTCGTCTCCATGTCTTGTCGCTTAATCTTATTAGTGGCCTTTGTGCTTCTGGCCAGCTGCTCGATCTCGGCGCTGCTAAATATGCGCTCCACATCGGGTATAATCACTTTGCGGCCAAAGTCCTCTTCGCTTATCTCGTTCTGGCGATCGTCCTCGCTGCTGAACTTAAACCACGGGCTGCCTTGAGCTATACCAAAGAGGATGCGATGCGACTTCACTTCAAGAGTTCAATTCAGTGCAAATTCCAGTGCTTACCTGTTAACAGCAAGGCGGAGCTGATTAGACAGACTGATAGGAACTTGGCCGGTGACATTTCCGTTAGCGACAGTCAACTCGATTCAACTGAGTACAATTGCAGCTGCAATGACCTGCTTTATAGATAGTTAGTCTCGCGCCAGTCGGTCGATCTACGTGATCTTCGAGCGGTATGCAAGAGGAACACACTCTGTGCACGTTCCAACTGAACAATTTTGAAAAGCACTTTTTCTTTATTATTATTATTTTGGCTGTCAGTTCTTAGGTAGTACGCTCTAGAATAACTGCATTCAGGTGTTTTGTTGCTGCTGCTTTTTTATTGAACTTTTATTCTACATCCATAACCTATAATGATTTTTTTTGGGTTTTCTGAAATGCTTGTCGTATGCCCTATGTAATTCCCGTGCACCCTTAAATGCTGAGACATAGTTTGTATTGGACTTATGTCTTTTATTGGAAACTTAATGGCTACCATAACCTATAATGACTGTAGACCCGTTAGTGCTGGAACCTCTTTGTACCTTTTTGTGGATTCATTCATGTTTCATCAACTAAAGCGCAATTCCTAGCTGACTTCACGTTCGAAAATCGCATTCCCCACATCCTGCAAGATTTTGGGCCTACGTGTCTTGTGCTTGTACAGCTCATAGGCATTATCCAACTCGGCATCGGCGTCGCGCTCATCATCCACGCCTGGCCATTGCTCATAGAGCTTTTCCAGCAGCTCTCTGTCGGGCGAGCTCGTCGATCGCATGGGCAGGCAGCTGACCACGCTCACAATTATGCTAAGCGCTGCAAGGTAACATAGATATCAATGACAATAAACGAACTGTGGAGCGTCAGAGACCAACCGAAGACTACTGTTAGACGCATTATTGAAGACTCACTGACCGACTGGAGGAGGAACCCCACAATTTATATACATGCTCGTACTGGCACCAACCTATTGACCGGCTCTTAGCGAATCATGCGAAGATTATGCAAAAGAGTACAGGCGCAAAAAATTAAAAAATAAAATAAAATAAATGAAGAGACAGAAGCTCAAAAAGGGGGGCTCGAGGCGTCGTTTTGTCTCACGCTGCTTCACAGATTACTGGGCAAATACGTTTGACGTCATTGGTGATAGAGACACAAAAAAAGGCGAAGAAAAAAGTTTTGTCTGTCATTGCCCACTGATCGGAGCTTTAGCAGACACTATTAATTATATATATTTCAAATAATACTGAAAGTTATCGTCTCTTTGTTTTGCATACAACACGTTTCAATCTTTAACCTGCCCGAAGAATATGGTCCAGCGCTCATAAGTCGGCGTCTCCTCACACAGATATGTCTCCATCTGGCAGTAAACGTCACTGTAGTCGGTGAAGTCTGGGCGAAACAAGTTTTGGCTGGTTAATTTTTTGATGTTTTACGGTAGCCAAAAGCGACTGATTCTGCGGGCTACGCAGCAACAATCAATGATTAAGAGCGTGGTATACCCTTGCGGTGGCTATGATTATTTTGTCACTAACTGTAGCACGCATGGAAAGTGAAGCTGTGCATGGCTCATCTTGATTGATGATTGATGAGGACATGATTAACTGAGTGTAGCTGCAGGCGAGCTCCGAATTGGGTCACATATAATAGCTACATACTCGTTCCTTGGCGACAGGCTGCTATATCCATATGACATTTCGATGCGTATTTGCGTATACACATAGTTTGCTCGTCCAGACGACAGATGGCGCTGCTTTCGTTCACATTGCCGCAAGACTTCTCCAGAGCACAAACTGTGCCATCAGCATTCGTCGCTGTGCAGACTTTATTTATATATAAATTAATTAAAGTGATAAAGCTAGATTGGACGCAACTAGACTAGCTTACACAACAGCAATAAGGCAATCGTTTTGATAAACATTTTGGCGAATTCTGGATAACCGTTCTATATAAAGCGCAATGCGCAACTAAGTGCTTTACAGCATATTTGAAACAGTAGGAGGTACGTTTGTCTGAGGCAAATAATTGCACACAGATAAGATAAGTAACTGATATAGTGTTATTTATCGAGACGGGAAGCAAAGTGTGAGGTCAATGTGTTTCCTAAAGATAACATTTTGGTTTCGGTGTATATTAAGAATTGTAGTTGGTTAATTCCAAATCAACGAAGTGAATGTTTCTTTATAGCCCCATTAAAAACATATCAAAATACTTCCAAAATCCCCTCGCTCTACCACCCACAAATCAAGTTTGGCCGCTTTACGTATACAGATTTGGGGCTATTTCTATTTATAGTTGCTTGAAATATTCGTAGCATACTTTTGTGGGCTGTGTGGTTGGTGTCTTGGCTAAACTAAAGAGTTGCTTTCAGCTTTATTGTTGCATAGTTGTGTGCATTATTTGGACTTGGATTGACTGCGATACAGCTTGGCGTAGATGCCATTCTTGGCCAGCAGCTGTGCGTGTGTACCCTGCTCTATGATGCGTCCGGCCTGTATGACGCAGATGATATTGGCATTCTGCACCGTGGACAGGCGATGGGCAATCACAATGCAGGTGCGACCCGAGCAGGCGGAGTCCAGAGCCTGTTGCACCACCTGGAAAACGAGTTTGCAGCTTGCAAATTGTGATTGAAATGCGAGAATTTCACGTGCTGCGCTCACCCTTTCACTTTGCATATCCAAAGCCGACGTCGCTTCGTCCAGCAGCAGAATCTTGGGATTTCTCACCATGGCGCGGGCAATGGCAATGCGCTGCTTTTGTCCACCCGACAGCTGGGTGCCTTTAGAGCCCAACATGGTCTCGTATTGGGCGGGCAGTGTCATTATGAAATCATGGGCATTCGCCATCTTGGCTGCGTCAATAATCTGCTGCATGGGTACGCTGCGCGAGGTGTCGCCATAGCTGATATTCTCAGCGATTGTTTTCTCAAAGAGCGACGGCTCCTGCGAGACTATGCCCAGGCGACGACGCAAGGTCTTTAGCTTCATGTCCTGATGTATGCACTCCTGATCAATGAGCTGCAGCAGAAATCGAAATGTATCGAATAATTGCTGAAGAGCTGGAGCTGACTTACAATCTTGCCCTCATCCGGGTCATAGTAGCGCATCAGCAGCTGAACGCAGGTGGATTTGCCGGAGCCGGAGGCACCAACCAGCGCAACTGTTTGGCCCTGCAGCACGTCCAGATTGAAGTCCTGCAGCACCGAGTTGTCAGGTCGTGATGGATAGGCAAAGTTGATGCCACGATAGCTAACGCCCTGCTCAACAACGTTCGTCTTGCAGATCTTGCCATTGCCATTCTGATCGATCACACTTGGAGACTGTATGAGAGGCGGACGATCTATAATCTCGAACATGCGCGTGGCCGAAAGCAGCGCCGCATTGAAGGCTGGCGTGAAGGCCAAGGACTGAGCCAAGATGAACAGACCGTAGAGCATCGTGTTGGCAATTCTAGTTGAGAGATTCGATTAAAGACGGCGCTGGGCTTCTATTTGCATTAACTTACTTCATAATAACCTCAAATTTGATTCTGCCTTCGGCACACATAAAGCCGCCATAGGTCAAGGTGACAGCGTAGCCAAAGAACATGAGAGTCATGCCCATGGCATTGACCAGGCCCCGCCACTTCAAGCGGCTTTTTATTTGTAGGCGATATCGTTCCACTTCCGCATCATAGACCTTGATCAGTTCCTCCTCTCTGCGCAGCGCGGCCACAGTTCGTATCTGTGCAATGGTTTCTGTGGCTATGCGACTCGTCTCCTCTAGCACATTCTTCTCCTTCAGCGCGGACTTTTCACTGAACCGGGCCTCAAAGATGATGGAGCCCACCATGAATGGAGCTGTACTTAGGCAGACAAGCGCCAGCTCCCACGAATAGGAGAAGGCAATGGAAAAGCTGCAGACAAAGTTGGTGAGAGCTTGAATTATGTTGCTGAGGGGAAACCCGATTGCGCCTTGGACACTGGCTGCATCGCCCGACAGGCGAGCGGACAGTGCGCCGACACTGTTCTCCTTCTCATCAAACCAGCCCATTTCCTGTTTCATAATGGAGCTAAACGTCTTGGAGCTAAGAAGTAGATTAGATGTTTGAGCAGGCATCAGACTCTCTCTCTCTCTCTCTCTCTCGACTTACCGCATGCGCGAGGTTAGCCACACGCCGGCTAGATTATAGAAAAAGGTTTGCACGAAGCAGAAGATGCCCACACAGATGCCAATCACAACGGTGATGATGGACATGGACGAGCTGTGCTCCAGCACCGCTTCGTCTGTGGGCTCGGCCAGTGAGGCATACAGCTCGGCCAGCACAATGGAGAAGGCTGGCATGGCACAACCATAGAGTCCTGCGCATATTGTGCCAATGATGAGGAAGCCCCACTCTGGGCGCGCTGTGGCCAGGACTCGGAAGAATGTGCGCGGGTAGCTGATTTTTTTGGCATTTGTAGCCTTCTCTAGCTCTTCAACTGTTTGCTTCTTAAGTGGATTCAAACCCTTCATTTGGAACTCCGAGTTCTTATCTAGGGATTTCAGAGAGTTTCTATGCAACTGTTCCACATCCTTGGATTGTTTGCGCTCCTTAGGCAGCTCCTCGCAATCATTGAGTAGCTCATCAGCCTTATCGTCATATTCATGAGCTGCGACCATTTTGTGGTAAAAGCCCTGCAGCTTCATCAGATCCTCATGAGTGCCCTGCTCAACAGCCTTGCCGTTCTCGATGTAAACTATTTGATCAGCGTGCCTGATCGCGGATAAGCGATGCGACACAACTAGCGTGGTGCGTCCTTTGCAGGCCTTGTCCAAGGCGGCCTGCACCAGTTTCTCGGAGTGATAATCCAAAGCGGAGGTGGCCTCTGTATGCAGCGTTTACTGTGGTTAATAATTCAAGGGAAGTACGATCGCAGACTTACCATCCAGAAGTAGTATCTTGGGACTCTGTATAAGAGCTCTGGCTATGGCAATGCGTTGACGCTGTCCGCCGGAGAGCTGAACACCCTTCTCGCTAATGTGTGTGTCATAGCCCTGGCGGAGAGAGAAGCTTAGATATTGTATATGACTTCCTTGAGAGATCTCACATTATCCAGCGCAATGATGAACTCGTGAGCATTGGCGGCTTTGGCAGCATCTTCGACTTCCTTTTGGGTAGCCAGCGGCTTGCCATGGCGTATGTTTTCAGCTGAATATAAATCAAATTTTGCTTTAAGATTTTCTTTACAGTTTACTGTATCAGTAAACCCACCAATGGTGCCCTGGAACAGCACAGGCTCTTGACCAACCACAGCTATATTAGAGCGCAGCCAGTTTAGATTGTATTTCCGCACATCCTCGCCATCCAAGAGCACTTGTCCAAATACTGGGTCGTAGAAGCGTTGCAACAGCTGCACACAGGTTGATTTGCCGCAGCCCGAGGAGCCAACCAAAGCCACAGTTTGGCCTTCCTTGACGGTCACATTGAGTCCCCTCAGCACAATAATATCCTTTCGTGCGGGATACTGGAAGAACACATCACGAAACTCGATGTTGCCCTTCAGGCCATAGTTGAGTATTTTGCCCGCCTTGGAGAGCGGATCGATAACAGACACACGATCGATAACATCATAAATGGCGCTCGCCGATCCGCGAGCCATGGCAAAGGTCTCCAGAAAGGGCGACGTTCGAGACAGTTGATTGGCGCCCACGATTATGCCCGAAATCACAATCATGACGATCGCAGGCGTATACTTGCGATCCTCGATACGTATGTCGCTGGCACGATCGTGCAGAATCAGATTGGCGCCATACCAAAAGGCGCCAGCGCCCACTATGAACATCATGGCCTTCATGACCGTATCGCTGAGACCGGAGAAGGCGCCCTTCCATTTGCCAGCCTTAACAGCAGGCTTGAGTAGCGTATCATAGCGTGTCGACTCGGACTGCTCGCCCCCAAATGCTACCACAGTGCGTATAGCTCCAATTACTTCCTCCACAACAGAGCTGGCGCGCACATAAGAGCTCTGCTCGCGGGCTGTTAGCTTGCTCTGATACTGAGAGGGGATTCATTAGAAGCTCTATATAGCTGACAGCAGGAACTTACGTGAGCAACAACTGCATTTACCACCATGGTCAGGGGTATGTAGAAGAACATGGCCAAGGCCAATTTCCAGCCGTAGACAAAGGATATGATGACACTTATGGCCACGTCGCATATGATGGTTACAAAGTGGCCCAGATTCTCAGCCATGCCTGTGCGTATCTTTTCCATATTACTGTAAGTAAATTGGTTAGATGAAGGTCCTCTCTTCGCCAAGCGACACCTCTACCTACTCGGTTATGCGCACAGCAAAGTTTTGATCCTTGGCCATGTCGTGCCAGCCGATCTCCTGCCTGACCGTCGCCTTGAAGAACTCCCGGCGCATGTTTACCGTCAGCTTGAGTGCCAGATGATTGAATATGTTCACAAAGGTCATGCCGGAAAAAAGCATTAGAAGCGAGTCAAGGGTCATGATTATGCCAAATGCGACGCTATCTTTGCGCAGCTCCTGCATGTTTTCTTCATAGCTGGCATTGGTGCTATAAGTAATGGAGAACTTAGAGAGGACTCAGGTGCATTGGGAGCTAGACTCACAGCTGCTTGCCGCCACCAAACACAGGCAGAGCCTTGGTGCCCGAGCTGGTTCCCACGCCCAGGCTACGATCAATGAACATGGCCACCAGCTCGCTATAGACTATGATGGCAATGGGAAAGACGAGAGCATGCAGGAGAGCTGCTATCAGAGCGCAGAGGAGCAACAGATAGTCTATGCCGCGAGCATAGCGAAAGAGCTGATGATAGTTGACAGTTTCCATTTGGGGCTGTTTCGTTTGCTTAATTTGTTTCGCTTCCGCCTGGCTAGCGGCGTCAGCATCGCCATTCTGCGTGTTAGGCTCGGCCATTGACGTAGTTAAAGGCAGCTAACTATTCGCCTATAAACATTTACCCTCGGGGTCAATTAATAGTTAGCGAGCAGGTGGACACTGGGGGCGACCCGGCAGCTCGCTAGATCTGTTTACTCTCGGCTGCTCGGTTTTCTCTTGGCATAACGCAGTCAGATTCTTTTTTCTGTTTTGCCGTGACTCGATTTCTTTCGGGTTCTTGCGCGCTGTACCGATTCGTTTGAAAAGCGAAGTCGAACTGTTGATTTGGCTACTGAGGGTTCGTCTTTTATCAATTTCGTTTCTATTAATGTTCAAATGGCTGAAAGAGCGCACAAGTTTTGAGTGAAAATGCATTTCTACGCTCGCAGCTTTTGAAATTTCTCTTATTTTATTTTTAATAAAATTCAATTGAATTGATTTTCTCAAGGTTCAGAATGTCTACAAAATTTGCAATGCTCGGTCGATAAGGTGCGCATAGTTGTTGTAAAATATGTCACTATTAGGTCATCAGAGCATTATTTAGACCCCTTCTAAAGGGCTATCTCTGGGTATTCGATAAATGCTTGGCAAAGCCTTATCAATGTTTGTTATTCTGATATTAACATATAATCTCAATTATCACGGCATTGACATCTAATTGTCTTTTGTATAACAGTTGGCATAAAGATTAAGCTTTATCTACAGCAGAGCGAGATCTTAAATGGTATGTAAAGTGAATTTTTAGATGCGTAGAATTTTATCAAGCACACTGCCTGATAAACAAAGGTTATAATGTTACAAACGTGGGATCAGACGAGCTACTTGAGTTTATCAAAGGCGGAAGAAGTGTGTAGGGTTTCAGTGTAACAATTTTAAATAGTAAGTGTCAGTTAATAAGTGAGCATAATTAGAGAAAATACTGCAGACTAGAATTCAGATACTCGATCTGATCTTCAAGCTGAGACTTTTATCAGCTAACTTTAACTTAAAATTAAGTTTTTTTCATACATTATTTATTGATTGTAAAATGAGGGAATAGAGGCGAAATAGCTTGAATTTTAAGTAAATGTCCTACTGTTAAGTTAACATACACTGTTAAGTTAACATGCAGCTGCTTCAGCTGTTGATGGAATGTGTACATGTTGTGCTGCTTGTGGTGAGTAGGTCGTTTTTTCGTACATTATCGACGAGGTGCATGCGTTTCTGGAAGTGGTGAATATTGGCTCTCCTTAGTCTTGTAGCCTTTAAGGCTAGTGGTGAGTAGCGGCTCTCACTTGTTGCCGCTGGTATGCATGCGCTTCTGCTAGTGGTGAGTACCAAATCCGATCAGTGTTGTTGGCTCTCTCGTGCACTGCTGTGTGTGGCTATTGCGTACTCCTTACTCTCTTACTATTCCTTACTCGGTTGCACTTGGCTGCTACTCTATACTATCTGCATATGTGTGTGTAATGGTAACTAGTTTGACTTAATTTTAAACTTTATGAAGACAAGACAAACATAAATTCTCAAATAATGGAATGGTAGCATTAAAGCGAGAAAGTCTGATACCTCAAGAACCATCAAACTCTACTACAGGTGTTGTTGTACTTCAACTGCTATGAAATAATACAATTTTGAAAATTATAAGAAAGTTTATTGAATAATAGTTAGTAGAATAGAAATAATTAAAAAATCTCAAAATAGAAGAGCTATTCAAATCTCAATGGTCCTTCTGGGTCCTATGCAGCTTGGCATAGATGCCGCGTTGAGCAATTAGCTGTAAATGGGTGCCATGCTCCACAATTCTGCCGCCTTGAACCACACAAATGACATCGGCATTTTGAATCGTCGAGAGGCGATGGGCAATCACAATGCAGGTGCGTCCAGAGCAGGCGGAGTCCAAAGCTTGCTGTACCAACTGCAGGACAAGTGGAGAGTTAGGAAATAATGTAGTGAAATAATTCGAGGAGAGCTTACCCTTTCGCTTTGCATGTCCAGAGCTGAGGTAGCCTCGTCTAGCAAAAGGATCTTGGGATTCCTTACCAAAGCACGTGCGATGGCCACGCGTTGCTTCTGGCCACCGGATAGCTGCGTGCCTCGTGCTCCCATGCGCGTCTCATAGCCATTGGGCAATGAGATGATGAAGCTATGGGCATTGGCACTCTTGGCAGCTGCAATTATCTCAGCCATGGGCACAGAGCGACGATTGTCTCCGAAGGCAATGTTCTCGGCAATGGTGCGTTCAAAGAGCATTGGCTCCTGCGAGACAATGCCCAGCTTACGGCGCACGCCATCCAGTGTAAGATCATGCTGAATGTCATCTTGATCAATGTACTGTGGGCATAGGAAATGTAGAAAGAATAACTGATGATATGTCCCAGCTAGTGGCTTACTATGGTGCCCTCATCCGGATCGTAGAAACGTTGCAGCAGCTGCACGCATGTGGACTTGCCACAGCCGGAATGTCCCACCAAGGCCACCGTTTGACCTTGGAGCACCTCCAAGTCCAGGCCATTCAGAATCTTATCATCCGGACGCGTTGGGTAACGGAATTCGATGTCGCGATATCGCACGCCCTCAAAGAGATTCAGCTGCTTGGCCAACGTATTCTTAATAGTGCCCATGGGCGAGACAATGCGCGGCTTGCGATCAAGAATTTGGAATAGACGATGGCCACCGACCAAGGCAGCAGTAAAGGCAGGCGTGAAGGCCAGCGATTGGGCCAACATCATGGAGCCATAGAGCAGTGTCTCGGATACCCTTTTCACAAAGATAGATAAATAGAAAATCAGGCTAGAGCTAACACTCAACTCACTTGATAATGTCCTGGAAGGGCACTTGACCCTCAGAGACCAGAACGCCGCCATAGCAGAGCGCCACGGCATAGGCAAAGAAGGCCGAGGCCTGCATGGTGGAGTTGAGGACTCCACGCCAGCGTAGCTTCTGTCGAATGAGAATCTCCACACGCTGAATCTCTTCCGTGTATTGCTTAATGACCTCAGCCTCGCGGCGCAGGCCTGCGATGGTGCGCACATTGGTAATGGACTCGGTGGCAATGCGGGAGGCCTCCTCTAAGACTTGCTTCTCTCTAATCAATGCGTTGGACATCATTCTACAAAATTGAAGTTCACATAGAGTATTCGAAGAGAGTGTTGCGCACCTAATAATTTACTCACTTCGCCTCTAGTATGACCGAACCAACAATAATGGGGCAGTTGGCCAGACACAGCAACGCCAGCTTCCAATTATAGTACATGGAGACCGATATGCCTGATATGAAATTCGATAGAGCTTGAATCATTCCGCTCAGTGGATAGCCAATGGCACCCTGCACCCCGGCTGCCTCGCCAGACAATCGCGCTGAGAGCGCGCCCACTGAGCTCTGTTCCTGATCGAACCACCCGATTTCTTGACTGAGCATCGCCTTAAACGTCATGGCTCGCATACGTGTCGTCAGCCAGATGCCAGCATAGTTAAAGAGATACGTTTGCAGAAAGCAGATCAAGCCGGTGATCACAGCAATGCCCAAACAGGCCCAGGACAGCACAGCAGTGCGACTGAGCGCCACCTCCTCCTCCCGCTCGGCAAGTGCCCCGTAGAATTCGCCAAAGATGATGGAGAATGCCGGATAGAGGCAGCCCACAGCCACAGCCGAAATGCCGCCCAGTATCAGGTAACACCATTCGGGGCGTGCCAGGCCTATAATTCTCGCAAAGATCTTGAAGAATTGTGGCTTCTCCGCTGGCACAATCTGCTTTTCCTTATTACTCTCCTTGATAAACTTCACGATCGGCTCATCGAACTGCACGCTGTTCTTTTGATTCTTCTCAAAGTTGAGCGGACTAGTTTCAAAGGATTTTTCGTACAACGCTATGCTCTTGCCTGCAAATGAAGTTGGCTTCAGAGAATTGTTGATTTGGGACATTCTTGACTCACGCTTGGCCTCATCTATGTTCTCTTCGTTTTCTTGCTCCTCGGGCATGTTGAAGTCACCCGCTTTGACCATGTTGTAGTAGGCGCCCTCCAATGCCATCAGATCATCATGTGAGCCCTCCTCCAATACTTTGCCCTCATTAATGAAGACTATTTTATCTGCACCACGAATAGCTGAAAGTCGATGGGACACCACAATTGTGGTGCGTCCTTTGCTGGCCAAATCCAAAGCTTGCTGCACCAGTTTCTCGGAGTTATAGTCCAAGGCCGAGGTGGCCTCTATATTGAAAGCAGAACTTATATCGGAAACACACTAGAATTGACAGTTTTCTTTACCATCGAGCAATAGGATCTTGGGATTCTGTATCAGAGCGCGAGCAATGGCAATGCGTTGCTTTTGACCACCAGACAGCTGCGAGCCATGCTCCCCAATCATAGTGCGATAGCTCTATAGGTAGATTGACTAAAGATCAGCAAGGATCAAACTCTCTCCTCCTCACTCACCTCTGGTAGCTGGCTAATGAAGTCATGAGCACCTGCTTGCGTGGCCGCTGCTTCGATTTCCTTCTGTGTGGCATTTGGCTTGCCGTAGCTAATGTTTTGGGCTAGCGAGAGATCAGATTAGTATACGGCTATATCTGGGCACATGGCAGTTTACCTATGGTGCCCATGAAGAGCACCGGTTCCTGTCCCACCACAGCAATGTTGGAGCGCAACCATTGTATATTATATTTGCGTATGTCCAGCTCGTCCAGGAGCACAGCGCCAAAAACGGGATCGTAGAAACGTTGCAGGAGCTGTATACACGTGGACTTTCCACAGCCCGAGGGACCCACTAGAGCCACAGTTTGACCCGATCTGATCTTGATATTCAAGCCGCGATGCACAATAATCTCTGGCCGCGAAGGATAGCGAAAGAAGACATCCTGGAACTCAATATCGCCGCGCAGGCCATAGTTCAAAAGTTTGCCATCCGTAGACAAGGGATCGATTTTCGAGGGCAGATCGAAGACCTTAAACAAATTCGTTGCACAGCCTCGCGCCGTGGCAAACGACTCGAGGAATGGCGCCGTGCGGGCTATATTATCTGCGCCCACAATGATGCCGAAGAAGGCCTGTGGAAATATTGGAAGTTGAGTGGGAATTCTCTACAATTAATCCAGGCCAAGCCTACAATCATTAGAATAGCTGGCGTGTATTCCTTATCTTCCACGTAGCGATCGTCTATGATAAGATTCACGCCATACCAGAAGGCGCCCGCACAGGACAGAAAGAGCATGGACTTCAGAATCGCATCGCTCAGGCCAGAGAAGGCGCCCTTCCATTGACTGGCCTTGCGGGCGGGCACCAGGAAGTTCTCAAAACGCTCCACCTCTTGCTTCTCGCCACCAAAGGAGACAACTGTGCGCACGGCACCAAGGATCTCCTCTGCCAGATTGCCTGCTCCTGCATAGGACTCCTGTTCGCGTGCCGTCAGCTTGCCTTGGGTCTGTGCGTAAGGGAAGCTGTAGAGTTGGAGGTGGGTAAGGTTCCATGCACTCACCTTGCCCACGTAGTAGTTGACTGCGATGACAAGTGGTATATAGCAGCTCACGGCCAGCGTCAGCTTCCAGCCATAGCCAAAGGATATGCCCACAGTTATAATGAAGCCCACAACCAAATAGAGAAAGTGACCCACTTTCTCCGAGATGCCGTCGCGTATTTTCTCAATGTCGCTAAGAAGTAGTGAGATAAGAGTATAGAGCACCTACGCAACCTTTCGCCAATACCTACTCTGTCATGCTCTGGGCAAAGTTCTGCTTGGTAGCCAGGTCGTGCCAGCCAATGTCCTGGCGCATCACCGACTCGAAGAGCTTGATGCGCATGCGCGTCACTTGCCGCAGGGCAACAAAATTGAATATATCCACAGAAAATATGCCCGATATGAACATGATCAGCGAGACTATAGTGAGAAGAATGCCGTACGATATCGAGTCATCATACAAAGCATCATTATTCTCCTCGCGCGTGGCATTGGTTCTGCAGGTTAACAAATCATATATATCTTGCATATCTAACTCCAGTTGACTCCTCGGTACTCACAACTTCTTGCCGCCCCCGAAAATGGGCAGCGCATGCACCGTTGAGCTGGTGCCCACTTGCATGGCACGATCCACCAACATGGCCGTAAATTCACTGTAGACAATGACCACAGCGGGCAACGTCAGCGCTTTGATGCAGCACATGAAGAAGCCAATGAAGAGCCAAAAGAGTTCGCAATATGTGGAAAAGCGAAACAGTTGCCAGAAGCTAATCGGCTCGGTGGGCTCCAGGCCAGCGGCCACTGGTATTTCTTCCCCAGACTTTGCATCGCTGGTCGTGATGGATGCCTCGTCGCGATCCCGATCCATGCTACGACTGTAACTGACAGTTGGACAATTCAAAGTGCCATTAGTATTCAATGGGCCATCGATTTGAGTAGCAAGATTTTATTGCACGCACTACAACAACAACAACAATAACAACAACAACAACAACAACAACAACAACAACAACAGCAGCAACAACAAGAGCACATAGAGAGACGAACAGACGCCAAAAAGGTTAATTCAATTAGACGGCAATTCACGAATGATTCCAACTCGCATTGCAAGTTTGTCGCCTGCTCTGCTATTGACCTCCGAGGTTAACAAGTGAGGTGCCATATATTAGTTGCTAAAAAATATTTCCATAGATTCTTGCAGAATCTAAATTCTATATATATTTATGGAAAAAGTTCCCATTGGCTGCCGATCTCTGTGATCTTCACTGGTTCGGTTCACATGTCCTCATACGCATATTCACCTTTAGCACTTTATCCTTTCTTGTTTATTTATTCGTATTTTATGGTCCACTTTGGGGCTGTCAACTTATCGATCGTTACACTCGATCGCTATAGCGCGACTGACTGCAGATCGTCTGAGCGCTGTCCATTTAAGTTTCAGTGCGTTGTGCTATGTTTCCCGATCTTAATTGATCTTACTCGAAAGAGCTTCAATTGAACCTGCAAAGAGACGCTTCTGTCTTAGTGATCCAGCTCTTATATTGGCGCTCTTATATCTTATATCTTAGAGATCTTATATGGACAGTTCTTAACGACCTCAACTGTTTCCACCTTAAAGTGAAGAGCATCGCGGCAAGTATTTATTATTTAGCATTGGTTAAAATTATTTATTCAATTTCTGTAAAACAATCTCAAACGACCTAAATTTATTGAGATATTCGTGATAAATGACCATGGCCCTTAGTACATTAGGCAGTTTTATTGAATCTAGATTTTTATTTATATTTCAACTTATTTACAGTTATATAGTTGATCTATATACGATATATTGCATAATTATGCTAAGACTCTTAAGCCTACAAATCGCATATCACATATTGTGTTGGTTTATATATACACTGCCTACACGATAGGGATTTCCATTAGAATTAGTGGTAAGTAATCTTAGGCCTAGTCTAGCATGGCAAGCGCCAAAGAAACAAAAGTTAAAACTTACATCTATGATTAGGTAACATTCATATATACACGAATAACGCCTCAGTGAACGTAGGTCGTATGGGAAGCAACGAATATTTATAGGAAGTGCTTTCTTTTTGCGTTACTTATGTCTAGGGACTGATATGTCGCACTCTGTTTAAACACAAGCTATACATAACTAAAGACTATGCAACAATTCTCTTGCGGGCTTGCACAATAATATCGTAGAATGGTTCCGGGTGGCCCTAAGCCTAACTTAAAACTAGTTTCAACTCTGTTCAAGAAATATCGGCTTACATCGAGAATTAGCCAAGAAAGCTGTCTATCCATAACAATGATGTGATGTCCATGCTCAGACATAGACCTCGCCCGTCTTGGGCTCTGGCTTGCGCTTGGCCAGCGTTGAGGGTGCTGACGAGGCATTGGCAATGCCACTCGTCATGCTGGAACCATCCTTATTCCGGGGCAGAGATATTGTTGCTGTCGCATCTACCGAATCCGTTGGCCCCGCCGAACGCACTGAGGAGCGCGGAAAGTTCGGATCCTGCAGATTGAGGCTGACATTGAAGCTGTTGTTACGCGATATATTGGGATGACCATTGAGGGGCTTCACCGAGAGCAAGGCGGTTGTGGTGATACCCCCACTGCCATTGCTCGAGCCGCTGCTGGCATGTGCATCCACTCCATCGCCCACACCGCTCAGCTCCACTATGGACAGGTTGGAGGGCGTGCGCTGTATCGACAGGGAAACGGGTATTGTGGTGATCACATCATTGGGATCGAAGCCACTCGCTGTGGTCGTTATGGTGGGCAACTGCGCATTGGCGGTCAGCGGCAAAATGCTCAACGTGCCCGTTGGCATGGACTCGCTGCTGGTGGACACCGTGAAAGGGAACGAGAGTGTGGTTATATTTGTCTCCGCTGGAATGGCTAAAAGAGAAGCTGGCTTCAGTTATGAGTTAACTTGAGGCTGTGCAGGACAACTTACAGCTGGCTGTGTAGCCGTCCTTCAAGCGAGTCGGCATGACGGCCTGAGCTAGCGCCGCTGTGGCTGGATGCCCTGGAATCAGAGTATTATTGGATGATGAGCTATCCATCTCTTTGATGGGCGACAGCAGCAGTGTGCCCAGCACCTGGCCGCTGTCCTGGTGCAAATTGGTGCCGCTGGCTGTGGTGCTATACGAGGGGTACATGCCGCTAGTGCTTTGGGTGCTCAGCTGTTGTGGGGCCATGATAACGGCACTCGTGGCTACAGTGAGTGCAATTCATTTAAAGCTAAACCGAGTGCATACATCGAACCACCTCAGCTTACCTGTGTTGGTGCTGCCGTCCTTTGTCACCTCCGGCGTGGGTATGCGTGGGCGCGTCTTGGCCATATTTATATTGAGGCCATTCAACTTTGAATCTGTTTAATTGAGTACTATGAGCGAGGTGTTTCTAGAGCTTGAATGCTGAACTCACTTTGTTTGATCAGCTGCCGCTGGGCCCGTAGCGACTTGCGATGCACGAACTTCTCGTAGAGACTTGGCTTGCTCTGCTGCTGCTGCTGCAGGCCGCCAGGCTGCTGTTGCTGTTGCAGTTGCTGCTGCTGTTGCTGCTGCTGCTGCTGCAGCTGCTGTTGCTGCAATACGGACAGTGGCATGCCCGATTCGGGACTAGAGTAAACAGAGTTCAGCCGATTACGCGTAAAGGGCATGCCACCCGAGGAGTAGGCCGTCGACTGGCTGCGCATGGAGCCCATGCGTGATAGCTGACGCACCAGCCAATTGTTCTTGCGGCGCTCCACCATGGGCGTGTCCACGCTTTCCTAACGGAGTCAATACAAATTTATATATAGAGAGAGCTGGAGCTTGTCTTTCTCCCAGTGTACACTCACATAGTCCGCGTAGACATCGTCGCTGAGCATGCGCTTGCCGCCGCCTGGTATTATATTCGCATACATGGCGTCCTCCTTCTTCACCTTGTACTTCTCGGCGGAGCCCTTGGGCTCATCGCGTCTGTAGTGCTCGGAGGCAACGGTGTAGGGCAGCTCCTTGGGCACCACACACTCCCAGTACTGGTCGCGCAACAGCTCCGGATGCTCCTCGTGCATCTCGTCGACAATCATGTAGGCGGCCTGTAGAAATCGACAATAGAAATTAGCGCGTGCCAAAATTGATGACAAAAGTGGAGCGGTCAGCGGCATTGTGTGGAACGTGCTTGCCATTTTAGATGAACGGCACTCCAACGACACTATCTGCCCACAAGACGAACGAAACATGCACTTCAAATAAACACCTAATTACATCACAGAGACAAGCGGGCCCACTCCCCACAAGTGGAGAAAAAGTGAAATTGTTGCCAAGTCTTTTAATTGTTTCATAAGGCAATGCGCTGCCCACAAACTTATTAAATAAATATATAAATATATGTATATATATATATATATATATATATATATGTGTATATATATATATATATATATATATATATATATATATATATATATATATAAATTTATATGATATATCTCTTTCTCTGCTCTATTTCGCACATGTCGTACTTTTCGCTCATTGTCAAGTGTCACGTTTGGCTGTGTGCGCCATGAAAGCCAATTAAAAATCTGTCGCTTTAATAATTAACTATTCATTAACCCATTTATGCATATCCGCACCAATTCTGGGCCAAAACAGTTTCAATGTAAAAGGCCAAAAAATCTGCTCTTAGAAAAAAAACTTCATCAAACACAAAACAAAATACTCAATGATAAAAAGCTCTACAAAAGAGGTTTCAATGTTTATTTTTTGTTTTGTTTTGTTTTTTTTTTTTTTATTTTAAACAGAAAACCTGTTTTCAATTTACTTTTGCCAATGTGTGTTGTTGTTGTGGTTGTTGTTGCTGCTGTTGTTGGTGCTGCCGTTGGCTTTGTAAATAATTGCAAGCAGCCAGCAACAGACCCCAAACTCAGAGATATAGCCGCACATACATATTGCTCGTACATGCACACATGCACATGCACACACACACACGCACGCACACATACATACACTTTGTACACATGCAAAAGAGAAGAAAAAATAACTCCGCGCAGCAAGTTCAGAGCCCAATGCGAAAAACACACACAAAATACACCTTCAAGTAGCAAAATGCTCTTAAGTCGACTAACGTGAATACCCTACTGACTCAACAGGCATAAGCTGCTGGCTAATACTTGTTAATTTGTTGTCATAAAATACATATTAGTCTGGCATGTGAATTACTTATGATTGTCTAACTAAGCCATATATGAGTCTTGAGATTTGCTCTTCATATTCATAAAGCTGTGGCTGACTTGGCCTTTGCATACCCTGCACTAGTCTGATATTAGCTTAAGTCTAAAATATTTTTGTAGAGTTCTCGTTTATAAGTGTTCTAACTATGCCTAACCAACTTACAGATTATAGTTTTATACCGTTAAGCATAAAATTTTCGAGGCTAAAGTTGGTTTTTGCTTGTCGAACGTATTCAAAAAAGTTTAACAGTAGTTAACAGTTAACAGTTAACAACTGACAGTTAGTAGCCTAGACAGGAGTGTTGGAAGCTAAATTCTAAATTGAAGCTATAAATTCAATAGATCCTCAAATAAAAGATACAGTATTTCATGACTTGCCACGACTTCAAGGAGAGTAACTGAAATAGCTTAAATCTCTATAAGTCTATTATATATTTCATGTTTAATGGATAGATAGCAAAGCAGAAGTTGCTCAAACCCAATATAATCTTTTTACATGCTTAGTGTATTTGGGACATGTATAAAATACCCCAAATTAAATTCTATAAATTACCAAAAATTCGTCGCTCTGTAGCGCACTCTCTAAAGTCATCAAAGCCGAGTCGAAACTTCATTTAGCTTTTTGCTGTCATTCCAGAGTTAAGCGCCTTTTGTATTTAGCGCGTGGCAAAAGTGGCTTCTTCCTTTCAGCCCACACATTATGGCCAAAAAAAAAACACTTTTGACCAAATAAATAAATAGTCTGCATAATTAAACAAATCTCACACAGTAACCCAATTAGTGAGGACAAATACTTCCTGAATTTGATAGGAAATAAAAAAAAAGGAAACTCAAAGATGACAACAATATGGCCTAGTTAACTAGAGTTATGAACTCAGCTATTTATTTCGTTAGGTGCTAACTTATTACGTCCGTATTGTACTATATAGGGGTATTAGGGAAGGTACTACATGTGCAAATCGCGCTTAAGTTATGTGAGAGCTCGCGTCGCTTCTGCTGTTTGAGTCACTTTAACTGCAAATTATTAACTACAAATTTTTCTTTTGTCAACTTCATGCTAAAAACAAATTGACATGTGTTGACACGAATTTGATTCCGGTTTTTTACCTCTGGGTATTTTTTTCTTGGCTCTAGAAACGAGCAAGATATGGGGAAGCTATAAGTGTGGTATTCACTAGAACATTGTCACGATAAGTTGCTATGAGAAATCGGATTCTCTTTATAGGCGAATCTAGTTTTTCGATTTATTGATCTTACCTTGATGTGTCTATCGATCAGCCAATTCAATTCAATGTCATCGTCATCTTCGCCAAAGGGATTGATTAGAACCTCGGCCACCTTTAGCCAGCCCACGAAGAAAACGAACTGTGAATTGTAAGTGTGATAAGATCATATGAAAATAAGGCTAAATAATGAACATAAAATTGAGTTTAATTAAAGCTAAGTTGATGTGTGAGTTGATGAGCGATAAATTCATATGAGAGGCACGTTGAGAGCTTTTCCATTCACTTTTCATACCCTGTATCTATTTAATAGGTAAACAGGGTATAATACTTTTGTGTAAATGTGTGCAGGGCAGGCAGCGGATGGCAGGCATCAAGATGTTAAGGTGAATTGATATGGTCTTGTTGGGTTTTCCGCAACTTAAGTTTATTGCATTTGTCTTTATCGATAAATATCGATACTTAGAGAGCCCAAATGTTACTATGTGAGATTCCATTCCAAATAAAATGAAAGACTTAGGACTTCTCTTACAAAGTAAAGACTCGAGCTTTGGTAAAGTTTCTCTACAGAATATCCGTCTGACGATTTAAAAATTGCATTCCGATAGTATACCTAGAGTCGAAGCTGTTCAATAGTACAGCACATATGTATATGCTACGCTGGAATGACTGTAAATAGTGATACCGGGTATCTGCTAGTCGTGCACTCCCCACTAAGGCACTCTTACTTGTTTTGTATAGCTATTGTATATGGTTTTCGCATTTTGCATTTCGCATTTTGTACTTTGTAGTTAGCAAAATTAACAGTTATTAATGGCAGCGCCTAAAACATGGTTAAAATAAGAGAGAAAAAGCTAAAACACTTGTCGCCGATTTTTATCTGAGTACGCGAAATGCCTTTCGCACAAAGCGAAAATGGCAATTTATTATTTCGAACGTGACTGCGACTCGTTTACATAACGCAAAACACTTGAAATCTGCCTGCAAATGCGAAAGGGAGCCTCGAACCGCAAAAACCGACAACAAAATTTATAAAATTATATTATATAGGGGGTAAAAAACACGACCAGATATAGGTATAGCTATGTAAAGGTATGCACATATCGCCACATGATATAGATGTCTTTGATCATAGTCATATCGCTGACAAGGTAGAGCCAACCAAATTACGTTCAAGTTTCGATTGCAGCTGCGTTAATGATCCACAAAAACCGCAAAGCTTTTTGCTACACAGCGGCGAGACGTGAAAATGTCTATGATTTATGGTAAATAAAGCGGAACGTGCAAATTAAATAAATACATTTTGTATTCCGGGTTTCGCCTCTGCTCTTTTTTTCCTCTTTTATTTCTCACCTGCAAGACTGTGAAGAATGGAAAGAACAAGTCGGGATCTTCGCGGCCACTGCGATCCAAGATATTTGGCAACATTTGACGCCCGAGCAGCGCGGCAATAAAATAGGTATAGAGCACCAGAGTAACTACCTATAAAAGCGGGAAAATTAATTAACTTTACAGTTCAGAGATAAATTGAAAAAGATTGCGGTCACAAAATCATAGTTTCTTTTCCATTTGAGTTTGGTTTTTTGGTTCACGTCAAGTGTGCGCATCCGTTCCAAAAATTGTTATCTCAACTCGAATCGCTGAGCTTGAAATACTTGTTGGAAATCGAGTATATCATCGTGGGGGTATAGCTCAGGGGTAGAGCATTCGACTGCAGATCGAGAGGTCCCTGGTTCAAATCCGGGTGCCCCCTGCGAAATCCACTTTTTTGTTTTGGTTTTTCACTCTCAATGCTCACCTGTGTGTAGACCAGCGGCACGCATACGGTGTCATAGCCAATCAGGCCACCCAGACGTCTTCTGATATCCGAGAGCTCGACGAGGATGGTTTGCACTATGTGATCGGAGGCAATCAGACCCTCCTTGCGCGCCCGATTGATAATGTTGGTGGCCCAGACGAGGGGCATCCAGTACTTGGACATGGGACTCTTTTGATTCATCGCCTCAAAGATTTTCATCTCCGACTCGTGCATTAGACCCGCGTCGACCAGGTGCTGCGTGGTTGGAAAGCGTCGCTTCACGCGCAGCGATATGCGTTGCAGCGTAATGACATAGGCCAAGACCATGTAGCGCATGATATTACGACGCATTAGACGGCCTGTTTCATTCTGTGCGAAAACAATGAGCGTTGATTAGGCGTCTTATCGCTCAATTAAGGCGTGACACACTCACATTAACGCCGCCCGATGAGTTGGGTATGGCGGCGCTGATGAACAGAGCCAGCGTATCGGGCCAGGGTAGTAGGCGGTACTGCTCCCACCAGCGCTTGACCACCAGATTCACATAGAAGCCCAGCACAAAGGACATGGGTATGTTCTCGCCCTGCTGGGCAAAGTACAGCCGTATGCGATTGAATATCCTAGCAGTCGGTGTTAAATATATATGTATGATAAAAGCATTCGAAATTCATGTTTAAAGTCCAACTCACGCTTGTTGGTTCGGCGTCAGGGCGAAGCGATAGATGACATTAATGGTATAATATAAACACAAATAGGCGATTAATTCACGCCAGACTAATTTGTAAACGCTGCCGCGCCATCTGAGCGTGTTCCACGAGAGTAATTGGAAATAGAAATGTAAATAAAAATAGAAACATAAATAAATATTAATATTTAAATATTCAGCTCGCATAAATTTATGGCCCCACACAAAAATGTTGTAACTGGCCAGGGTCCACCTGCTTAAAATCCACTTCCTGATAGCTCTGACTACTTCTAAGCAGCTCAACTAAAGGGCATATCAAGTTTCAAATTCATATTTGTGGATATTTTGTGTTTGATGCTTCGCTAGTTCTGCAACTATTACTGTTAAAATACTGAATTCCACTGAATTTATATTAATATATTTTGTTTTATTTTGTTTCATAATGATATGTATAACCTCATCGAGAATGGAACGGGAATTTCGACTCGCAACTGAACTTTTTGGGTCTTTTGTGCTGCTGGCTGGCCGCATCAAGGTCGTTATATCAATATAATATATGGGTTGCTGCCACACTTCTGTTGTATATTATATATTATTATATTCTAATCAAAGTCTTCGCGAGGCACACGTGAATCTAATTAAAGTCCACTCAGATTTGTTGGGTTCTAGAGGCAATCATTAGCTCTAACTGTTGGTATCTTAATAAACATTTTTTATGTAATTTTTAAGTCTGAAATTATTTCGCATGATATTTAAGAGAAATCGACTTTAAATGTTTATTGTTTCGCAGAAAGTTAAAAAAATGAAATTGGTTTTATTTTTAGCGAAATTACACATTGTCGATTCACTTTTTAAAGTTTCTCATTATAGTCATCTAAAGAAATACTTTTGAAATTATTGTGAGATTTTATTTAATTATTTCGAGTATGTTTGTTACCTTAAATGTACGATGCTTGTCTAGCAGCTAGACAATATATAACTGCCTCATAAATAAAAATGCTTTATTTTTGACTTTTAGACTTTTTGCACTTAGTTTTCTCATGTGTTTTACCCACAAAAACCAACTGAATATTCCCCAGTTTTATAGTTTATTACTATATATAATGATAGGCTAGCAGATACCTTATTTAATTATGTTAACTGTTGCTGTCTATCAGTTTCCTTCGAGCTGCTTTTTGATTGGTTGCAAACGTACTGAAGAATATTCCAATAACATTCCAGTTGGATATAACTATCACTTTCAATTCCAACGAGACTTATGCGCCTGCTCTCTTCTCTCTCTGTCTCACCCTCTCTTCTAGCTAGAGATGGTACTAGCGAGTACTGTGCAGCCACGACGAATCTCTATATGGTTGCTGGTTACGACTGACTGCACTTTGGAAACAATTAATGTGAGTTGAGCTCAAAAAAAAAAAACAACAAAAAGCCAACAGCTGACAGTGGGCACTGTGACCAGTTACTGTATACATATATATGTACATATGTGATGTTAATTACGCTGGTAAACAGTGTTTGACTGGGCGGGCTATGACTAATCTAAAAATTATCCACATATTACTTTCCAGAGGCTGGGCGACCCAGTTAGAGTTGCAGATCTAGCTCAATGGCTGACATTGTACTCACTTCCATAGGATCTTCCAGAAGCAGCCAAAGTTGCTGCCATTGGGCACTTCGCCTGCATATGACACTGTCATGTTGCAGTTGTTGTTGTTGTTGTGCTTGACTTTAGATTGCGTCCAATTTTCAGTCGGCTAAGTTAGGCGAACTTAATTCGGCTACGCGTCATTGACAGCGGCATCGAATTCGCCGTCGCCGCATTAACGGCTGCGTCTGACGTCGCTTGTTGCTGCTGCTGCTGTTACTGTAGTTGTTGTTGTTGTTGTTATACTAAAGCAGGTGAATTCGACAACTGCGTCTTCTTCAGCTGAAAAACAATAAGTGAGAGCGACAAGCGCGACACACACGTTCATATAACTGTAAAATTATTCACCAACACAAGTGCAGCTCATGCAAATACACTGCAAACAAAATAATTACAATAAATAAATAAATAAAAAACAACACAATAGCAACAACAACAACAATTTACTTTGCTTAAATTCCAACACGTTTCGAACAACTCGACGGCTATTTTCTGTTGCTTTGTCTTTTATTGTATTTTCTTTTGTTATTTATAAATTTTATATTACATTTTATTTGCTTTTTTTACATGCATTTTTAATGCACATTTTGCGCTTTAGTTATGGGTGAAATTTTGTTAAATTTCGATTTTTTGTAATCTTACAAGATTTTTATTTATCTTAACACAACTTGTGGTTTTGCCTTGGGCCCTTGTTGGCCTTTGCTTTGTTATCCGCACTTAATGAACCACTTAGGGACAGGATTTCCCCCCAAATACACATACACAGACACACGCACACTCTCACTTATGTATATAGTAAGCATTTCTGTTAACTCATTAATGGAGTTTTTTTTTTTTTGGGTATTTTCTGTTTTCTGTTGAAAACCTTGAGATTGTCGAAAATGTTATATATATATGTATATATATGTATATATATGTATATATATGTATATATATATGTATATATGTATATATAATTATTTCTATATGAGTAGTTGTTGCTTCTGCTAAGAGATTTTTTTTCCCATTTTGATTAATTGAACGCCGGCGGCTGGCTTAAATTGATCAGACGTGGTTTAGTTGTGCTGTTTAGAAATATTTGTGATATTCAATTGAATTGAAATTCGTAACGTAAACCTGTTGCCCTGCAGTTATATTTATATTTATATAGCTTTGTCTCGCCTAGTCAGGTATCTTTTGAGCACCTTAAAAGCTGCAAATATTTGCATAACATATTTATCTGACCGTCAATATTCATTGCTAAAAACAGGTTCCATCGCCAGCATGCCGCTGGGAAAGAGAGGAGTCTGAATTTTCACTAAGCCGCGTTAATTTCGTTGATAAACAGAGACCGTTGACAGTGACAGTGTATCTAGTCGAAGTATCTCTGTATGACCACATATGTATCTGTGTATGCAGCTTGAATAGTTATAGTCACTAACAGGTAACAGCTAACCGGTTACTTGGGCTGGCATCTCGGTGGGCAAGTGCATTAGCATAGCATAGTATGGCATCTTGAATTTAGTCACGCCGTCTTATTAATTACGCCTTTTCTCAGCAACTAAGTCGTTAGCAGCACGTCTAACTCCACCCACTGCCTCTTGACACACTTTTAGTCAGAAAATTCTTTAGATTTCGATTGATTTACAGATTCTTAGATCTATGGATCTTCTGTTTCGCCTTGTAGCTCTTCAGATCAACAGAAAATACACAGATTTTGTATAGATCTCCTACTGATCCTTAACAGATCCTCTGCAGATCTTCTACAGCTACTTAACAGATATTTGATAGCTCTTTAACAGATTTTCCATAGATCTTTTGCAGGTCTTATATCTTTTACAGCTTTTCAACAGTTCTTTTACTGACTTTAAGCATATCTTCTACAAATCTTTAACAGATCATCTACATATATTTTACAGGACTTTAACAGATTTCTTAAATCTGTTTAACATATTTCTTGCAGATCTCCTACTGATCTGAAACATCTTTTCTACAGATTCTTTGTAGTTTCGCCTTTATTCAGTTCTAAAAATATTGTGTCGTTTTATAATTTTTACTGCAAGCTGGCCATAAATTTATTTGATGAGATTTTTAGCTGGTGTGTGTAAGGGCAGGTACGTGCTCACTACCAAGTTAGCTATGCATATTAGCTGCTATAAGGCATCAACTTATCTGAGATAATTGTTTTGAGTTCTCTTTCTTTTTCTCTCTCTTACCCTCTTTCTCTTGCTCTATCTCTGTCAGAACTAACCATTGACCCCTTACACAAAAAATAATAAACATTAAAACTCTGCAGTTAAAGATAAGCCTGTCTCAAAGATGCCTGACAGCTGTAGGACAGCTAAACAAAGCGATAGATCAACAAAAAGTTTCTGACTTGACAGTCGCTCATGAGTTGTGAGATAAGAAGCCGACGTTGGCCACAAATTGCAATTGCGTATACGCACCCCGTCCCCGCCACCGCCATCGCCCCTGCCCCGCAAAGAAATGTTGGCCATGGCCTAAAAGTTACCGCTCGAGACGTTGATCGATGACGAATTTTATTCAAATATGTGCCACAGCCAAGCAGCGCGCTTTTCACTTTCTTTGACGCAAAAGAGACGACGCGATTCGAGTTGCCTATAAAAAGATAAATACAAAACGAATTTGTTTACACAATGACTAAATTTAAGTTAAATACATATGGACATATATATATATATATTTATATATGTATATTTAGAGCTGTTTTTCCCACTCGAAATATGCACACTTGCACTTTTTCTTGTTGAGCCGTTCTCTTGGCTGACTTTGAACAGTGGGAGTTTTTTTTCAATTCGGTTTTCAGCTTGATTAGCACACAATACAAGTTAATAGAAACTTTTCTGCTTTTGACTTGTTATTTATTTATTATTTTCCATAAATGTATTTGCTTTAATTAATTCCAAATTAACGTGCTCATTAAACTATTCAAATTTCAAGCTGTAAATGTGGCCATTAAATTTCAACTTTTTTCAGTTCACATATTAAGAGGCGTTAAAAATGTTGAAATTGATATTTGCATTTAAATCTAATAATTGCTTTTCAGTCACATTTAATTATATATTTTTTATGATGGTGCAATTAATAGATTTGTATTTTTTAGTATTAATTCAAATTGAAATTAATTTTTAAAAAATATAATATACATTTTAATTACTTTTCAATTACATTTAATTAAAAGTTTTTGTTTTGTACAAATATTTATCATTAAGTTATATTCATTTATCATTTTTTATGTTTCTTCATTTGATTAAATTTTGTATTTCATTTATTATTATTATCTTAGTTACATTAAAATATACATATATATATTTCACATTTTTTTATTTGATTATATTTTTTTTAATACTTTTTTTTTGCTAATTTTAATATGAATTTTTAAATTTTTTCCTTTTGATAGTTTTTTATTTATATATTTTTTAATCTTAGTTTGGATTTTTAATTTATTATCATTAAGTGTCTTTGAATCACATTGATTTATATGTATAAATTTAAATATATGTATTGAAATTAATTATTTGTTAATTTTGAAATGAATTTGTAAATCTTTAAAGCTTGTAATCATTTACAAAAACCTTTTAGGCATATTTGATTTATTGATTGTTATATTTTCATTTTAATTAGTGTTATTATCTCATTATTTTATATTTCAATTTGAATGTATATTATTTTTTATTTGTTATTATATTTTTATTTTCATTTATACTATACGTGCAATATTTTTTTATTTGAATTGTTGTTAAGCTTTTTAATATTTTTTATTGTATTTCTGCTGAATTATTGCATGTAATTGCTTAATTGAAATTGGCTTTCAATTTCTGTTTTATTGCTTTTCTTATGACTCGGCGGGGTCTGATGTCAGTTTTCCAGCTCATTTTCACATTTCAATTGAAAAATTGCAGCCAAATTTGGCTGGCAACGAGCGTTCTGTAAATGCCGACACCTTAAAGAGCTGGACAAGCACAGTTTTATGCTTGGCTTGAGTGGCATAACGTGCTGCAGACACGCGCTCACGATTACAGCAACAGATACACAGATACAGAGACAGATACAGATACAGATACAGCTATGGCTACGTCTACAGATACAGATACAGATACAGATACATCTACAGCTACAGATAGTCGCTGCCAATAGATACACGCATCAGCTACGTGTGTCTGGAACTCTGTGTCGATTGGGCTTAACCAGCTGTTATTATGTGCTACGCTGACCAGGCAGATCTTGTGTGATCTTACCTATTTCCAATTATATATATTTTTATGTATATTTCTATATACATATATTATGTACTGCACTTGCGCATACTTTTCGTTGAACTTCACAGAACGCGTGTTCAATATTTATTTAAATATATGCGTGCGTGTCCATCACACTCAACTGTTTAGGCATTTTTTTAGTTGTTGAAACAAAAACAACAAATGTTTTTTTTTTTGGTTAATTTTATTTTGCTGGTTTGATTGTTCCGCACGATCGACGAGGCGAGAGGCTTTAGCTTCAGCTTTAGCTACAGCTACAGCTTCACTTTTAGCTTTAGCTTTGTAACATACCGACGACGGGTTTATCGCTGGGCAGCTCGTTCCGATTCCGAGTTCGACTTCGAGTTCGACTTCGATTTCGATTTCGATTCCGAACGGCAACGACCACAACCTGACGACACGCCAAACTCAACTAAACTGTGCTCCAGACCAGAGCACAGGCGGCTCTTAACTCACATTTTTAACAGCGCTGAGGCTCAGTTACGATTTTTGTTTGCAACAGGTAGACAAAACTTACGCTCCCGCTACCACTGCTTAGAGGTGTCTGTGTGCGTGCGTGTGTGTGTGTGTGAGCAGTGCAGCGTAGCATTGGCGCTCTCTACGCGGGTTTCTGTTACTATGTGTGTGTGTGTGCTTTGTATGCAGCTTATGCATCAGCTGTTCTTACTTTGTAAGCCAGCCAGAGCAAGCGGGCAGAGCACAAGAGAGGGAGTGAGCTTGTGTGTGGGAGCAAGAGCGTGAGAGAGCATAGCAATATATGCGTCGTGCTGAGTTAAGCTTAAAACCAGGGCTGCAGCGTTACAGAAAAATGAACTGGAATAGGAATAGGTGAAGTTAATGTGTATGATATGATGAAAGTGAAAAGTGTTGATAAGTTTAGATGAGATATTATAAAAAATAATGAAATAACTTAAATTTTATGCAGATTTCATAATAACAAATAAGATTTATATTAAAATAATATTTATGATATCTATTTTATATATTAAGTCGTATATTCTACTAGTTCACTTTAACAATTGCTTACAAAAAATGTAATGCAAATATTTACAAAGAATTATAAATAAAAGTTTGTTTAGCATCATGGCCATATCTATGTTTACATAAAATTTTGGCAGGCTGCGCAGAAAATATCGTTGCATACTCTTAGGCAAATGTTTTAAATAAACAAATTGCAAACAAAAAACTGATCTATAGCTGAAGTAGACCAATTTAATGATTAGAATAAAGTAAACATATATTTAGCTTATAATAAAGTTAATAATAATAAAACCAATTACTTCTTAAGCTAAACTTAATTCGACTTCGCGGGCTGCTTTGCCTGATACCTCAAGCCGTGCTCCATGTAGGTGAACGGCGGGTTGGGCTGAGTCATGCAGAAGTAGAGGCCCTTCGCATTGGCCGGGTAGATGAGGCCAATGTTGAGCGTGTTCTCGAAACTGCAGTCGCCCTGCCGGAACTTGGCCCAGTTCTCGCATTTGGTGGCAGGTATCATCACGCCCTCGATGAGCGCCTCCATGAACAGCACGAATGGGTACATGTGACTGCATATCTTGCTGTCGCAGCCCGGCTGCAGTTTCTTGCGCGGAAAGTAGCCAATGCCATTGGGATAGATGTCCACATGGCCGAGTGGCACACGCACACCAAACACATCGCCCTCGCCGTGCAGCACCACGACGCGTGCGGCCACATTGTGCCGGACGAGGATGTCGGTGGTGCGGCACATGGTGGCTGGGTCGATGGCAATCAGTTGACCCACCTGTCGCTTGCTGCTCTTGGCATACAAATCAGCGCCCAACGCAGCAATATTTGCGCCCACCGAATGTCCTGCCAAGGTGATGTCCTCCGCCGCAATGCCCGCCTCTGTCAAGGAGCTCAACAGCTTGTATATGGAGTAGCCGTGCACGGACAGATGATGCCGCACCGTGTAGTACAGCTGTGCCACATTTGTGGCAAAGTCCACGATGATTATGTTGAGATCACGACGCATTGTCTGCAGCAGCATCAAGTGCTCCTGGACGCTGAAATAACTGTCGGCCGTGTGGAACGCATTCACGTAGATCAAGGTCTTGCGCTGCGGATTGAGATCGAAGTCACGCAGCTCTGGCATCGATTTGATGGGCAGCTGAACGCTCTGATTGGTGATGGTCATCACGTGCAAGCGCGCATCGCTGGGATTGATGCCCTCGTAGAGCGCCATGACGCCCTCGTCGACGGGCGCATCACCTGGACGGAAGTGATTAGCGAACTGTTTGCCCGATCTCGGCCAGAATCAACTTACAAAAAGCGCGCCAGCCGCGATTCAGCTGCTGCGACAGCAGCTCCAAATTGTGCTTCTGTATGCGATCTATGCTGGCAGCTGACTCGGAATGCTGCCAGAGCGTGAGCAGACATAGTCCACATAGCCATCTTCTCCAGCTTGCTTGCTGCATTGCGACGACTGCTGCAGCTCAGCGCGCAACTGGGCGGTTTTATAGCCACGTTAAGACGGCGAGCGGAAAGCGTTTATCGCTCTGCACAGCCGAAGCGCTTATCTAGCCACAGAATTTGATCAACTGCTGACCGCAGCACGTTCGAAGCAATTCGATTGGATGCGACTCGGCACTCTTTTTGGCTCTGTCTGCCAGTTGTCTGCAGACTCAACTCGACACTCAACGCTCAACGCTCGACGCGCGACGCTTGCCACTCGACTCTAGACTCGAGCTGCTAGATAAGCACTTTTGCCGCTGCACGTTTCGCTAGCTGTTAACGATAAGTCGCCCGACTATACATATATATATATATATATATATATATATATATATGCATATCTATATCTGTAAACAATTTTGCTGTCGATCGATTAGCTTGGATCGTGCCACTATAAGAAAACGCATGCTTTTGGGGAGCTGCTTGCGCTGATAAGTTTCAGTGAGATACTTTTTACTCTTGATTATACAGTTATCGATATATATATGTTGTATATAAACGTGAGTGCGAAAGGACAACTAGGTGCTAAATGTAAATTTTACTAGAATACATGTAGTTATATATCCATTGCTGTAAATTTGTCAATGAGGTAGCGACGGCTGCTGTGGAACTTCCTTCTGGGAGTTGCCTTCGAATGTATCTAAAACTAGCTGACAGAAAAGAGATCAAACTGAAAAGCAATTCTTCTCTCTCTTGTTTAAAGTAGAACTTAAATTTTACAAATTTATTTGTAACGAACACAAAAAGCATTTAAATAATAAATAAGTTGAGTAAGCGACTTAAAATAAACATTTTGGTAGTCAAAAATACTTTCTGCTTCACCACCTTCGCGCCCTCCCAAAACTAAAAGGGGGCGTGGCTGTTACCAATTCGACTAATAATTAGCTCTGCGTGTGTGTGTTGTGTGCGTGTTGCCGTTTAGAACTGCAGACCGGCCTGCACCTCGGACATGATGTTGGCCGACTTCTGCAGCTGCTGCACCTCGACATCGGTGAGGATTTGCTTCACCACGGAGGTGACTCCGTTGGCATTCAGCACGCAGGGCAGCGATAGGAACACATCCTTGTCAATGCCATGCTCGCCCTGAAACGAATGAAGCGTTCTGTAAGCAAAGGCCCTTCTACAAAGATCGCTCAGAGACTCACCAAGACGGACGTGGAGACTGCAGCCACGCTGCTGGTGTTCCTCAAGATGGCCGAGGCCAGGGAGGCGGTGCTCAGGCCAATGGCCCAGGAGGTGTAGCCCTTTAGCTTGATGACCTCGTAGGCCGAATCGACGACCTGCTTGTGCAGCTCGTTCCACTTCTCGGGATCCTCACCGGTGCCAATGGTGGGGTTCAGCTCGCGCAAGCGCACTCCGGCAATGTTGACGCCGGACCAGACGGGCACCGAGCTGTCGCCGTGCTCGCCAATGATCCAGCCGTGACAGGAGGTGGGTGCGACGCCCAGACGCTGCGACATCAGGAAGCGGAAGCGAGACGAATCCAGATTGGTGCCGCTGCCAATGACGCGATTCTTGGGCAGACCGGACAGCTTCCAGGCCACATAGGTCATGATGTCCACGGGATTGGACACCATCAGCAAAATGGTATCGGGACTGTACTGTGATTGCAAAGAGTCAAGGATTAGTGGGTCAGTTAGATGAGGGCGATGCTGGGTGCACTTACCTCCACCAGCTTGGGGATGATGTGCTTGAGAATGTCTGTGTTGCGCTGCACCAGGGACAGGCGGGATTCACCCTCCTTCTGGCGCACGCCGGCTGTGACAATGCACAGACGAGAGTTGGCCGAGGCGGCGTAGTCGGTGCTGGCGGTGATCTGGGGATTCTTCAGGAAGTTGGAGCCATGCTGCAAGTCCATCAGCTCGCCCTGCAGCTTGTCGGCGCAGACGTCGATGAGGCACACCTCCTTGGAGACATTCTGGGCCAAAATGCTGAAGGCGCTGGCCATGCCCACCATGCCGATGCCCACCACAGTGATCTTGTGGCCAGAGCTGGGCAAAGTTTCAGCCACCTGGGCCAACAGACTATCCTTAACGGCGGCCATTGCTGCAACGAGAATTGGAGCCAATTTAGTCGATGCTCTCCATGAGATCTCTCTATTCACTTAGGCAGTCAGAGGTGTCACGTGCTCTTCGAAAATCTGGGGCACTCACACACACCGACCTATGTGTCGGCGCTGTTTAACCTTCACGAAGGTCATATTTATATAAATTTGCCGTTTGCCCAGCACGCAACACGCCGCATTCACGAAAAAACTAATACGCAACATTTTGCCGAACGAAAAAAACTATAACAAATAATTCTCGCTTTTCGCGCTGCCGTCACTTTTATATGGCAGCCGCTTGTGACTCGTTGGCACTTGTGACAACTGCTATCATAGCTAATTAACTCCCTAATGGGTCTACGCTGCCTTTATCGAAGAAACCTTCAGGCGAATTGCGTTTCGCGGATTAGCGTAGAGTGACAACTCGACGCTTCAGCAATTTGCAATCGAAAAATATTTTATTGATCGCTTGATAACTCATTCGCATTGTTAATGGGCATTACGAACGATCCATAAACGTGCACACTTCAAATGAGGAAGTTTCAACTGTGCGCACTCGCGTTGATCTACTGTGAATACTCAATATAGATTTCCAGATAAGATTGGCCCATGCACGTTGAAATTGCAACAGCTGCTTATCTGCAGGGCAGTATTTGTACACATATGAAAATATTATTAATATTAGCTTTTACTGGCTCTGTGCACGTTGCTAATTAGAAATGACCCCGCTTTGCGATGAGAATTCTCTTGTGCCCTTACCCTGAACTTGAGAGTTTTCTAATTAAAAGTGCGGTTGACATTGGAAAAACATGAACAAATTGAGCTTTTAATAAGCTAATGCGTACGAATGTTTGTGGCATTACGAGAAAGTCATATGAGTGTGTGCTAGACTAGAAGATACCCTGCTTGAGGTGTGTTGTGTGAGGTATTATATGGAGGACTAAAGAGTACACTAACAGGCATATTAGTTGTAGTAGCTCAGTTTTCTGACTGCTTAAGTTTTAGGTGTACGTCTTGATAGATGAAGATATATGAAGAAATATGTAGATTAATATATTTGGATATAAGAAATGTTGATGATATAAAGAAACGTCTACCAGGCTTAGAAAACTCAAACATATATATATATATATATATATATATATATATATATATATATATATATAAGCTTAGTTTTAGCTAGATTGATGTCAAGTGAAGCTTACTAATAGACTAATTCAAACTTATTCAATTATATTTTGCAGCTTAATCTGCTTCTTCGTTAATCTGTCAAGCTGTGAACGAGTATTAGACAGTCAGTAAAGCACACGCTCAGCCAAAAATCATCCACTTGCCTATGCATGCAGATCACTAATAACATAAGTGCACTCTCTATATTTTATCTAGGGTATTTGACCAGTCTGCCTTTGTGCAGCTTGGCTCAACTGGCTAACCTCTTTTATCAACGCTCTCTAAACATGTACTTCCCGGCATATTTATCTAAAATCGTCACCTTATAATAGATAATGGACAACATACAACTATTTGCCATATATTATAGACAGTTCACAGCAAAGTGAGATCATGGCAAATATTTTATCTATTTCGTTTGTGTCAAGCTTGGCTGGAGCTCACTTGTTGCAAGCACAAAACAGCCAAAAAGAAAGAAAAACAAATAGATAGCAAAAGTACCAGCAGTACAAGTAGCTGCTGTCCAAAAAGCGAATGACCTTCTTTCAAAGTCAAATGTTTTCCAAATGGCTAGAAATGAATTCATTTAACGCACAGCTGTTTTCGGACCGGAAGGCGCATGCGCCAAATGTGAAAACGAAAGTGAAAGCAATTGTCGCCCAATTGGAATTAGCTCACTTGCCCCTGCAACTGCCCCTGCCCTGCCCCTTGTACAGTCCATACTCAGCAAGTGCTGCGTGGCTGTGTGCAAGGCCAAGGGCGAGCTCTGCAAGTTGAATGCACTTTGTCTGGGGCAGCAGCCCAGCAATGTTGGCCCACAATTTGCTTGGCTCTTGCTTAGTCTGTACTTTGCTTACTTTTGATTGTTGTTGCTGGTGCTTGCTCTGGGATACACTGAGAAATATTCACTGGATATATTTTTGGCGCCTCTGTTTGGGTACTTTGAGGTCGTCGACGTTCCGTTCACTTTGCGCGCTCGTTGCGAACTGTTTGTGCTTAGTGCGAGACTCGTTGGAATGCCGCTGCCGCTGCTGGATTTTGTAGCCGCTGTGCTCTCTGCCGCTGCCGTCGTCGCAGCAGCAGCAGCGGCAGCTGGCGTCAGGATGAGTGACGAAATGGCCTAAACAACATTGTGAAACTGCGAGCGAAGGCAAGCCGGCTCAGCTAGCTGCTAGCCGCAGGCCTGCTGCTCGCGTTCTCTTACTCTCTCTCTCTCTCTCTCCGCACGCACTCTCCAACATTTTTTTTGACTTCACTCCCAACTAACTGGGCCTCTGTCAAGGTGACCTTTTGCATTGCTTTGCCGTTGTTGCTTTTTTCGGGCGTTTCATTTATTTATAGCTGCGCCTCGTGTTCATTTGATTAAGTTATTCCAGGAGTTGCGGGGGAGTACGCCACGTGCGCCATCATTTACAATTCTGTTTCTCCATTTAGAGACTAATGCATCTGCATTTCTCTAACGGTGGTTGCGTCTGTACCGCGTGACAGCAGCAGCTGCCTGCGGGGATCGTTGGCTTTGTGTGTGTGTGTGAAAACCCCTCTGTGTGTGTGTGGCTTTGTGTGTGTGTGTGAAAACCCCTCTGTGTGTGTGTGGCTCACGTGCCATTGATCACACTTGCGTGTATCCAGCCAAACGGAAGCAGGCAGAGAACTGGAAGACTCTCACTCTTTCCATCCCTCTCTCAGCATTCTCTTTTGTTGAAATTGGCCAACTGCCAGGTTGCCACCAGATGTTTCTATTGCATAAAC